TTTAAGTAATCTCTACACCCAACATGGGACTCAAACTCACAACCTGAGATCAAGAGTTGCACACTCCACTGACTGAACAAGCCAAGTGCCCATTAATAAGACTTTTCAGACTTAAATCTAGGTTCATTTGTCATCTAGAGAGACTCTTGTCCTTAAATTTGTAATTTAAAAAATTATTTATTTGAGAGACCACAGGCGCATGGAGAGGGAAAGAATCCCAAGTAGACTCTGCGCTGAATGCAGAGTCCCTCACAGGGCTTTATACTACAGCCCTGAGAACATGACATGAGCTGAAACCAAGAGTCAGTCCTGTGCTCAACTGACTGAGCCACTTAGGTACCCTGGGTGGTTTTTCCTAGGCTAGGTCCTTGCCTGACTGGGGATGATGGTATCTTTGATGACTGTTTATGGCTGTATTCTTTTTTTTTTTTTTTTTTTAGGGCTGTATTCTTGATACCATTCCTTGCTGTCCTCTACTGGTTTCATTTACATTAAACATTTCTTTTCTTTTCTTTTTAAGATTTTCTTTATTTATTCATAGAGAGAGAGAGGGGGGCAGAGACACAGGCAGAGGGAGAGAAGCAGGCTCCATGCAGGGAGCCCGACGTGGGACTCCATCCCAGGTCTCCAGGATCACACCCCAGGCTGCAGGCGGTGCCAAACTGCTGCGCCACCGGGGCTGCCCTACATTAAACATTTCTAATAACCTGTAATCCTTTCCTTCTGCCTTATGGATTAAATTAAGGGCACCTGGCTGGCTCATGATAGAGCATATGTGATTCTTGATCTTGAGGTTGTAAATCTCTACGTTGCGTATAGAGATTACTTAAAAATAAAATCTTTTTAAGGGCAGGGAAAAAATAAAAATAAAAAATCTTCTTTAAAAAAGAAACTAGTATGGTGAGCAAATCTGGAAGCTTATTTTTATCCAAATATGCCTTGGAGAAGTTCTACATTTTCTGCAACTTTATTCATTGGAGCCAAACCTAAGTTAGAGTTTTTAGATCAGCTTGGAATGTGAAAATCTGTTAATCTTGCAGTCTATCTTTTTGAACTTCCTCCTTGCTCTTAAGAATTGTCGTTGTGCTTTTGGGAGCTAGGGAGTGGGAATGTGTGAGTATCTCATGGGTGAACAGAGTCTGAAGAAAGGAAGAATGACCCCACACTGGTGACTACACATTACTTTGAAATTTGATTAGTTCTCAGACCTTTGCCCTATAATGTGTGTGTTCAAGGTTCTAAAGAAGTCTCTTTTTACACCTTTTTTTTTAGTTGCTTCAGAAAAAGTATCATATGAACAAGAGGCCTTCAGGAATCTCTAGTACTAAATATTCCCTTTCCCTTGCAGATTATTTAGTTATTGCTGACTTCAGAGCCTCTACCTTGTGAGTGCCTGTTAATCCCTCCAAGGTGGAGAATGGCAGACTGAACAGGGCAGTGACCCACTTGAGAGGACTCTACAGGCCCTCTTTATCACACCGACCCAGAGAATCCATCACATTTTGTTAGTCCTTCTTGGCTTCTGTGCAATCCATTCTCTCAGACATTCTTTTTGTGGGGAGGCGAAATGGAATATAGGAAGAACATGGATTTTAGACTACCTCAAATCCACATAGATAATTTATTAACTATGTGATGATGGGCAAGTTACTGAGTTTTCTTATCAGTAAAATGGGGATAAGAAGACAGTCCTCTCTGGGATTGTTGTGAAGGTGAAATAAATACCGTGTATAAAGTTTATAACAGCATTCCTTTTTTTTTCTTTTTTAATTTTTATTTATTTACGATAGTCACAGAGAGACACACAGAGAGAGAGAGAGAGAGAGGCAGAGACACAGGCAGATGGAGAAGCAGGCTTCATGCACCGGGAGCCCGACGTGGGATTCGATCCCGGGTCTCCAAGATCGCGCCCTGGGCCAAAGGCAGGCGCTAAACCGCTGCGCCACCCAGGGATCCCTATAACAGCATTCCTTAATCCCCTTCTTCTCCCAGACCACTCAGTTACAGAACCTCAGTCTTAAATCACTTGATACTTTTTTCCTTTGCTCCTGCATCCTGGCTGCTAAGTGTTGCCGTGAGAAATGCATCCACAGTCTATGATCTCTGCTAAGACCACAGTGCTGCCGAACAATACTTTTATGTGCTCTTAGCTTTCTTCTTGTCTTACGCAGAGGTCAGAAGTGGGTGGTCTAGAAGAACTTGGTTCTATAGACCTCTTTTGTTTGGCCTTGAGATAGTTTTTCATATGTTGGGATTAGCTGTGAGAATTTAAAACTTAGGAGATTTCAAATACAAGTTAAAACGTGTAGCATCTTCTGAAAAATTGGACGATCTGAAAACCCATCGTGACATGACAGTCATTGGTTTCTCTCAAGACAGGTACATTTCACTTTTCAAAATTGTCTGACCTTGTGGACCTACACTGGCCCATTAGATTCAGTTCCATTGCTGGCTTAATGCTTGTGGGCAGTGACTTTTTGGTTTTGTCCTATGGACTCTGTCTCCTTAAAATCCCTCAAATCTGTTCCCTTTTCCTCATACCCATAGCGTTCATAATTTCTAACCTGGAGTGCTAGAATAGTGCCCTAATCCATCTTATCTCTAGTATTGTCCCTCTCAAGGGACTTGTCTTCACAGTATTATCAGATTCATCTTTCTAAATCGCAAACTAAATCACATCATTCTGTTGTTTCAAACTCTTCATTGCCTTTCTACTTTGTACTAAATGAAGTATAAACTCCTTAGCATGGTGTTGCATTTCTATATGATCTGACCATATAACCTCTCCAGCCACTTAACCTCTCTGTGTTTCAATTTCCTGCAATGGAACATAAGAGAAATAATAGTTCTTACCTAGAGCATTAAGATTTAATTAATTAATTAATTAATTTTTATTTATCCATGAGAGACGCAGAGAGAGAGAGAGAGGGGGAGGCAGAGGCACAGGCGGAGGGAGAAGCAGGCTCCATGCAGGAAGCCCCACATGGGACTTGATCCCCAGTCTCCAGGATCCCACCCTGGGCTGAATGTGACGCTAAACTGCTGAGCCACTGGGGCTGCCCAAGATTCAGTTTAAAATACATATAAAGCATTTGGCATAGTACTCAACATTTAGTAAGTGCTTGATAAGTACTAGTTATTAGTATTATGATAATATATTTTTTGGTTTTTTTCCTGGGCCCCAAGTCTTCTCTTCATATTTGCTCTTTCTTCTACCCTGAATTTTTTTGCACTCCTCTTTTTCCCTGAATTATAGTTCATCCTTCAGGACTTATCTCATGTGTCACCTCCAGAGTACACTCTCTGAACTTCCATACCCCATGGCACCTGTGCTTGCTTCTAGTAGTGTACTTTTCACATTACGATGAAGTCTCATTTCTTATCACCTCATTTAGACTTTTTTTTTTTAATATTTTTTTAATTTTTATTTATTTATGATAGTCACAGAGAGAGAGAGAGAGAGAGAGAGAGAGAGAGAGAGGCAGAGACATAGGCAGAGACATAGGCAGAGGGAGAAGCAGGCTCCATGCGCCGGGGAGCCCGACGTGGGACTCGATCCCGAGTCTCCAGGATCGCGCCCCGGGCCAAAGGCAGGCGCCAAACCGCTGCGCCACCCAGGGATCCCTCATTTAGACTTTTAAGCTCTTTCAAAGACAGGAACTATCTTACATATCCCTGTATCCCCAATGACCAACACAGATCTAAGCATTGACAAATTAATGATCAACATCATTCATAGCAGAAGATTCATGATTAATATCACTACTGTTATTTTTAGGGAATTTAGATGATGTGCCATAAAACCTTTTAAATTGGCCCCTCATAAAAATAAATAAATAAATTGACCCATTTCAGATTAGTTTAGCAGTAAAAACTAGTTACTATATTTTTCCCCAAAAGTGATACATGCCTTTAAAGAAAATCGAAAGAAAACTAAAAGTGTAAAGAAGAAATCTCACTACTCAGAAAAAAAAAAACTGGTGTTATTAAAGTACTTTAAATTATAAGCTCTTATGTACTACTCAGTTTTCATATTTAAAATCCCACCTATAAATGAATCTTGTTTTACAGGCAGCATTAGAACATCCAGTTTAATATAATGAGGCTACTACTTTGTGTTCCACATTGCAAGTAGCTTCTTGTTTTAAGTAATGAAATGTGCCTTTTCTTAGGACAGCCATGATTTCTAATAAGGAATTGCAATCCACTGTGTCATATTACAGTGTCATTCCCTTGTTTTATATATGACTAGTTACTTAATCTGTGCTTACAGGCCATTCTCTACAAATGGAGCAGTTTAAGGTTGGAGAACTAAAGCTAACAACCTAGAAGAAAGAAATTATCACTGGTGGAAACCAATGATACCTTTTTTAGGACAGATTTCTTGTTTGTCCTTCATGCCTCTCTGCCAACACATTTGATCATTGACATAATTGATGTGCAATTTGCAGGAATGAATCTTCCAGATTTTCTTCTCTATGCATGCCTTTTTTTCTCTTTTTGCATCAGGTGTTTCATTACCATTCTCTGCTTCTACCTCTACCCCATCAAGATTTGTTTCACAGAAGAGGTGTGTTCTTCTATATTTTTCTCCTACATTCTTCTGGTAATTGTCCTCTTCATTCTTAGGACCTGTCCGTTTCTAGGTAATGATACTGGTATACATTTTATATAGTAAACTTTTGCTAATAAGCCCAATTTATATCAACCGTATCAATTTTTTGGTATGTAAGATATTTTATAGCAGCAACATATTTTAGCCTTCAGTGTGGATGCTGTTTGGGATACTCTTTGGATGAATGAAATTTGCTCTACCTGGTTTTCATCTATAATTCAATTCCTGTCTTTAGGAATGGACTGAACATAGTCACCATAATGAGAAATATCAACTCTCTTTTACAGACAGTAAAAGACATTTACTTACAGACATTTCTCCAATTTCTGTAAGTTCTTTTCCCCGGTGTTATTTGCTTCCTCTTCTTACTTACTTTTTATTTTAGATCACAGATTCTGCTGGTCATATTCTGTACTCCAAGGAAGATGCAACCAAGGGGAAATTTGCCTTTACTACTGAAGATTATGACATGTTTGAAGTGTGTTTTGAGAGCAAGGGTAAGTAATCAGAGTGTTTTCCCTGAATTAAGTGTTTCTTCTCGAGTTAGAGCATGAACTTACTCTCTTGGGCTAGCAGGAAGAGGAAATGGAAACTACATTTGTTTATATGTCTTTCACACATATGAGTGAAAGTTGGCTAATCAGCTGAGTTCTTCATGAACAGGAGTAGGCATTTCTTGAATGCTGTGACATACTGGCTTGAATGATAGAGTTGAATTTTGTATATATCCTGGAAAATAGCGCATTTATATGCTAGTGACACATTTTTCTCAGGAATTAGAAATAAGATCCGTCTAACAACAATATATGGCAAAGTTAGAAGTATTTTTGTTCTTGAGAGCACTTTCCTAGTTCTATCTTGCTATGAATTCTTCTGTGCATCTCAAGGCCAAGACCCCATAGTACCTTTTTACTGATTACTTGATGGCTTCTGTGTTCAATCATGGGTGAAAAGGCAGCCGGGTGGCTCAGCGGTTTAGCACCACCTTCAGCCCAGGGTGTGATCCTGGAGACCAGGATCGAGTCCCACATCTGGCTCCCTGCATGGAGCCTGCTTCTCCCTCTGCCTGTGTTTCTGCCTCTCTCTCTCTCTCCTCTCTGTGTGTTCTCATGGATGAATAAATAAAAACATTTTTTTTTAAAGGCAGATTCCTTTTTACTCCCTATTCATTAGTTTAAAAGACACTAGCCTTTTCAAAGCTGTATGCAGGCAGTTATACTTGTTACAACAGTTACATCAGTTTTGGGCTATAGCCCAAAAGGGTCCTGTAGGACATAAAAACAAAACTCAAAACTACCTTAAAGAGAAATTTGACTCTCTGAACTGGGAAATTTACAACGTGATGCTGACCCAAGGTACAGCTTCATCTTGGGGTTTTAACAGTATCATTGGAACTCTACCTCTTTTAGTGCTTCCTTTCCTTGTCTCCATTTAATTTTAGTCTCAGGCTTCCTCCGTGTAGTAGCAAAAGGACTCCTGACAGTTTTACATTTGTAGAAAGTTCAGAACATAGGATCCAAGAAGAAGAGCAAGCATCTTTGCCAACAGTGCCAGTAGGTTCCCAGGAATGGCAGATGAACCAGCTGCTTTTGACAGTTAATCAAAAATTGACTCCCTTGATCTAAAGTTGGTCAAGTTAGCCTAAAAGTTAAGGGAATTTGCCAGAAGTAAATGGAATAATGGATTAAAAATAAAGAATTTTAATGGTGATTTCATGACCAATATCCTTCTCTGTGCTCCCACCTATGCTGTTTCCAGGATGTCTCAGCTATATTCTAGACATTTCACATGGTTGTGTAGCTCCTCAAAACCAAATGTCTAAGATGTAGAAGACTGTATTCACAAGACTCCCTTTCAAACTAATTCCCCTCTCTTATCAATGTTACTACTATCCTTCCAGTTACGTGGGCTCACATTTTGAAATTGTTTTTGCCTTTTTCAGCCTATCATTGAGTTATACTGATACTTCTTTCAAAATATCTTCTATATCTGGCACCACACAAATCTGAACTCTAATCTTTTATTTTTATTATTTTTTTAAGATTTTATTTATTTATTCATGAGAGACACACACAAGGAGAGAGAGAGAGAGGCACAGAGACACAGGTAGCAGGAGAAGCAGGCTCCATGCAGGGAGCCTGATGTGGAACTCGATCCCGGACCAGGCCCTGGGCCAAAGGCGGCGCTAAACCACTACGCCACCCGGGCTGCCCTGAACTCTAATCTTTTTAAATCATGTATTGTGTCAGGGTACTTAAGCTGTTAACTCTTCATTTTGGCTCAGGTCATGATCTCAAGGCCCTGGGATTAAGCTCTGCATTGGGCTCTGCACTGGGCATGGGTAGAGCCTGCTTAAGATTCTCTCTCTGCCTCTCCCCCTCCTAAAAAAAATACATATATGTATATATATGTACAAATGTATCCACACACTGTATAGTCAGCACTCAACTTCTAGTTTCATTTATTTTGATATGAACAATGTGATACCTTGTAGTCTTTGGAGCACCTTTTAAAAGATTGTCCATTTAACAGAAAAATGCAGAGAAGGTTGGTGGATTTTTTGTTGTTTTTTGTTTTGCTTTGTTTTTAATAAAAGGGACCCTTTAGGGCTATGATGTCAGCTAAGGGAATAAGCTAGCTGGTCTGTGCAAGAGACTGTATGGTCTAGACTGAGAATAGCCAGAGGTCTGTGGTTTGTGGTTTCACTAGTGTTTGAATAATGCTAATGCTTTGCTGTGGCAATAGAATGATGGTGGGAAGACCCTGTTAGGGAGAGAATATCTTGATCATTTGGACCAGGTAGGGTTGTGAACTGGTTCAGTTTCATAATTTTTTAAATGAAGAAGGAGAAGCAAAAACCTGCACTGTATCTCTTAAAGACCAGTGCAGTGACCAGGTCTACACATTGGATTTGGGAAAAGATCCCTGCTTCTCTGGGTGCCACTTTGTTTTGTTTTCTTTTTTGTTTAGGAGACTTACTAGTTTCATGCTCAGAAGACATCTGTGACTTAGTTTCTTAGTCCTACCTATGTAGTCTTATTTCTGTTGCTTTCTCTTTCTCCTCTTTTTTTTTAATTTGCATTACATTTTTTTTTAATTTTTAAGTAATCCCTTACACCCAACATGGGGCTTGAACTCACAACCCCAAGACAAGAGCCACATATTCTACCAACTGAGCCAACCATGTGCCCCTCTGTTGCTTTCAAGTTGATCTTTCTGATCTATCCAAAAGAACTTTACTGTCTTTGAAACATGCCATACTCATTTCAATATTTGCCAATACTCTGCCTTTGCCAGAGTACTTTGTCCTTGTCTTCAGCTGCTTTCTCTTTAGTGGAGTCTGTCCACAACTAATCCCTTTATTTCTCTAACCTTTACTCCATAGCTGGGATTATCTGAATGGATTTTTTTCCCTTGAAGTTTTATACTGCTTTGCATTTTCATTGTAGCTGTTACAATTATTTGTCTTAGCTCCCCATCGAATTTTTGAAGGCAGAGATTGTAATTCAGTACATTTCTAGCACCCAGTGAGTTCTCAGTAGTTATTGAATTGACTTTAGTCCATTTCAGAAACCTGCAGTGTTCAGGCGGTGGAGTATAGTGCCATTCTCTCTGGCTTGTAGTCTCAAGAACTCCAATGTTTAAGTGGCACTGTTTCACTAAACTCCTAATTCCATGCAGGCAGTTTTTTATTTCATAAATAATCAGGTGATTTCCAAGGGATTGGGGCTGAGCAATTTTGGGACTCTGGAGTCTTTCCCTCTCTCCTATTTGATGATTTAAGGTTAAATTCTTTTTTGATCAAGCTGAATCAGTTTACCTTTTCTAATATGACCCTAGCTTTCTTAGCCCTACTATCCCAAATAGACACTTCTCTAAGTAGCATCCCTGAAAATTGTACTCTCCTTTTGCGCCACCCAGGGATCCCTTTACAAGAATTTTTTTTGGGCTATTCTCTTTGAAGTGTTTTGTGGGTCCTATAATATTTTATTAACCTACAGAAATGGCCGTACATTGACCAAAATGTTTGAATTAAAGTGGAACATTAGCTAAATCCTGTGTTGTTTTCAATACTCATGTTTATATTAAGTAAATCCAAGCTTACCATATACCCAGTAATCCTTTTTTTTTCAAAATTTGACAGGACAGCCTTTCCAGATATAGAAATGCACCTTTTCAATCTTAGTTGGTGCCTACCACCTATTGGTCTATATGCCACTCATTTTTGTACTGTTTTGACTTGAATTTTATTTCCCGATTCAGTAAGCCTGTATGTTGTCTCTTCTGCTATTCTGTTCCTCTGTAGTACCAGCTACAGTGTCTTGTGTCCTGCTTGCTCAGAGATGTTTGCCAGCAGCATGGTTCTTGTTGCTTTCTGGCACCCCGCACAGATAGAGGCTTTGTCTGGAATGCTTGTGATTTTAGCCAGAGCCAGGAATTTTTTGCAGCTGAGTAGGGGGAGGAGTTGCGACTGTTTCCCTCTATTGAGAGGGTAGGGGTTAGAGAGAGGGAGGGTGGGTGGGTGATTTCCCGGAATTTTAAATATTCTACACAATGAATCTTTTGATTTCCTTCTCAGGAACAGGGCGGATACCTGATCAACTCGTGATTCTAGACATGAAACATGGAGTGGAGGCGAAAAATTATGAAGAGGTATGTCCTTCTCTAACAGCCAGTAGTAGCGTGCTGTGCTGGGAGGTTTCTGTGACCTAGTCAGGCCAGCCGGCTGTGCTTTGCCCAGAAGGCTTTTGTTTTCTCAGTAGTCATGTGACAACCAGCTACAATCTTAACTAATACAAAAAGTTGTGTTAACAGCCTTGAACAATAATTCTGGTAGTGCCTTTGGCCAAAGGACTGAACCAACTATCCCATAGAAATGTTGGTGAGATAAAACACTCAAGCATATGCCATTAGTGCTCTTGAGACAGAAACAAGGTGTATACTTAGACTTTTTATTTATTTTTATTTTAAGATTTAATTTATTTATTCATGGGAGACATAGAGGGGCAGAGACATAGGCAGAGGAAGAACCAGGGAACCAGGCTCCCTGCGGGTAGCCTGATGCGGGACTCAGTCCCACAACCCCGGGATCACAACCTGAGCCAAAGCCAGACACTCAACCGCGGAGCCACCCAGGTGCCTCTATTTATACTTTTTAAAAGCTCGACTTCACTTATATGTCCAAGATTAAGAAAAGCAACGTGTTTTTAGTTCTTAAAGATTTTATTCCCAGACTGACAGCTATATATATATTTCTGGGACATAGATTCAGTGCTATTTAGATTTGAACAACTGTGCTGTCTTTGAGAAACACCATAGTCAAAAGTAGCTTCTAGTTAATAAAATAATTTCACACTCTAAGAAACTTAAAGAGCAAGATGGAAGCAAAAACTGCAAGAGACTAGGAATGGTGATAATGAATAAACATTTTTGCTGACAGGAAGTATTATAGGTAATAAAAATTGACATTTATTAGGGAGGTGGAGGTGTGCATAGGATAAGGGTAAGGGGACTCTGAGCCATTTTTGTCTATTATGAAAGATATCACAAAATGGTTCTTCAAATGGAGAGCACCTTTTAAAAACCACAAGAACTGGGCTGCCTGGGTGGCACTTAGTGAGTTAAGTGTCTGCCTTCAATTCGGATCATGATCCCAGGGTCCTAGGATGGAGCCCCCACCCCTACCTCCACCCTGTGTCCAGCTCCCTGCTCAGCGGGGAGTCTGCTTTTCCCTCCCTCTGTCCCCCCCCCATGCATGCACATGCACGTTCTCTCTCTCAAATAAATAAATAAATAAAATCTTTCCCCCCCAAAAAAGAACAAAAGCACGAGAACTACTTAAGACCTGGAGGATGGATCTTCACAGAAAGTTAATAGTATTTTAACCCAGATCAGAGTCTTTTTACAATGGTACCTTGAAGGTATGTAGAAGAGGTGTGGCACAGGAAATGTAAATGGTTTTTAAAGAATGTAAACTAAATAAAGGAAAGTTGATTTAAATGATTTAAGAGAATTTTCTAGGACTGAGGGACCCAGAGAAAGTTGCTCCATCTTTGATCAGGACCTAGAAAGGAGACTAAAATGGAAGAAGATTGGAAATGACCAGCTAATTCTGCAACAGGAAGTAGTACAAGAATTGCTGCTCTTTAGGTTTTTCCTCTTTTCCTTAGTTTAGATATTCAGTGGAACAACACGAGGCTGAGTTATTTATAGGTGATCAACAAGAGCAAGGGATGCGGTAGAGGTAGTGAATGGAAGACAGTTTCTGGCAGGGACTTTGAATTGCTTGTTTCTGTGTCTATGCTAGTTTAGTTAAAAGACAGAAAGCAAGAGAGCCTCTTTATTTGATGAACTGAAGAGTAAATTAAAATAATCCTTTCAGAGGCACATGGGTGGCTCAGTGGTTGAGCGTCTGCCTTTGGTTTAGGTTGGAATCCAAGGATGCCTGGATCAAGTTCTGCATTGGGTTCCCTGCAGGGAGCCTGCTTCACCCTCTGCCTGTGTGTCTGCCTCTCTCTCTGTGTATCTCTCATGAATAAATAAATAAAATCTTTTTAAAAAAGAAAAATATAATCTTTTTAATCTTTGATGATTCAGAAGAATCATACTATTTAAATAAGATAATATATGTTAAAATGTCATTGTAAGGTATAAAAGAAAAATGTAGTTATTTTGAGGTAGAAGAATAGCTAAGATGATTTCAGTTTTCTTGTTTTTTTCTTATTAAAGATTTTTTAAAAAATATTTTATTTCTCTCTCTCTGTGTGTCTCTTATGAATAAATAAATAAAATCTTAAAAGAGAGAGAGAGAGAGAGAGAGAGAGAGAGAGAGAGGCAGAGACATAGGCAGAGGGAGAAACAGGCTCCATGCAGGGAGCCCAATGCAGGACTAGATCCCAGAATGCTGAGCCAAAGGCAGATTCTCAACCGCTGAGCCACGCAGGCATCCCCAATTTTCAGTTTTCAGTGACTGCTGCAGTGTCCTCAACTTGAAGCCACTCTTAAGTCAGCATGCATTGAATTCCTACCGTAAGGAATTTTACCGGTTGTAACTTTTTCTTCCAAATATAATGGCTGCCATTATATGAAATAATAGGGCACTTGATTAGACATTAGATGTAATTTTTCCCTCTAAAACAGAGGGCATTATTGAGTTTATATATAAAATAATGTGGGCATCACTGTCATGGAGCATTTTAGAACTCCTATTCCTCCTGGAATTTCTGTCATCCTTGGAGTTTGTTGACATTGGGGAAGGGCCTTTATCTTCCCTGACCTTTTGCTTAACCCAAGAGGGGAATCCCTAGCAGAAAGGAAACCACAGCACTTCCTTTGCCTGCTTCCTGCTTTGGAAGTCTGGCACGTCCTAAGCATGTCATTACGCACATAGTTACAACACAGCTCTAAATTCTGTTTCTTAACCAAGTAACTCCTGCTACTACTTTCTTTGGTGATCTTACCACCACCCCCTCCACCTCCCCCAAAAAGGCACAGCAAACTGAGACAGAGGAGTGGTTTCGACGTAGGCCAAAGACTAGCCCTTTCCTCAGTCAGTGGCTAGGCTCCCTTGAATCTTGCTTAGAAATAACCGTTACTTGTCTTTCAACAAATGCCTGTGACAAGAACATGAATAATAGAAGCACTTGTTCTCTGGTTAATTACCGGAGAACACTGAACATATGTAGAGGTTTTGAGGCATTTAATTTCAGGCCCTTGAGGTAATAGAGAGCTTTTATCTCCAGAGGATTTGAGCCTATTGGCCTAAATGTTTGGCTTAGAGGAGGTGGCACATTTCTTTAATTTTTCACATCCAAAGTATCTCTCCCTTGCAGTTGGGAGCGTCATGATTCTGAAATCCCTTGTGGTTTTGTAAAATTTAATAGTAGTAGTCAGGGTTTCAGTAGCTAGACACAGTACTACAATACCTACTAAATTGTTATGGAGGATTTACTTAATTAGTGCATGTGAAATTGCTATGTAAACAATACAAATGCAGGCTAATATTTTGGAAGCTAGAATGGTTCTTTAGAGTTTGGTATGTCCTCACATATTAGCACTTTGATCTCTGTTGAGTTTTGAGGACCTTTTACACTGTCTTCTGCCCATTACAATGAAGAGGGGCACATCTTTATAGAGTCAGTATGTGAATTGAGCCTTTTTTTTTTTTTTTTTTTTTTTTGTGGTCCATGAACTAGAGCAGCTGTTTGCAAAGACTCAATTATCTAATCCTGCAGTTGTGGAAATGAAGGCAATAACTATCCCACAAAGAAGTTGTTGTCTGACACATCCTCTAACTCTGGGACTCTATATATGTTCCCTTCTTGATGTAGATGTCAAAATTTTCAGTACAACTAAAAAATCCTGTTGTGCCTGTGGGTTCTATTAGTATGTCATTTGCTATCAACATGTATACCAGAAACACTGTTGCCCTTGTTGGAGCAACAGCTGAAGACTTTCCAAAAGTTCTACTTTTCTGAATGCCCTTTGGAGAGGAGGAACTCTAGTTCTGCATACTAGATCCAAAATCCCTTTCTCGACATGAATTAAATGAAATAACATATAGGCAAGGCACCTGACACAGTTTGGTTAGTTCAGTAATTTTGGCTCCCTCTTTCTATCCTTTCTAGAAGTTGACTATGACAGAGTAAATAGGATTATCCTAAATTTCATAAAGCCCTAAGATTGGCAGTATTATCTGGCTTTATTTTGGCACATTCTTGACCATTTTAGTTTCTATGAAGAGGTCTGTGATTCACATACCTCCCCACACAAGAGTTGTTCTTGGGTGTAGGTCTGCCTTCTTTATCTTGACTGTGTTAGAGTAGATGGTGTCCACTGTTACTGCTGTGCTTCTAAAATTTGGGGGGCTGTGGTGGGGACTGTGGAGGTAACAGCAATTTGACTGAATTTGGCTTACCACAAAAAACTTCTCTTGAGTCTCAGTGCTCCAACAAGGAAAACAGACTAGCAATTCTCTAGAGGCTCGTTCACACGTGTGCTTTAAGAAGCAGTTTTTCAGAGTTAAAACCTTTCCTTGGTGCAATTATATGACTCTGAACCCTAGGTTCAAATCATCACTAAGGGAGTGGAAGATTTGGAAATACCTTAAGAAGGGTAATTTCACAAGATTTTGGAGGTGTTTTACATGGGCAGAAAAAGGCTTTCTGACTAGTAGCTTTTCCAAGGAGTCCCTACCACCACAGACGAGAGTGATAGTGTGGTAGGGAAGACTTTGTCCTGGGTGGTGGGTGAAGGTAGATGCAGAGTGGTCTGAGGAAGCCTTGTTGCTTCAGGGGACCAACAGTAATTCCTACTGCTATGAGAAAGTTGGCCCTTCTGAAGAAGGCATGAATGGGCATGCTATTCAAAGTATACATTGTATTAATTTCCTTAAGTTCATGAGCCAAACTAGTGTGGGGGAAAAAGGATAAAAATCAAAACAATGTGAATATGACAGTGTACGATTGAGTGTTAATGATGTGGCACAGTCTAAGTGCTATAGGACTTTAAGAAAGAGGGCATTGGTGTGGACAGTAGTGAAGGGAAGCTTCATGGTTAAGGCTTGAGAGATAGATAGGATTTGGATATATTGAGCGGATACACTTTTAGAAGTCAAAGATACAGTTTTGCTTGCATTTTATAGGAGAGCTTTGCAGGTTTTTTTTTTTTTTTTAGCTTTGCAGTTTTGATGTTGAATAAATGCTTTGGTGACCTTAGGTAGGGAGTCAAGAAACCATGGTTCTGCTAGTCTTGGTCTTCCACCCAAAGGACTTAGTAATAACTATGGAGTCTTCAGTTTGATTTGTAGAATGAAGACCCTTGTAGCTCTGGTAGTCTTCATTTAATGCCTAAATACAGTTTACATTACTACCCTCTAGTGGAGAATCTGTGGTATATAACATTGTCAAATAGGCTTTGCTTTTATTAAGCTGTTGGCAAAATACAAATCATCCTTCCAGCCTAAGAAAAGAGAAGTAGACTGGAATAATAGCCTGCCACCATGAAACATGTATAATTTCACATTCTTACAGACACTTTGAACATTAAATCAGATGTTCAGAAGAGCAGAACAACAGTTATTGGGGATTTTGATATGGATGTTCTTATTATCTTTTTATACTGACTATGATATCAATCTTGATGATACTCATTGAATACTTAGTCCTGGGCAAACGAAGAGGGTCTTCCTGAGAGTAGTAATGATAGTTTGTTTAAAATTTTTATTCTATTAGTCTGTAAAAATTAGAATAATAGCAGTATGAAACCAAGGAAGTTTGACTAATAAACTGGACAACTTATGCAGAACCTTGTGACATAATATAATATAGCTTGATCACTTCACTTTTGATCCACAAAAAACTTAGTGTGGTCTGCTAGTTTCCACCATCAAATTTTTAGTACCTTCAGAATAAAATATAAACTCAGACTTGGATTCCAGTCTCAGCTCTACCAAGCTCAGAACTAGGGCAAGTTTCTTAACACTTTGAACCTTCATTTCCTCATCTGAAAAATTTAGGAATAATAATATTCACCTTATATAAGGTCATGAGGATTAAGCAAGATTATAAGGTATAGGGGCACCTGGGTGGCTCAGTGGTTGAGTGTCTGTCTGCCTTTGGCTCAGGATGTGATCCCAGCATCCTGAGATTGAGTCCCGCATTAGGCACCCTGCCAGGAGCCTGTTTCTCCCTCTGCCTGTGTCTCTGCCTCTCTCTCTCTCTGTGTCTCTCATGAATAAATAAATAAAATATTAAAAAAAAAAGGTATGGAGTTCTATAGAGAACACTGATAATATTGTTTTTTTCTTGGACATGAGTAGAAGGGCAAAGTAAAGTGCTTTATTAAAATCAGAAATCTTAGGAAAATAACATTTTACTTTATAGCCCACTATATTATAATACTTATAAGGAGTTTTTAGTAAAAATTAAAGTATCAAAAAAGTTTGTGGAGAAGGGCAGATTGCCCAGATTTCAAAATATGTTAGAGTGATAACAGGGAAGATTTTAAGTTTGGTGAATTTTATTTTTTTTAAAGATTTTATTTTTATTTTTTTATTTTTATTTTATTTTATTTTTTTTAAGATTTTATTTTTAAATAATCACTACACCCAGCCTGGGGCCCAAACCCACAGTCCTGAGATAAAGAGTCAAATGCTCTACCAACTGAGCCAGCCAAGTGCCCCAGATTTGGTGAAACTTTTAAAAGACTCCTCTGTTGCCTGTTCTAGACCAGAGCAGTTTTTTCAAGGAGTGAATTCATAATTCCTTTCTTTTCCAGATAGCCAAGGTTGAGAAGCTCAAGCCTTTAGAGGTGGAGCTCAGACGCCTAGAAGACCTTTCAGAATCCATTGTTAATGATTTTGCCTACATGAAGAAGCGAGAGGAGGAGATGCGAGATACCAATGGTGAGAAGGCAGTTCTTGTTTCTTCATAAAGGAGACAGATCTCTTTTCTCAGTTTTGCCAAATGGGATGGGGGAATGGGATGATCACTTACTTCAGTATTGTTGCTTTTCCAGGTAAATGAGCTTTGTTATATTTTCAAGGGAATAGAAATTTCTGTGATACGTGGTTGGCTATATTCTCAGCTTATTGTGTATCAAATTGATAGTGCTAATGTTTGTAATTTTTAACATTCATATATAGAACAGTGAAATTTTGAGAAAAGCCAATCCAAAATCCTACTGCCAGGTCTAGAGACTAGGTGAAGTTAATTAATTGCCTTTTCCCCCTGGCCCCTGTTAAGCCTGTTGAGCCTCACTTCATAGCCTTATAACACTTTTGTTTTTTTAGAGTCAACAAATACTCGGGTCCTATACTTCAGCATCTTTTCAATGTTCTGCCTCATTGGACTAGCCACCTGGCAGGTCTTCTACCTGCGTCGCTTCTTCAAGGCCAAGAAGTTGATTGAGTAAAAAGACCCAGTCTCCTCCCACCTTGTATCTCAGCCAGCTGAACATCACTGGGACGTGCCTGATCTAAGGCATCCTACCAACAGCACCATCAAGGCACGTTGGAACTTTCTTGCCAGAACTGATCTCTTTTGGTATGGGAGGACCATGGGTTACCACCTACACCCAACAAATCAATGAGGGACTTTTTTTTAACTTGGTAGGATTTGGACTGGTTTTGCAACAATAGGACTATTATTAATAGAGTTACCTATCACAAACAATAGGGGGTTACCTAGATAATGCCAAAGCCAGCATTTATACTAGGTTTCCTCCTGTTACCTGTCGAACTATGTTTTCTTTCTTTTTCCTACTTGCTCACCAGCTTGGGCTTCCACTCTAGTTCTTTTACCAAGGTTTGTATGACCATGTTGAACTTGTTTCATTCTGATTGTCCTCTTTGGATTTCTGTGTGAAAACACACTTCACTTTCTCTTGACCCTTAGCTGAAATGTTTAGGTAGCTTCTGGTGATATCCTTTCATAAATTTATGGCTCTTAAAAGGGTGATAGATGGGACACCTCATAGAAAGGAGCTTTGAACTGTATATAACTCCTAAAGAGGACTTCATTTTAGAGAATTAAAATATTTGTGCTCAACTGCCTAAACCTTTTTTGTGTATTTATGTGTGTTTTAGTTCTATGCAATTTTATCAGGTGTAGATTTGTGTGATCACCACCGCAAAATGCAGAACAGTCCAACTCTTATACCCCTTGTACTGCTCCCTTTTTATAACGAGAGCCACCTCCCTTCCTATCCCCAAAGCCCCAGCTTCTGGCAACCACTAACCTGTCCTCCATCTCTAATTTTGTCATTTCAAGAATGTTTTATATAAATGGAATCATACAGTATGTGATCTTTTGAGATTGGCTTTTAAAAGTCAGCATAAATCCTTTGAAATCCATCCAAGTTGTTGCATGTATCAATAGCTTGCTCCTTATTGTTCAGCAGTATTTCATGGTATGAATGTACCACAATTTGTTTAACCATTCCCCCATTGAAGGACATTGGGGTCATTGTCAGTTTTTGGCCATTTCTAATAAAGCTGCTGTGAACATTCATGTATAGGTTTTCATGTGAACATAAATTCTCATTTCTCTGGGAGAAACACCCAAGGGGGCAATTGCTGGGTTGTATGGTTAAGCACGTTTATTTTTGTAAGAAACTGTCCTACTCTTTTTCTGGAGTAACTGCCATTCTACCTTCCCACCAGCAATGGGTGACCAATCCAATTTCTCCGAATTCTTACCAGTATTTGCTATTGTTATTATTTTTTATTTTAGTCATTCTAATAGGTGTGTCTAGTAGTACTTCTTTATGGTTTTAATTTGCATTTTCCTAATGGCAGATGATGTTGAACATCTTTTCATGTGCTTATTTATCATTTATATATCTTCCTCAATGAACTATTTCTATTCTTTTTGCCCACTTTCTAATTAGATTTTTTCTACTATTAAGTTTCAAGACTTCCTTATATAGTAGATACAAGTACTTTGTCAGATATGTGGTTGCTTGAATTTTTAACATAACTTCTAGCAAGGAAAATGAAAGTAAAATTTACCAACACTTCCTACATGGCCAGTCGCTGACTTAATTCCTGTCTTTGTATGTTTTGTCTAGCAAATTAAGACATGGGGTATAAAAAAAACCACATCTGGAAGGATTATGAATAGAGTAAATACTTGAAAATGAATGTTGCTTCTTTCCCAAAGCAAGAAGAATTGCTATGGGAATATAAGGTGCCCAAAGGCCACTACTAATATAAGCAAAGGTATGGATACAAATGACCATGTTTATGAAAAGTTATGAAAAATACTGTCACTTGAAAATTTCTCCATTTTGCCTAGGAAAGTGGACAGGAGTCTGTCCTTTCTGTAATTTTCTTTTTTAACCCCTGCTGACTGTTGCAGGGCTTTGTCTAATTGCAGTGGCAAGAATTATAGGACTTAGGGCAAATAGCTTGCAATTAAGAAGCGATGTATTAGAATTAATGGAGAACACTGCTGTGATGACCAGGATAAAGTACAAAATTAGAAGAGGGAGTGAGTTACATTGTTAAAATCTCAGGCCGTTCTGTTAATGCTCCAGCTACTGTAAACCCAAAAGCCCCGCCCCCCTTCCCACCTTCTTGACTTCCTGACTCTAGAATTCCTCTAGAGTGGCAGAATGGTTCTTTCATTAATTTGTGTAACATTGCCATCTGCTGGTAGGAATTGATAGGTACAGCTTTTGAGAACCTGGCAGCCAAATCCTCACCATAAGGAGGATGGACAATGGATGTTGAGAAAGTCCACCTGTGATATTACATATACTAGGTGACAGAGGATACATCCAAGTAGGGAAGAGAATAACCAAATTTGTGGGTCAGATGCAGTCTTAGAGGCCTAAAGGTCAAATTCTATTCTGTACCATTAGCCTAGTAAGAAACTCTTTCATATTTCTGACTGGTGCCTTTCCCCTTTTTCAGAAGCAATGAAAGTTCTTCACTTGATTATATCCTTCTGTTTGACAAAATGGCAAATAAGATAGGAGAGGAGAATATTTTATTTTACTGATGTTTTTTTTCACAGATGTGACTCTGTGAAACTGGTATTTTTTCCATATCCTTCCCTTTTACTCTCATGCCAGAAATACCAACTCAGACATTTGTGCTTTCAGTTTAAAGTTCATTGATAACACCTTGATTTTATTGAAAAAGTAAAAATTATTTGCCTTTGATAGAAGGCTAGTGCAAGAGCAAATAAGCTTTAAAAATGGGGATGTTACCTGCTTTCCAACATTTTGAGCCTTTTCAACACAGTCTATAAATAACATAGAAATGATACAGTTTAAGTGCTGTTATACTGTTGTAATAAACTCCTGTCATAAGCCATTTTTCTGTTTGTTTATTGGACAGAGGCATGTGGGATTTCTACAGATTCACTTGTAAGTGTTGGATTGGGGATTTTTGTGTAAATTTTCTCAAATAAATGCTAGCAGAAACCATTTTAGGTGTATTTTTCTCTTACTCTTGAGTATCTCTTTGAAGTAGCAATAATTCTTCCATATGCTTCAGTTTTAAAGTATGGCAAATTATCCATATAAATTAGAGAAAAGTTATATATAATTTGCTGAGATGAATAAAGTTTATTTGAGCTAATACAGTTTTATTATATTTTATATATAAATATGTAAGCTATATGATGTGTATATAAACATAATCATAATAACATCTTCAGAAAGGTAAAATAGGGTTCTGTAAGCCAAATATTCTCTGTAACTTCTCTTGGAAACTGCTATTGGAATGATTCCTAGAGTGTCCTCTCCCATACCCTCCATTCTCAAAATACCCCTCCCAGTTCAGAACCTCTCAGGACTGCTTTTTTGCCCATCACATCTATATAAAACCCAACACAGCCATTTTCTCCTTCCTTTTACTTACAGTTGAACATTTTTCATAAAGCTCCTTTCCAAGAGTCAACCTGAAGTGCTTTGCACATTCACAGGCTGGCTGGCTTTTTTTATTTTATTTTTATTTTTTTTATTTTAGATTTTATTTATTTGACAGCACAAGTAAGGGGAGCAGCAGGCAGAGGGAGAAACAGACTCCCCAGCTGAGCAGGGAGCCTGATGTGAGGACTGATCCCAGGATCTTGGGACCATAATCTGAGCTGAAGGCAGATGCTCAACCAACTGAGCCACCTAAGCACCCCTACTAATAGAAGTACTAGATCCAGGTCAAGGGAGACAGCAGTCCCTTTGTACTCCAATCCAGAGCCAAGGTGGAGTGTTTTGCAGAGTGTAGGATATCATACTTTATAAGGGTCATTGATGAGCTGTAGAGGTCAAAGGAGTGTGAATTCATCTTTCACAACTCCCCTACCCCTTCTACCAATTCTCTTTATCCTCTCCTTGCAATCACTATCCACCTCATTAAAAATCAGGAAGTGAATCTCCTGGACTCATTTATTTACCTCATCAACCACATCCCTACTGATTATAAAGTTCTAAATGTTCCTCATATGGAGATGCCTGGGTGGCTCAGTTGGTTAAGCATCTGCCTTTGGCTTGGGTCATAATCCCAGAGTCTTGAGATTGAGCCCCAATTCAGGCTCCCTGTTGAGTAGGAGCTTCCTTCTCTCCGCCCCCCCCCCCCCACACCCTCATGCTTTCTCTCCCTATCTTTCACTCAGGTAAATAATTAAAATCTTTTAAAAAATAAATGTTTCTCAGATGGATTTCTCAAATATGGACTTCCTTTCTACTCACACTGATAGCTAAATACTTCAGTGCCTCTTCTTTTCTTAGAATTTTATTGTCTCTTAACTGGTCTCCCTGCTTCTAGCCTTTGTCCTCCACATTGTTAACAGAGTTCTTAAGAAAATAAATCTCTGGTCTTATGTAAAGTGACTGTTGTTTATTGTCTGAGCTGGGCACTTGAGCAAAATAAAGCTCTTTTATGCCTGGGGAAAAGGCGTGAATTGGGACTTCCCCAGCAAATTAGGATAGTCACTAATCATATACTCCCCTCCTTAAAAATTTCAATTAATTTTTTATTGTCCACAGGAAAGCCAAACTCAACAATTGAAGCCCTGTCTTCTCTTGCTTCTGCCCTACATACACCCTGGCCTCCAGCCACATGACTTTGTCTTACTCTCAAGACATACTCTCTGAAAGATGTGGATCCAGATTACTGGGTTTGACTTCCCTTATTAGCTGTGTAACACTGAGCAAGTTACTTAATCTATCTCAGTTCCCTCGGTAGATTGGGGAAAAATATGAGGATTAAGTGGGATGACTCAAGGAAAGACAACCTTTAACAGTGTTAGGAACAAAACACTCAATAAAACTTAGCTGTTAACTCTGTGATATAGGTCATGTTCCTACAGCTTTACAGATTTTAAAAAAGCTTGGAGATGTAAAGTTGCCCAAGGTCAATAGCTGATGGAACATGTTTTTTCACTGCATTACAGTTCTCTTAGCGACTTGAGGGTTAAGAGCATCTTATTGTAGATTTCCCACCCTCAAATATACTGGCACCCCGTGCTCCAAGAGTGTTGCAAGAGGTCAGACGGTCAGAGATCTGGACAGATACACGGAAGGAGGATGTTAAATTGGGGAAAAGAGAGTTGACTTAAAATATTTTGGGGAGTTGTATAGAAGAGGGAAGGACCTAGGGTGGTTCCGGGAGCAACGGCTGGGCCTACGGGCTGAGATGACAGGAGGCAAGTATTTCCGCTTACTACAGTTATCTTCAGTATCTCCCTAAACGACGAGCCCTGTCCAACGTGGAATCACTGCGCTCGAGATAGGCCTGGCGCCGAGATGCGACGGGGCGACCTCCGGACCTCGGAGCTGTTGGATCCTGGCCAGGGATCGGGGGCGGGTCCACAGACCGGTCGGCGACTCCCCGGCCGCCGCCAGAGCCCTTGGGTTCCAGGCCGCCCGCCCGCCCGCCCGCCCCGACGGCCAGCCAGCGCGGCCCGCCGGCAGGGACGGAGGGAGGGAGCCGGGCCGGGGACTCAGCAAGTGGGCCGGCGGGGGCGGAGGAAAGCCCGCCGGGCCGGAAGCACCCGGAACTGCTTCCGGGTCAGGGGGCAGGAGCCACCATGGAGCCTCGCGGGGTAGCGGGGCGGACGGAGCCGCGGGCCGGCGTCTGAAGGGGGAGAGCAGTAGCGCGGCCAGCGCCGGCCGGCGCCGCTGGGGACACGCAGGCCGGTCCCGCAGCCGCCACCATGTCGGTGCTGGGCGAGTACGAGCGACACTGCGACTCCATCAACTCGGACTTTGGGAGCGAGTCCGGGGGTGGCGGGGACTCGGGCCCCGGGCCCAGCGCCGGTCCCGGGCCGCGAGGCGGCGGCGGCGGCGGCGGCGGCGGCGGCGGCGGCGCGGCGGAGCAGGAGGAGCTGCACTACATCCCCATCCGCGTCCTGGGCCGCGGCGCCTTCGGGGAGGCCACGCTGTACCGCCGCACGGAGGTAGCGGCCCCCGGCTCCGGCCGCCCCAGCCCCTCCTTCGCCGCCCCGCTTTCCAGCCCCGACCAGCTCCCGGCTTCGCCCGAGGCTGGCGCCTCCCTCGTCCTCGCTTAGGTCACTTAGGTTTGCGTGGCCGCAGGGTGTTTGTCTCAGGGTCTTCTCCACTCTTCCAGCTCCCCTGCGCCGGGACGCCGGGAGTTTAGATCCCCGGTTTTGCTAACTGATGGTTTCTGTCGAACCTGGGGAACTGAGCAAAGCGTTGAACCTTCTCTGAGCCTTAGTTTTCCCATCTGTAAATTGGGGTTAATGATAACCCCCCTAAAATAATCTTTTATTTTTTTAAGTTTGATTTTGAGAATCGAAGGTACTTTGCAAACTAAATTAAAGTGGCATACGAATGTGAAGTGTTGTCAAAACTTCCTTCCCCTCGTGTGTATAGCTCTCCGAGGTCGGGGTGGAGAGGAGGGGCATAGCTTCAAAATTCCCACGTTAGTGGCAATTCCACCGTCTTTGCCGCTGTCTTTAAATTCAGGTATGAACACCCAGTTGGATATTTTTTAGAGGATCCTTGGGTTCGTCACTTTCTTCATCAGTGTTTGTGAATGGGAAATACCTTTCTGGCATATTCTAAGCCACTGTTTCTTAACTTGGGTTAGGGGGAGGCAAGGACTCCTTTGAAAACCTAATGTAAAAATAATCCGTCCCTCCCCGCCCCGCTTTGCATATATACACATCCTTTGAAGAGATTCATAGATCACTGACCCCCCAAGTCCAGAACAGTATACTGATCTGAAGCCTTGTAGTGCTGACACTACTTCCAAAAACTAACCATCAATTGGACTTTATCACTAAAGTCTTAAACCTGAAGACTGTGGGTGATGATGATTCACCCATAAATGATCCATTTGCAGTTCTGGGGTGTGTTCCAAGCTAGCATAGTTTTAAGGCCGAAAGTTGGAGGAGGGGAGGCGGGTGGTTGTAAGAGAAAATTTTCGTGTTCTTTTTTTTATCTTAGTGCAACAATAGTGTACAGATTTAGGGTTACTGTTGGTATTCTGTTTTTCTTATTTGTACTCATGAGAAGGAGAAGATGAGCATTGCTGTTTCTGTTTTATAATTAAACTAAGACAGTCTATTTAAATGACTTGACACTTAGAAGTAAATCTTGGGCTAGAACAGAGTTTCAGGTCTCCTCTCCCATGCCTTTCCATCATGTTGAACTTGATTATTGAGGTTGGTTTATGTAAAATTTGATTATACTTCCCAAAAATGGCAGACCATTGTTCATATTGCCAAATGTTTATGATGTTTGTGAATTTACAAAGGTTTAATTAGAAGCAGCCCTTTCTCTCCAGAAGGTTTTATTTCAGTGGAAAGACAAGTTGGCCATTAGTTGTTTTTTTTTAAAATAGCATTTAAGTTGAATGTGTATATAAATGAGAAAGGATGCACAAATATCATACCAGTGTAAGTTGTGAAAATGAAGGAATGGTTGCACTGAATAAAGGCACAGTAGAAGGTTTATCAGGATAACCCCCCACCCCCAAGTTTAAAAGTTCTGGCAGAATCATTCTAAAGGATAGGGAGAATGATTTAGGTGGGGATGCTCCAGGGCTGGGAAGCAGTATCAGTAAAGAATTTGGGTGTTGTAAAAGGGAGTGGATATTGGGAGCTGCAGATAAGTTGTCATGGATAGAGGGAAGAACATGACACAAAAGTTATAGGAGCTATAGGAGTTGCAACATAGGGCAGGTGAGGGAAGTGAACTCTAAGCCCTTAGGCATCACTTATTCCTATCCAGAAACCATAAACAGAAATCACTAGAGAAATCTAAATTTATAAAATCAGAGATAAGTTTAATATTACCATTTTACAAGGAACTGTAACTAGCTATAGATAACCATGCTCTCCAGCTCTCCATTTCTCCCAGTATTCTAGCCCTACTACTGCTTATCATGACTAGCAGGTTGTCATAATGTCCCTCAATAGAATCTTAGAGATCTACCTTTCCTATTTTTACCTGAAATTGACATCATGCAAATTAAGTGTAGCAACAATGTAACAGCATCTTAGTGCTTTGCTCCCCCCCCCATTAAATTACAATGCGCAATTGTATGAAGAACCCTTAAATTCTGTTCCTGTTTTTTTTTTAAAGGAAAAAATAAAAGGAGTCAGTCTCTGCCCATCTAGGAAGTTTTCTTTCTAGACTTACAGATCCAGGTGTGGATTCATTCTCTGCCAGGCGAGAGAAAAGCACGATACCTCTATTACTGTGTTGCAGGATGACTCACTGGTTGTGTGGAAGGAAGTTGATTTGATCCGACTGTCAGAGAAGGAACGTCGTGACGCCTTGAATGAGATTGTTATTCTGGCGCTGCTGCAGCATGACAACATTATTGCCTACTACAATCACTTCATGGACAATACCACCCTGCTGATTGAGCTGGAATATTGTAACGGTAAGGTCGAATTCAATGGGCCCTCCTTTGGCAAGACATTCTTGTACCTTGAGGGGGAGAAAAAAATAAAAGGCATATACATTGATTAAAAATTTTAGGTGGATTTCTAGAGTTGAAGAGAAATAACTCAAATAGTTTAAGAGAATAGTTCTTAGAGAATTTTTAAGTGAGTTACAAAATAAGGAAAGGGATTTTCCCCTGCATATTCAAATTCTTGTGCTTATAGTTCCATCTTCAAATTATTTGTTCAGTTGAATTTCACATTCACTTTTCAAGGTTTTTTCACATGAATTAACTTTAGGCATTAGTGTTAGACATCTAATTAGGCACTAAGAGACATGTGGCATGGCACGGCTTGATGTAATATTAATGAAATCTTATGAGTGTTACTTACTTATTTTAACTCAGCCAAAGTTATCCAACTGAAAAGTGGTTCAAAATTCATAGCTGAATGAAAATGGCACATGGTAAAGCATGGCCTTAATTTATCTGGTCTCTGATTTCTTTTTTGCTTGTAGATAGTATTAGCTCAGTTCTTTTTTTTTTTTTTTTTTGTATTAGCTCAGTTCTAAGAGTATAGACTCTAAACCCATATCACAAGCTCCAGTACTTCTTAACTCTGTAACTTTGCACAAGAAACTTTCTCTGCCTCAGCTTCTTCATCTTAGTATGAGTTTATTAATAAACAGTATCTGTCTTCTAGGGTTGTTGCATTAGATGAATATGTAAAGCCCCTATCATAGTTCTTGGGATAGTAGTAAATCTTTAATACATACTGTACTAGCTCTTAATCCTTATTACATAGGAGAACGCTCAAAGCCCTTTCTTGAGCTACAAGCTAAAAAAAAGTCCCAGCATATTCTTCACTTAGATCTCTAAGAAAAAGATCCTAGACTTCTAACTTTTTGTGTTTTTGGCTTATGTACCGTGATTATTGCTGGTTCTGATCAACCCTTAATGTATAAGATTATATTAGAGATTTCTGAAATAGCAGAAGCCTAAGCAGCTAACTTCCTTTGTGGTTAGGAGGGACTAGAACAAGTGGTAGATTTGTTGAAACATTGAGTTACTAACTTAAAGGGAAAGGCGTTGTGAAACTGAGACGAGCTAAGGCGGCAGTTATAGTTGCAGGTAGGAAGTAAAATGAATGGTGATCATTTGTAGTCTGTTATTTGATAAAGGCAAGGGAGAAACAAATTCAGAGTTCTTCCTTAGGAAGGAGTTAGTAAAGGGAGTAATGATTGGAAACAGTCTAGGGTATACCCTAAATTATGGAAACCGTTTCAGTGTGAAGTAGTAAAAAAAAAAAAAAAAAAAAAAAAAAAAAAGGAAATTGTCAATGAGATACACCTGTATGTACAAAACATGGTATCACAGGTATAACCCAAATGTTCTAGTAGTCACAGTCACACCAGAGAGTTATTACAAAAATATTGCAGTTTCCTTTAAAAGGAGTCCTAGGAAAGAAAATCTTTTGATTTTGAAGACTTTCAAGGTATTTTGCTAATTAGGATAATATAGGAATGGGCTTTGTTCTTATCTTTTCTAAAAATCTCATACTTCCCATTTTTGTATTGAGCCTCCCTTGTTAGGGAGGGGAAACTTTGAAGAAGACTTTGGATACAGTCCTCAAAAGGATGGGAAGAGTTTTGTAAAGAACAAGAGAAAAGAAGGGGTTTCCTTTGGAGAGGAAGCAGAATCCTTCAGTTCCTTGTGTCACTTGTTAAAACCCTAGTGGCTACAGGAGCCAAGCTTTGATCTTTATGAAGCAATTCACACCTGTCTCTTGTTAATTGCAGGAGGGAACCTGTATGACAAAATCCTTCGTCAGAAGGACAAGTTGTTTGAGGAAGAGGTAATTCATGCTTCTTTGGAAGGAACCTAGAATTGTATATTGTTGTGATTCTTACATTCTAGGCCTATATTTACTCTTCCAACAATGAAGAGTGTTTTTTTCCTTTTGTTCAGACTCCTTCCAGGCTCTGGTTGCTATTCATGAGAAAGGAGACCTCTAACAGGGAAGCTCTAGCTGCTTCCTAAACGCTTTACCTCCACATCATGATTCTCTATGGGCTTTCTTTCCCCGGTTCTATTACTGCAGACTGGTATGCCCAGTTTTCTATACTTTTGCGTTCTTTTTCCTTTTTTTTCCACAACTCTGCTTCACCATCCCATATTTTATAATAACATCGGAATCGTTTTTATGATGACCTGCTTTTTATTTTTACCCCTACCACTTTTCTTTGCCTACTCAGCCTTCAAGCAAGAGATGTCAGGTCATGTTGTATCATAACCTCTGGTTGCAGTTTCCTTTGTTTTGTTTGTTTTAGTATGTGTCTTTATTTAAATGGAATTTTTTTTTGTTTCCAGTCCAAATATAATTATTTTTTTTTCTGTAGATGGTGGTATGGTACCTATTTCAGATTGTTTCAGCAGTGAGCTGTATCCATAAAGCTGGAATCCTTCATAGGTAATGAGTGAAAGAATATGGGACAGAGGGGTATCTGAGTGACTCAGTGAGGCATCTGACTCTTAATTTCAGCTCAGGTCTTGATCTCAGGATCATGAATTCAAGCCCTGCATTGGGCTCCATGCTGGGTGTGTGTGGAGCCTACTTTAAAAAAATATATTTGAGGGCAGCCTGGGTGGCTTAGCGGTTTGGCACCACCTTCGGCCCGGGGCGTGATCCTGGAGACCTGGGATCAAGTCCCACGTTGGGCTCACTGCATGGAGCCTGCTTCTCCCTCTGCCTGTGTCTCTGTTTCTCTCTCTCTATGAATAAATAAATAAAATTAAAAAAATATATATATCTATATATATTTGAGATGGATTCCTCCCCACCAATCTAACCCCCGTCTTGCATACCTCCCATCAGCACTATTATATTTTTGGTTAAGCGGTCAAGGCTTTTCCGTTAATATAATTTAGGAAGGAAAGAGTGAGTAATGAAGGGTGTTACCTTCACTTCCTGAAGTTAAACTGTGTTTGTAATCTAGGAAGAATCTCAGTAGCTAAGTACTGCTCAGTTGCTTTTTTATGAGATATTTTAGAGTTGAATTCATTAATTCATCAGTAAAGTCTAGAAGCCACTAAGAGAAGTGATATTAGATTGGTTGGAATTCATAGTAAATGTTTTCTGTGAGCAATAATAATTGGCAAATATTTTTAATTTTATAATTGAGCCTTAATTTACATAAAAATACAATTAATTTTACAATTTAATAGCTATCTATTCATTTCTAGCTATAGGAAAGAACTATTAGAACATACTCCTCTTAAGTGAGTCATTCATTGATCATTGCTAGAGATTAGTGTTGATTCACCAGTATTTCTTTTTTTGTTGGTTTATTCATTTAGTTAACATGTGCTTCTTAATATCTATTGAATGGCTATAGTTGCATATTATTTTCTTTTCAAAAGTTACAAAAAGTATTCTGGTTTTTTCACATGTTAAGGAAGCCAGAGTGTGAACCAAGCACAGTTTATTTGTGTTATATATGACCAACTCATCTTTAGAAAAAGAGCCAGTGGTTTTATTTAGGTGATCTACATAGCCTAATCATGTTGCTGCTGGGATGTGCAATCTTTTCCCTTGCCTTAACAGATTTGAAGCTTTAACACCAACCAATTCAAGGTTTAAATGGTAATTGAAGAGGCAGCGCACCTCATAGGAACTATAGGATTACCTAGAGCACTGTGTTTTCTGTTTTTTTTTTTTAAGATTTTATTTTTTATTCATGAGAGAGAGAGAGAGAGAGAGAGGCAGAGACACAGGCAGAGGGAGAAGCAGGCTCCATGCAGGGAGCCCAATGGGACTCCATCCCAGGTTTCCAGGATCAGGCTCTGGCCAAAGGCGGCGCTAAACTACTGAGCCACCCAGGCTGCCTGAACACTGTTTTCAATCTGGCCCTCTCAATTTTTTCTGATATCCCCAATGGTATGAGAGACATGACTGTGCTTGAAGCCCTAAAGAATGGAGTTAATTCTCTGCCTCCATTCCCCCCAATCCCCTTTTCAGTGTTAAAGTGCATGTGAAAGTGGTGATCACTGTTTGGGATCCCATAATAGTCTGAGCAGTGGTAACCACTCATTTTATTCTGTACTAATTCTGGGCAGAGTCAGGGGTGAAACAAACTGATTGTCTGTAGGAATTTAATATACAGTATCTTTTATTCCAGAGATATAAAGACATTAAATATTTTTCTGACCAAGGCAAACCTAATAAAACTTGGAGATTATGGCCTAGCCAAGAAACTTAATTCTGAGTATTCCATGGCTGAGACGGTAAGTATGTGTTGCCCTTGTCTTAATTTTTTTTTTTTCTTATCCTTTCCGGTACCGCGATCTATAACTGTAAACCATGTTAAATCTCACATGCTTTTCTCAGTATTTTTCTAAGTTCTCCATATTTATTTATTTTTTAAAATTTTTAAAAATTATTTTTAAAAATATTTTATTTATTTATGAGAGAGACACAGAGAGAGGCAGAGACACAAGCAGGCAGAGGCAGAAGCAGGCTCCATGCAGGAAGCCCAGCGTGGGACTCGATCCCTGGACTCCAGGATCACGCCCTGGGCTGAAGGCGGTGCTAACCCGCTGAGCCACCTGGGCTGCCAAGTTCTCCGTATTTATAAAGCAGGTCTTCAGGAGTCTTTCCTGTGCTTACTAACAGGCATTTACATGCTCAGGTGTTCCTTCAAGAGTCATTGTCCACATCATAGCTCTGACCTCTTAGCCCTTTCCAACACTTTCTAAAAACAAAGAAATGCTCTACCATTTTTTCTGGCCAAGAATCTCTAGTAGATTTCAGTTTATCTCTTTGAGCTTAGGATGTTGGACATCTATTTTTGTGTTTCCTCTGAATTTTCCTGGTTCAGAAGCCCTATATTACAAATAAAGGCTAAGGCACAGAGAACAATCTGATGTTAATATCGTATGCCATCTCAGTTGCAGGGCTCCCTTCTCACCTGATCCTAAGAAAGACCATTGGTAAAGAGTAGACCTAAGTTAATCTTTAAGGACATTGATTCCATCCTATTATCCTATTAGGAATTATAAAACCCAGTTATTACTCTTCTAGTTTTGCAGTGCTCTTTCCATAAAATTAATTTTGTCTTGTTGATGTGTTTTGGTAATGTCAAGATATGCCTGTAAGCAATTCAGAGACATCCAAGGATGCTAATAGCTAGGGTTTGGAATCTGCTTCAGGAACTCAGTCTGCTTGTATCATGGTGTCATACTGAGCTTCTGAAGAACCAGTCATGTTCTTATATGGATTTTTCTCATCAAGAATAATCTGGTAAAACCAAGACTTGACTTTTTTAGCCAGTTAAATGTAAGGAAGGAATGATACGAAAATTTATAAGTGCCATATAAGCCATCTAAAACTTGCTTTGCTGGTTAAAGAGGACTATCAGTTTTATTAGAGCTTCTCGGGTACTCATTGTCTCTTGTCTGGGAGAGGCACAACTTCCATTCAGGACATTTTTATTTCCAAACCCATTCTTCAAGGCAGAGGATCTTTTTTCAAATTTGAAAGAAATTTCTCTAGCCATTTTAGTATTACAGATGTCAAATTGAGCCATTTACAAAGTTTCAGTACTATGCATTTCAGTTAGAACTTTTGACCCCTTTATTTACTTATCATCTCCCCACTGTCAGTTTTTTTCCCCCCATTGGCGAACTTCTACTAAGCGTGTCTTTATCTTTATGACATCTTCAGCGGGCCTAAGCCCTCTGTGATCTAGGAATCACTGTTGTGCCTCCCAAATTACCACACTGCCTTAACCCTTTTTAATTGGTCCAAAAAATGTGATATGAAAAAAGATTTCTTCCCATCTCATAAAAAACATTTCGGGATTTGCTGATGAATATTTTATAGTTGTTATCACTAATTTGTGGGAAATTTACTTTAGTTGTTGAAATATTAATATAGTTACCTCAGAAATGAAGTTATTCTTTGTTTTCTTTGTTGTTCAGCTTGTAGGAACTCCATATTACATGTCTCCAGAACTTTGCCAAGGAGTAAAATACAATTTCAAGTCTGATATCTGGGCAGTAGGCTGTGTCATTTTTGAACTGCTTACCCTAAAAAGAACATTTGATGCTACAGTAAGTTGTATTTTCCCCACCTTGTCCTTGAAAATGGTATAACTTGGTTGAGAGAACCAAATTCATTTATCCCCGAGTTTCTGATTTTTTCATCAGAAATCGGCTGTAGGCCAAAAAAAAAAAAAACTATTCAGGCTTGATGTAGTGTATTACTGAAATACTGTATATCAGATTTATCTTTAACTTGACCTCCCCACTGAAATAATCTTACTCAAGTGGTTTGAGCATTGTACTTGAATTTGTTGACTCTAATTTTGAAATTGGCTCTAGGATCCACTATATGATGTTGCAGTTTAGATAAGCCATTTAATTTCTTATGCTTCAGCTACATCATTTTTTTTTTAATCTTTTTTTTGTTTTTTTTTTTTTTTATTTATGATAGTCACACAGAGAGAGAGAGAGAGAGGCAGAGACACAGGCAGAGGGAGAAGCAGGCTCCATGCACCAGGAGCCCGATGTGGGATTCGATCCCGGGTCTCCAGGATCGCGCCCTGGGCCAAAGGCAGGCGCCAAACCGCTGCGCCACCCAGGGATCCCTACATCATTTTTTTAAAGCTAAAACAAATTATGTAATACTCATTTAAGTGTTATTTTTTATAAAATATTCCACACTGACTCTTATATTAGAGGTTGTTATTGTTTAATGGACAACAAATTCCTTTTAGTTTATCTTCTTTTCTTCCTAAGTAAAAACAGTGCTTCTCCAACTTTCACACACATAGGAGATCACTTGGGCACCTTGTCAAAATGCAGACTCTTTTTAGTAGATCTGGAGTGGGTCCCAGTATTCTGCATTTCTGACAAGTTCCCACATGATGCTGATGTTGCTAGTCCATGGATCAATTGGCATAGCAAAAATGGATTCACATTCAATATTCTCTACAAACCATGTATGAGAACTTAAGTAAATCATTAAAGAATTTCTTCAGTCCTCTATTTCATTATCTATAACAAGGAAAAATAGATATTTTTCTTATAGAGATGCTATGATAATGTGTATGAAAAATGCAAATATGAAATAATGCTAGTTCATTGGCCTTCCATGACACCTATTTGTTTTTCTAAATCCTAGTTTATTCTGATGTATCATCTAATTCTTCTTAATAATATAGCAGAAGGAAAATGAGTTTTAGAGTGAAGATAAACTTTGGTTGGTGTTATAACTCCATTTTTTACTATCTGTGTAGTCTTAGGCCAGTTACTTTATATCTTTGAACTGATAATTATAATAACCTCCTTACAGGGGGTTTGCAAAGGTGCCTGCCTAGCAAACTGTGGTCTCTCAATAAAGGTATTGATGGTATTATAATAATAATATTATCATTGTCATCTTATTATTTACTGCCTTGTCTGTTATTGTAGAGTATCTTCTGCATAACATTAGGAGGCTCTCTCTCTGTATGACTATCATAAATAAATAAATAAAAAATTTTAAAAAAAAAAAAAGGAGGCAGATTACGTGGCAGAGAAGGTACTTAAAGCCAATAAGCATGGCTAATCTTGCTTTCCTTTTTCTTGGGATTCAGTTGAAGGGTCAGATTATAATATACTCTGAGTATTATACTATTGGCCACATAGTCATACTTCCATGTAGGCCATTTGGCTTCATTCCTTCTGATAGCAACAGTGTATCCCTAGCTATTTCTTGCTGATGCATACTCAGTTATAAAAGAAATCAAACCTAATACAGAACAATTGCCATTTCTTTAAAAAAAAGTAGTCACAGACATCTCAGAACCCCTACTGATAGATTATATAATCTTTATATAACCAAGAATAATCATTTTCTTATAGAATCCACTCAACTTGTGTGTGAAGATTGTACAAGGAATCCGGGCCATGGAAGTTGATTCTAGCCAGTACTCTTTGGAACTGATTCAAATGGTCCATGCATGCCTTGACCAGGTAAGTGTGACTTAACATGTTGATTTCAGTTGAGGGTTTTCCCTTCCCACCATGGTGTTTGGAGTATGGTATGCATACTTTGTGCAGATTCCTGCATAAAACCACATTCACTTCCCAGGGTAGAATATATTTTGACTATACCCAGAAGAATAAGCATTGGCAATTCATGATAGTTATTTGTTGTAGGCAACAAATCCTTAAGCTTTATTCTGCTTTATTCTTACTTTACTGATTTGTGAAATTATCTTACCATCTAAATTGTGCTCCATTTTTTATGATTAAGATTAATTTTTGTAAATTGATTTTACAGAATTTTAGTCAGAGTTCCTAGTGTGCAGAATATATATAATTCTTATATCTCACAGTTGCCTTGTAGTCTAGCTCTAGGTTGATATTATTCAAAATATGGTTTGTGAACCATAGGTGTTAGAATTGCTAAGGGATGGAAGAGTTTTACAAATAAAAAATGAAGTTTCCTGAGTCCCACCCCAGACCAACTGGATCAGAATCTCTATAGATAAGGCCCAGAAATCTTTATTTATAACAAGCACTCTGGGAGATTCTTTGTGCTATATATATTGGAATTTAAGAGACAGTACCATACTGAACAAATAAGGAATGTGCATTCTCATTCACATACAAGTATTGATGATAATGAGATGATATGCAGGAAACATGGAATGTGACATAGGAATTTTTTTTTTTTAAACAAAAGGATAATATACAGTGATCTTGGAGTAATCAGCATACAGCCTTCTAAGGGGAAGTAAAATTCCTCGTTAGATCCCATTTTGCCGTTTTCCTTTGTTTTTTTTTTTTGTTTGTTTGTTTTGTTTTTTAAGATTTTATGTATTTTATTTTATTTATTTATTTATTTATTTATTTTTATTTATGATAGTCACAGAGAGAGAGAGAGAGAGGCAGAGACACAGGCAGAGGGAGAAGCAGGCTCCATGCACTAGGAGCCCGACGTGGGACTCGATCCCGGGTCTCCAGGATCGCGCCCTGGGCCAAAGGCAGGCGCCAAACCGCTGTGCCACCCAGGGATCCCGATTTTATGTATTTATTCATGGGAGACACAGAGAGACAGAGAGGCAGGCAGAGGGAGAAGCAGGCTCTCTGCAGGGAGCCCAGTGTGGAACTCAGTCCCAGGACCCCGGGGTCATGACCTGAGCCAAGGCAGATGCTCAACCCCTGAGATACCCACAGCACCCCATTGCTGTTTTCCTTTAAATTAAAACTAACCCAGTTTGTACTTTTTAGGATCCTGAGCAGAGACCCACAGCAGATGAACTTCTGGATCGCCCCCTTCTCAGGAAGCGCAGGAGGTAAAGTACAGAGAAGTCACTTTCTTGTCTTTCTTTGGATAGTTAACTGTTAAAGACCTGATCAGAGGACCACAAGAGAGGGCAGCGTTTCCTGATGTGGCCGCTCTGATGCCATTTTCTAGCAACATCTCTGTTTTCTTTTCTTTTCCTTTTTTTTTTTTTTAAAGATTTTATTTATTTATTTATTCATGAGAGACACAGAAGGAGAGGGGCAGAGACATAGGCAGAGGGAGAAGCAGGCTCCATGCAGGAAGCCCAATGTGGGACTCAATCCCAGAACTCCAGGATCACGCCCTTAGCCAAAGGCAGATGCTCAACCTCTGAGCCACTCAGGTGTCCCAACATCTCTTTTTATTGCTTGAGAGAAGCTCCTGACTTTACTTCCTTAGTCTGTGCTATTTTGTTCTGAATATATACTGATGAGACCCTAGCACCCTGCACTCCTCTCATCTGTGAGTTTTCATCTAGAATTGGAGCATTAGAGTATAGAAATTAAGACAGGAGAGCTCTGGACTCAGACATTCTTAGGTTTGTATCTGAATTCTATTATTTTCTTTGTCAAGTTATTTAACATCTCTGTTCTTTAGTTTTCTCCTCTGTAAAGTCAGGTAGGGTAAGGATTAAGAGAGGTAATGCATATAAAGTGCTTAGCCCAGGGCTTGGCACAAGACGCTCAGTGATTGTCAGATAGTAGTATGGATTTAGAGTGGGCCTTTGTTTTTCAGCGCATTCATTTAGATGGTATGTTGCAGTCAGAGGAGTTTTCTTATGCTCATTTCCTGAAATCAAGCTTGCCTGATTATTGGCAGGTTACTTCCTGAGATTTTTTTCTCTGTTCAGGGTCTCTAGAGGTAGGAAGGAGGTCCTTTATTCCTCACATCCTATAGGAGGCTTCAAACCCAAACTTATTTTTTTTTTCAAACCCAAACTTAAAGGAAAATGTGTTGTTATTCTTCTTTATTTTTTATTTTTATTTATTTATGATAGTCACAGAGAGAGAGAGAGAGAGGCAGAGACACAGGCAGAGGGAGAAGCAGGCTCCATGCACCGGGAGCCCGATGTGGGATTCGATCCCGGGTCTCCAGGATCGCGCCCTGGGCCAAAGGCAGGCGCCAAACCGCTGCGCCACCCAGGGATCCCTATTCTTTCTTTTTTAAAAAGTAATCTCTACACCCATCACAATCCTAAGATCAGGAGTTGCATGCTCCTTTGACTAAGCCAGCCAGCATCCTTTTATTATTCTCATCCTGTTCTATTCTCATCCTGTTATACTCTTTTTGTCTTACTGTCCTTCTTCCTCCCCTACCAGTTCTTTGTTTCTATAACTTCCCAATATTTAAACCTTTCCTCTGCTCTTTTTCTTTTCTTTTCTTTTTTTTTTTTTTTTTAAGATTTTATTTATTTATTCATGAGAGAGAGAGAGAGAGGCAGAGACACAGGCAGAGGGAGAAGCAGGCTCCGTGCCAGGAGCCTGACACGGGACTCGATCCCAGGACTCCAGGATCGCGCCCTGGGCCAAAGGCAGGAGCCAAATTGCTGAGCCACCCAGGGATCCCCTCCTCTGCTCTTTTTCAAGTCTTGCCCATAGATACATTAAGTATATATTTAATTCCATAATCTTTGCATTCGGTCAGTACCTTTATTTTGTTGTGTCATTTAATCTTTTTTGGTTCTTTTCCAGTTAAGGTCTAGTTAGTGTTTTAGTGTCTAGAATTACATGTAATACTCCAGAAAGAGCACTATGACCTTCTACTTATGTTTGATGCATATTCTAGCAGTATAATATGCTGGTCAAGTATATTTAAATTTTTTATCTGGCTTATTTTCCCCAACAGTAAAATCACTATTTAAATTTTTTTCAAATATTTTCATTGATAATTTTTTATTGCAATTTTTATTGAGATAATTATAGATCTACACACAGTACTTCATTAGAACTTTGTACTTTGATGGAAAAACATAAGACAAAGAGCTTTCCAGGTAAAGCACAGATAGAGCAAACTGTAGAAAATATTCAGGAAACACTAAGTCCTACTTGATTAGTGGGTCTAGACCTGGGGCTCTCAATAAGCAACACCTCAAGGGCTTTCAAAAAATACTGATGCCTAAGGAATTCAGCTATAAGTGTTTTAGACAGAATGAGAACCCTGAGCAAGAATATGGGAAGTAAGTAGAAGGAAAGAAGGCTGGAAAGGTAGGTAAAGAATCTTGAATGCTGGACAAAGGGATCTGTGCTTAATTCAAACTATAGTACAGTAGTGGATGTTTATGAGAGGGTAGTTCATGTGATAAGGGGCATGCTTAAGGAAGACTAATTTAGCAAACTAATCTCAGTGTTAAATCAGTAGAGGACCAATAAAGTGGATTGGCACTGTGGTGAGTTAGACCTATTAGGATGTGCTACAGCAGTCTAGGTGGGAAGCAAAGCTGCTCAGAGCTAAGGTGGCAAGCCTGGAGGGGAGAGGTGAATATAAAGGGCACCATATAGGTAGAATCTCTAGGACTTGATATTAAAGAGGGACAGCGTAGGAGTTTTAAGCCTAGTTCACTGGGAGAATGGGAAGTGCCAGTTATAGAAATAAGAGAATCAGAAAGAAAAGCTGTATGGGAAAAAGAAAATGAACTGAGGTTTAAAGATGGTGAGTTTGGGAAGTCAGTGGGTAGCCTGGATGGAGAGGTCAGCAGGTACTCAAAATGTGCAACAGAGGTTCTCTAGGTTCTCTGTTCCAGCTTGGAACATTTCTTGAAGAAAGAAAACAAATGGCCCCAAACTGCTGTCCCCCTCATATTTAATGATTGTCCAAAGTCAGGCCTATGTAACTGTTTGAATGGTATTGAGATACTTTTCCCAAAGTATTGTCATATTGCAGGAGGTATATTGTTTATAGAGGATTAAATCTATGAAATGTATTAAAGAGTCATTGGTACAATGTAACAACTATTCTTTTACCCATGTATCTTTTCTTTTGCTAGAGAGATGGAGGAAAAAGTCACACTGCTTAATGCACCTACAAAAAGACCAAGGTAATGCTTAGGAGACTCATAAAAACTGAAATACCTTAAATTACCATTAGGAGGTCTTTCTTTGGTCCATGCATTGTTTGATCCCTGTAAGGAGCCTTTGAGAAGCATCCTTTGAAAAGCCAACATCTACAGAAATGTCAGCTAGTCATTTCTGAGAAAACAGAAGGCTATAATTTCATCCTCATGCTGAAGTGGACATCATTACCATGATGAATGTTGAAATTTGAAAAGTGTAGGTGTTATGGACCAGACTGGAATCTGATCTGGCTGAGCTGTTATGAAGCCCTGAGGCAGAAATTGCAAGGCCTGCTCTGATAGAGGGTTGAAATAAGTTGTCGAGAAAAAACATACTTTCGCATGCCATAATTGGCAGTTCTTCTCTGGGAACACTGGAAGCATTTTTCTTTGATATAGTTTTTATGTTAAATATGCCTTTGTTCTGGGGGTTGTTGACAGGTCAAGCACTGTGACTGAAGCACCCATTGCTGTGGTAACATCACGAACCAGTGAAGTCTATGTTTGGGGCGGTGGAAAATCCACTCCCCAGAAACTGGATGTCATCAAGAGTGGCTGTAGTGCCCGGCAGGTGTGTGCAGGGAATACCCACTTTGCTGTGGTCACAGTGGAGAAGGAACTATACACCTGGGTGGTAAGTGAAAGCTAAGTACTTTAGAACAGTGATGTAAGCCTAATTGTTTACTGGGCTGAGGATGTCTAAGTATTTTATTAGTTGAGTGTGCTGTGGGAATAGCACCATGGGGTGATGGAACATAAGCTCTTATGAGACCAGGGATTTTGTCTGTTTAGTTCACTGACGTATCTTTCCCCAGTGCCTGGTACATTGTTTGATCCCTGTAAGTAGCCTTTGAGAAGCATCCTTTGAAAAGCCAACATCTACAGAAATGTCATTTGTAAAATGTTTTTTTTTTGAATGAATGAATCAAAGAAGACGGAAGGAAAGAATGAATGAAAAGATCCCTAGGTCTGGACTCAGGAGACTGGACTCTCATTTACAGCTGAGTGATTTCAGAGTCACTTAATTATTCTATTGCCATGAGTTTCAGAGCAACTAGTATCTGTGAAATAGTTTTATAAACAAATGAAGCAGTGTACCACATCAGGAAAATTCTAAGACCTTTATCAGTGATTGAAAATGGCTAGGTATATCTTCAGTAGAATTTTCCTTTGTTCCCTCTTTCACCCTGTCTCTACCTTCTGGAACAATTTGCATATATTTGCTGTTTCCTTACTCCTGCTCATTCATCATTTGCCTACAATGCAGCTTCCATCCCTGCCACTTGATTGAAACTACTCTTTAAAAAAATGACCTCTAAATTGTGAATATAAAACAGATACTTTGTTGTCCTTACTTCCCTTGACCTTCCAGCAGCATTTTTGACCGAGTTAATCACTCTCTCCTTGTAGATTTGTCTTCCCTTGGCTTCCATGAGAGCTTCTTCTCTTGGCTTTTATCTTGTCTCTTTGGCTGTGCCTCCTAACTAGTTTTAGGCTGCTTTTCCTTTACCCAGCCTTGTCTTAGGCCCTCAGTTCTTCTCACTATTCCTCTTCTTTCTGGGAGAGCTCATTTTCTCCAGCAGCTTCTCCACAAGTAAAGGTTTGTCCTCAGTGTGTGACAGAGTAGACACTCAATTATTAATAGATTGAAAGAAGGATGGAATGATTGGGCCTCTGTTACAGAATGTTAACTGTTACTTCCTTAAAACCCCATCCCTTAAATAACTAGCCCATGGGGGGCTTCCAGAGATGGAGTGAAATTATTGTCCCTTCAAAAACATTTGGATAAGGACTTACAGTTGAATTCTTGTATGAAAAGATTTACTTTTCTTTATAAAACTGATGAAACATGATTTAGAACTACTCTTGGTACTATATAGCAGCCTCTTGGATGCAGCCAGATTCTTTATAATTGTTCCATAGTTCAGGGAAACTGACCAAAATTCATAAAACTTCTAGTAAGGATTTCCAAGAGACTATACTCCTATAGAAAGCAATCAAGGTAGACTATATAAAGAATTTTTTAAGATTTTATTTATTTATTCATGAAAGATACAGAGAGAGAAAGGCAGAGACATAGGCAGAGGGAGAAGCAGGCTCCAGGCAGGGAGCCTGATGTGTGACTTGATCCTGAGACTGAGGATCACACCCTGAGTCAGGGGCAGGTGCTCAACTGCTGAGCCACCCAGGCGTCCCAAGAATTTCTTTTCACCAACACCCATAATTAAATATAAAAGCCTTAGACTTGAAGGAGAAAGACAAAATGGGGAATGTGTTCTTTTAGGTCTTGATAGGTATCAGTCTGGATGCTTTTTAAGTCTTTACCTGTTGGCAGGGATTTTTATACTACCTATCATTAAAAGGCTTAATCTCCTTACTGATTTTTTTTTTCATTTCTAAATTTTCAGCTGATTTTTTCCTATGGTTTTTTGATAAGAAGTTATATTGAAGAGTAGCTTTTGGCATGAAAAGTTAAAACTTCACAAGACCTCTTTATTTCACAGAACATGCAAGGGGGTACTAAACTCCATGGTCAGCTGGGCCACGGAGACAAAGCCTCCTACCGACAGCCAAAGCATGTGGAAAAGTTGCAAGGCAAAGCTATCCGTCAGGTGTCATGTGGTGATGATTTCACTGTCTGTGTGACAGGTAAGTCATCAACAGAAAGCATGCCATGCATTTGACATGGGGTATTGTACTGAATGCTCTGCAGTTTCAGTGGGATTTTATAGCAAAAGACAGTATTCTAAGAACCAAAGACACTGAGCAGACACACACATTAATAACAAAAGCCCAATTTGCAATGGTATTAGTGTGGGGTGATAAGCAAAGAAAGGCCCGTGGATAACAGAGAAGAGGTGGGATCAGGAAAAAGATGTTGTATGTTCCAGTTGGAGGGAAAAATAATGTTACCACCTAGTCAGGTATGGATAACACCAAATCAGAAATAAAGAGCGGAAGTTTAATTTAGTCTTTAAGCCGTTTACATTTTTTTTTCAAAAATTTTTTTAGAATTTTATTTATTAATTTATTCATGAGAGACAGAGAGAGAGAGGGGCAGAGACACAGGCAGAGGGAGAAGCAGGCTCCACGCAGGGAGCCCGACATGGACCCAATCCCGGGTCTCCAGGATCATGCCTCGGGCTGAAGGCAGCGCCAAATCACTGAGCCACCCGGGCTGCCCTTTTTTCTCAAATTTTTATTTAAATTCTAGTTAGTTACCATACAGTGCAAGTTGGTTTCAGGAGTAGAATTCAGTGATTCATCCCTTCCATATAACACCCAGTGCTAAAATTTAGTTTTCATCTTGCCATTAGTTACTTTTCCTTTTCTCTAGAAAATAGAGATGGCCCCAATAAAATTTCAACATAGTACTACCACCTTTTAAAAATTGTTATAACGTACCCATGATCCCCTAAATAGAAACAATTCTAGACTTTCGTGGTCTATCCTTCAGATTTCTCTGGTGAAATCATTTCATATGAAATCCCTGGATGAGATAGTTTCATTCCAGTCCTGTCCAGCTTTCTGATAGGTTATGCCTTCCTTCCTTTTGCAGATGAGGGTCAGCTCTATGCCTTTGGATCCGATTATTATGGCTGCATGGGGGTAGACAAGGTTGCTGGGCCCGAAGTACTAGAACCAATGCAGCTGGACTTCTTCCTGAACAATCCAGTGGAGCAGGTCTCCTGTGGAGATAATCATGTGGTGGTTTTGACACGAAACAAAGAAGTCTTTTCTTGGGGCTGTGGCGAATATGGTAGGTGTAGCCTTGTTTCTGTCCACTTGTTCCCAGGAGCCAACTTGACTTCAAGCTTGTATGCTTCTAAGCATATCATGTAGCTTGTACTTGAGAAGTGTTGATTCAGTAAAAGAGAATGTCGTTATAGAACATTTTCATTGGGAAAGAGGACCTCATCTTAATGGTTTTCTTTCTTATGTGTATCTCAGGACGACTGGGTCTGGATTCAGAAGAGGATTATTATACACCACAAAAGGTAAACTCATAAGCAGCTTCTTCCTAAAGCTTATGTAGGTCACTCAGACTCCAGTAATAACACAGACTCCTCTTTCCCTGACCCCTCATGTCAAGGTGTTTATTTCTGAAATATTTTCTATCTGGGAGACTGACAGTCCAGGATTCCTGATTTAGCACTATGTGACCTTGTCATCTGACTAAACCATAAACAGTTGAGAAGGAGGATATAGCCATTATGGATACCCTGGAGTCACATTTTATTCAGGAATGAGAGCTAAAATCTGCATGTACCATGACAAAGACACATTGAGAAAAAAAAAAAAAAAAAGAGACACATGAGCTAAATACACCCCAGAAAATTCCTTGGGAAGATATTGGAAAGCAATATATTCCCTCTTAACCCCACACAGCCACTTTCCCGTCTGATTTCTACAGTTGAACTCCAGATGAAATGTGTGTTTGTATTTAGGGGTCATGTTATATGAAACATAATACCTAATTACTCTCAGCACTGCAGCAGCTAGCACTGCAGGACTTGGCACAGGAGCTGAAAGCAGCTGCAAGAGGAGCATGGTCATCTGTCTCACACTCACCCTAGGATGCAGGCTCGCCTGCCCACCGGAAGGGTGACTGTAATCAACTATATCATGCACTGTTAACTCTGTTTATTTGCATTTTAAAAATTAAACATATTATTTGTGGGACCGTGGCTGTTCCTCTTCTGAAAAGGCTTTTTTAGAAACACTGAGGTTTGAGTTTTCAAGTTTCACAGACAATGATCCTGTCACCTTACCATTCCCCAGCCCTGTTTAGTTAGCTTGAAGGATGTGAGCCAGGACTTGGAAGTCCTGGCTGCTGATTCACTGTAACTTCACTTATAATGTGACCAGACTAGGACCCTTTAGGGCTCCGGAGTTTCTTCTATAGCTGCTGTGGGGCCTACCATCTCAGGGGACAAAATCAGCAATGGGTTGAAGCTTCTCTTTTCCCAGTGTTTTCGGAGAAGTCTTTGTAAGAAGGACCTACTGCTAAAACAAACTGACAGGACTGTTTAGCCAACCTGGAAATGTCTTCTTTTATTTTATTATCAAACCTGAGCTCCTTGTTGAAAACCATAGTGTTTAAGCTGCTGGGAAAATCTGAAGAGGATATAACAGTCTTTACGGTTGGCAGTTCTGCTAAATGTGGGACATCACTTTTGATGGAATTTGAGGGTTGTGTCCTAATGCAAGTTACGTTTGGGGGCTTTTTTTTTTTTCCTGATTTTTTTTTTTCCGTGCAGGTGGATGTTCCCAAGGCCTTGATTATTGTTGCAGTTCAGTGTGGCTGTGATGGGACATTTCTGCTGACCCAGTCAGGCAAAGTGCTAGCCTGTGGACTCAATGAATTTAACAAGCTGGGTCTGAATCAGTGCATGTCTGGAATCATCAACCATGAAGTGAGTACGCTCTTTGGTGCCTTAACCACACTGTCACAATTTCTCTTAGGTTGGAATTTCTTTGAGAATGCTATTGGTTAGTGACCGTGGAATTTTACCTAAGAATAAAGATTTCGCAGATACCATTTTTTATGTTCAATGAAAGAAGCTAGCCATGAAAGAGTATACACCATGTGATTCCAATTATATGGAGTTTAAGAACAGGCAAAATCAACTTATGATGGCAGAAGTCAAAGTAGTGATTACTTCTGGGAAAAGGTATATGAGTATTAACAGAAGGGATCCTAGAATCATGGAAATGGTCTATATTTTGATCTGAGTGATGGTTTTACATTCATATAGATACAGAAAAAATTTTCAATCTGTACAATATTTTATAATGTATTATGCCACAATAAATAAATTTATTACAAAGAATCAAGTGATGGAATTCAGGTACCTATTTCTACTCTATCACTGAAATAGGTACAAGAAAATTTACATGAAAAGAAACATTTTCTTTTTTTTTTTTCTTTTTTCTTTTTTTTTGAAAAGAAACATTTTCATGTATCACCTCCCTGAAGAGTTTTTTTAGATTTATTGCTACAAAATCACTGATCCTGTTCAGGCCTAGTGAATATAATTACCATTCACTTCCTTCAAGGATATCATGAAATTTACTACTGTTATTAAGACTTCATTTCCTTAAAAAAAAAAAAAAAGACTTCATTTTCTCCTTATGTTAATATGATGAGTTTTTTTCATGTACTAAAGAATCAAATTAAGAGACAAAACTTTTCAAGGGCGCCTGCCTGGCTCAGTTGGTGGAGTGTATAAGACGCTTAATCTCAGGGTCATGAGTTTGAGCCTCACTTTGGGCATGGAGCCTACTTTAAAAAAGAGGGCACCTGGGTGGTTGAGCATTTGCCTTTGACTCAGGTTGTGATCCTGGGGTCTGGGGACCAAGACCCGCATCCGGCTCCCTGTGAGGAGCCTGCTTCTCCCTCTGACTGTGTCTCTGCTTCTCTCTCTGTGCTTTTCATGAATAAATAAATCTTACAAAAATACAATAAATTTAAAAATGTAAAAAAAAAAAAAAGAGAGAGAGAGAGAAAAGTTTCCTGACTCAGGGAATAAGAGTTTTTTTTTTTTTTTAATTTTTATTTATTTATGATAGTCACACACACACACAGAGAGAGAGAGAGAGAGGCAGAGACACAGGCAGAGGGAGAAGCAGGCTCCATGCACCGGGAGCCCGACGTGGGATTCGATCCCGGGTCTCCAGGATCGCGCCCTGGGCCAAAGGCAGGTGCTAAACTGCTGCGCCACCCAGGGATCCCCAAGTTTTTAAGTGGGCCTCCTGGGTGGCTCAGTTGTTAAGCATCTGACTCTCAGGTTATGATCTCAGGGTCTTGACATCAAGCCCTGCTTCAAGCTCTGTGCTCAACATGGAGTGTGTTTGTCCCTCTCCCTCTGCTCCACCCACCCACCACTCTCTCTGTCTCTCTCTCTCTCTCATAAATAAATAAAATCTTAAAAAAAAAATGTTAAGCAATCTCTGAAGTAATGATTCTCAAATGGGAAAGTACAAATTTGGGGCAAGTCTGGGAAGGGTGTCTACGTAGTTTGAAAAGGCATATTCAGAATTACCATTACTTGATTTGGGTTTTTATTATAATGTTAGGTTTGTTGTGAAATTTGAGAGGAATTTTTTAATGCTAATCTAAAGGGACGTGGGTTTTAATATGTTGAGAACTCTGCCTTGTAGATGAAATTAGATCACAGTAAACTAGTTGCTTAATGGGCCAGAGAGAGTCCTCAATATTTTAATCCTTTGCCCTGCGTTTGTTAGTATGCAGTATCTATACCAAGACAAATGTCATTGGTTCTATCCTCATGTAGATAGATATCATCTGGGATATAGAGTTCATGTTTTGTATACTTACTCTTAGATTAGGAATCTAAAACTTTTGTTGTCAGAAAGTCCTGCTTCATACACTAATTAAATTCTCTGATTATATATATGAGCTTATTTTGTCTTGTATTCAATTGGATGAAAAGTTACCTGGCACATTTTTCTTAATAACAAATCTGCTTGAAAGCCCTTTTAGTCACCATGACAGCATTTTCAGCCTACTATCACTTCATTTTTACCTCATGAGTCTTTGCTTTCTGTTTTACCTTGTTTCAGGCATACCATGAAATTCCCTACACAACCTCCTTTACCTTGGCCAAACAGCTCTCCTTTTATAAGATCCGTACAATTGCCCCAGGCAAGACTCACACAGCTGCTATTGATGGTGAGTTGATTTACAACTTTTATACACAGGCCTCAGTAGCTCATGCTTTTTTTCCCGCTCAAGTGTTGGCTCTTCTTTTTTTTTTTTTTAAGATTTTATTTTTAAGTAATCTCCACACCCAATGTGGGGCTTGAACCCACAATCCCAAGATCAAGAGTTGCACATTCTACTGACTGAACCAGCCAGGTGCCCCAAGTATTAGCTCTTCTTAACAATATATACATTCTGGGACACCTGGGTGGATGTTTAAGCGTCTGCCTTTGGCCCAGGGTGTGATCCTGGAGTCCTAGGATCGAGTCTCATATCAGGCTCCCTGCATGGAGCCTGCTTCTCCCTCTGCCCATGTCTCTGCCTCTCTCTCTCTCTGTGTCTTTCATGAATAAATAAGTAAAATCTTTAAAAATATATATATATAACAATATATACATTCTTCTGTTTACTCCCTGGCATCCTGTATTATCTCATTAACAAATTAGGCATTCAAGTAAATGTTTTTTTGGTAATGATTATAAATGCAGTCAGTACATCCCTTAATAAGAATGCCACGCCTATAATTCCAGACAACTACTGCCTTTAATTAGTGCCATTTAGGAGTTTACTAAGGTAGTATCCATTTTCTACATGCAAAATACAATATTAGGGAGAAAGTACAATATTGAATCACTTCCTGGGTCAGATTGGTCATAGATCTAGATACCTTAGCTTCCCTGGGTACAAGATTGTGTGGCTGGCTTTCTATTTGTATATACTTAACAACCAGAAGCTAGTCCATGGAACTCTACATTGACTGCATTTTCCCCTCTGTTCTGTGCCCCATTTGTGCCTGTTTATTTGTTTTTATTCTCTCTTAGAGCGAGGCCGGTTGCTGACCTTTGGCTGCAACAAGTGTGGACAGCTGGGCGTTGGGAATTATAAGAAGCGTCTAGGAATCAACCTGTTGGGAGGACCCCTAGGTGGGAAGCAAGTGATCAGGGTCTCCTGCGGTGATGAGTTTACCATTGCTGCCACTGATGGTGAGTCTGTACACACCATTTCAAGCTTTCTGGATGGCTGGCTATATTTTAATGTTTGGCAGGGAAAGAGGTGGACTGGTTATTTAGATAGCTGAATTATACACTTTTTGTTTACATTAAATTGGTGTCCAATTGTTATGCATTTGGAGCTTCATTAACTTCATGTGTTCAACATAGTGATTATTTAAAATAAAACAGATTTCTAGGTAATGGCAAAGTTAATATTCTAAGTTACTTTTATTACTTTAAATATTTTGGTTAAATGTTTTAAGAATTTGGGGTGCCTGGGTGGCTCAGTCAGTTAAGTGCCTTCAGCTCAGGTCATGATCTCGGGATCCTGGGATCGAGCCCCAAGTAGGGCTCTCTGCTCAGTGGGGAGCCTGCTTCTCACTCTGTTCTTCTCTACCTTGTTCTCTCTCTCTTTCAGATAAATAAAATAAAATAAAATCTTTAAAATAAATAAATAAATAAATAAATGTTTTAAGAATAATTAAATATCTACATAAACCTGGCCCTACGCCATGTTGTTTTCAATAAATGTTGGCTGGGTGACTGGAGAGAACAACATAATCTAACCTTGCTCCTTGGCCAGGCTCAGCCACACTGCAGTGATGTTCTCAGGAACTGCTAAGGTTTGAAGGGCTGAATACTGTGTGTTTCTCAGCTTCCAGAATTGGAATTGGCCTAACTGAATTTTCTTCTTTGCTCTTTCTTCTCCACAGCATCTTGCTCCTTTCACCACTCTTCTTTACCACCACTTGAGCTAGTCTTTATTCTCTTTCCTCTCTATTCTGCTTTTTTAAATTTTTTCTGTATCACCTGAACTTTTTTGATTGTTGTAGCCACTTCTTTCTTGTGACTACTGAACAACAAATCACATTTCATTTTCTTATCTTTTGACTCATTTCAGTTCTTGTTGCTTATGATCTAAAATGTCTGTTTCCTTTTAGTCTGTGCCTACTGTATATACATGAGGGATCCAGGGACAATGTCAAATAAGTACTCTGTTACCGTATTTAATTAAGTGAACCAGCTTTTGGGGTTAACCTTCTCCACTTGTCCCAAAATGAGGGATTTTAGGGAGCAAACTGTTAAGGTCAGATTAGATCAATGGAAATGCTACCTAGAAAGACAGAGTGAGGGTGTCACTGAGGATTAAGTACTGCAAGTCAAGTAGCACTTCCTGACAGAGCCTCAAGAAGGTGATATTTCTTCAGTACATGTGTGTCCTTCACAAGGTCAACTCAGAATGAGGAATGTAGAGTTGAATTCCATGGCTGGGTGTATTACCTTCTAATAAATGTTTCTCTACTTCTCTGAACTATATCTCTTACACAGCCAACATAAATTGAGTGCCTACTATGTTCCAGGTCCACTTTTAGGCTCTGAGAATATAAAAGTGAGTCTCAGAAAGCCCCTGTCTTTAAGGAGCTCACAGTCAAGTAGGGTAGGAGAGACATTCATATCAACAGATTAGTATAGGCAAATAGATCAGGTGCCATTGATAGTGATATCTGACCCCTCTAAACCTGGAATGCCCAGAACTCAATTCTTCTATCCCCCCCCACTGTCTCCCTTAAGTTCCCCATATTCACTGATGGCTATATATCACCACCCCTGAACTCCAGGTTGTTATTCATCAGCCCCTGGACTTTGATGTCTAAAGGTAGGGTGGCTTTAAAGCTCAGTTTTCCCAGGTAAGTCCTCATTCATGCTTAGTGTCCAGGCTTAATCATTAATAGTACCCCTTTTCATTAAAAAATGCTCTGATTTAGATAAGTTATAGGCATCTCAGACAAACTAGTATTAATATAGTAAAAATCAGACTTTTGATTTTCTGCCCAAATCTTTTTTTTAAGATTTTATTTATTTATTTTAATAAATTAATTTTTTATTGGTGTTCAATTTACCAACATAGAGAATAACACCCAGTGCTCATCCCGTCAAGTGTCCTCCTCAGTGCCCGTCACCCACTCACCCCCACCCCCCGCCCTCCTCCCCTTCCACCACCCCTAGTTCGTTTCCCAGAGTTAGGAGTCTTTATGTTCTGTCTCCCTTTCTGATATTTCCCACACATTTCTTCTCCCTTCCCTTATATTCCCTTTCACTATTACTTATATTCCCCAAATGAATGAGAACATACACTGTTTGTCCTTCTCCAATTGACTTACTTCACTCAGCATAATACCCTCCAGTTCCATCCACGTTGAAGCAAATGGTGGGTATTTGTCGTTTCTTTTTTTTTTTTTTTTTTGTATTTGTCGTTTCTAATGTTTCTGCCCAAATCTGTTACTCCTACACCTTTCCTATCTCACTAAATGGCAGTTTCATTCTATACTCCGCATCCCATCTATCAGCAAATCCTATTGATTATCTTCATAGTATATCTGACCCATTTCCCACCATCTTTACTCCTACAACTGGTCTCCCTTCTTCTATCTGTGGTCCCTTACAATTGATTCTCCTCATGGTAGTCTTTTGGATCCTTGGGTTTTTTTTAAGATTTTATTTATTTATTTGAGATAGAGCATGCATGCACGCCCGCACACACACATGTCTAGGAAGAGGCAGGGGGAGAGGTAGAGGTGGAGAGGTAGAGAATCTCAAGCAGACTCTATGCTGAGCTCATAGCTTGAGCAGGGCTTGATCTCAGGATGTGAGTCAAAACCAAGAGTCAGATGCTTAACCAACTGAACCACCCAGGTGCCGCTACTCTTTAGAACTTCCAAAGAATTCCTATCAGTAAAAACCAAAGTCATTACAATGGCCTATGTGGCCCTACACAACCAGGACCCCACCTACCTCCTGACCTCTTCTCTGACCACTGTCTCCTCTCTTATTTTGTTCCAGCTGCACGGGCCTTCATATTCCTTATTCATGATACTCATGTTACCCACATAGGACCTTTGCAGTTACTATTCTCTCTGCCTGAAAAGCTCTTCCCTTAGATAGCCACATCGTTCTCTTTTTCTCTCACTTCAATCAGGTCTCTGCTCAAATGTTGACAGGTACTTCTCTGACTACCCTATCTGAAATAATCATACCCCACTATTCTTTTACCACTTTTCTTTACCATTTATCCTCCATTCATAACATTTATGACTACCAGGCTTATTAGACACTTCACTGATCAGTCTTCTCCAACTAGAATGTCAGTTCCACAAGGGCAAATGAACAAAAAAAGCTGAATGAGTCAATGAATGGATGGATGGATAGATGGATGGCAGTACATAGGAGAAGTGGTCATTTTTACGAGGTTGACATCAGGAATCATTTAAGTTTTATTTATGGAAATAAACCACTTTCCCTTGTTTTGTACATAGTGGAAAATCTTTCTAACTCTAGGACATAAAGATGGGGAACCCAAAGAATAGGGAAGTCAGTTTTTTATTAAACTATCTGCTGTTTGATTTTTTTTCTAGATAATCACATTTTTGCCTGGGGCAATGGTGGTAATGGCCGCCTGGCAATGACCCCCACAGAGAGACCACATGGCTCTGATATCTGCACCTCATGGCCCCGGCCTATTTTTGGATCTCTGCATCACGTCCCAGACCTATCTTGCCGAGGCTGGCACACCATTCTCATTGTTGGTAAGGGTTTCATATATTAGGCTTGGGGTGGATTTGACAGAGAGTAGACTCATACCTAAGATTCTGATGGTCACATTCTTCGAAATCGAAGTGTCCTGAAGAAAAGAGGCTCTTCCTATAAGTCTCATAGCAGTGACATCATACCTAGTGGTGGGACAGAACACTGTCAATGCCTGAGCTTTGTTGTTTGCTACCTTCTGACCATATTTTAACATGATAACTTTGGGCTCTGCCACCTTTGCTATAAAATTGCTATCTCTAGTTGTCTTCAGATTGTTGGTTGTCTGTATTCATGCTTTTGTGAGAAACATTCAGGATACCTTTAAAAAGAAACTAAATCATATCTGTTTTCTGCATAAAGATTACTGCCATGAACTAAATTATAAAAGCCTGTGTAAAGGTTTCCAAGTCCATTCTTTTGGATCAGTGGTTTACAACCTAAGCTGCACATTAGAATCCCCCAAGGAGCTTTTAGAAATCCACTGTCCTGACCAATTAAATCAGAATATCTGGGATGGGACCTTGTTGTTGTTACTATTTAAAGCTTCCCAGGTATTTCCAAAGAACAGTTAAAGTGGAGAATTGCCACTCTACATAGTGAATATAGTTAGAGTAGCTAGTAGTGCTTTAATATCTAGAATAATAAGTAATTATAAAGTTACCTGGAAGGAGGGATAGCTGTTATCTTGTAGATTAGCTCCCTATTCTAGTCTTCTCACTTTTCCTGTCTATAGCTATTTATGATGCTTACCTACTGAATATTTTTCCTCAGAGAAAGTGTTGAATTCCAAGACCATCCGTTCCAATAGCAGCAGCTTATCCATCAGAACTGGTAAGTGGCAGTGTCTCAGGTACCAGTGGTTTTTCTGTACTGTAGGTCTTTGATTCCAGCAGTCTCCAAAAAAAGGAAATGGGAAATATCTTTGGGAAATGAGGAATACGGTGATCAAGAGAAAGGATCATATTTTGGTGGATTTCACAATAAGCTATGACTTTTATTACATTGTGGTCAGAGAGAGAGTACATCTTTGCCAAACAAGCATATGGAAGTAATTAAGTGGCTTGCCCAACATTGTAATGTGGCTATGTATTATTTCTTTCCTTACCATGCTAGGGGCTATGGGTTCTGTCTGCTTTTTACTTCCACCGTATTCACAGGGTTATTCCAGCCTATAGAAACAGTCCTTCAAAACAGGCCCTCAGAATTAAAAGTTGGCTAAACTTTCAGTGTGGTTAGGAAAATCAACCCAAAGCTCTCTGATAGTTTTCCTTTGGCTGCTTTCTGCATTGTTCTCTGTTATTTCAGACTATGCCAGAAAACGAAATCTGTGTTCCTTTTTGGTTAGCCATTTGCTCTGAAGTACCTTTACTCTTCAGGATCTCAGAACCTGGATTCTGTTAGTTTGTAGAATCAAAGCAGATAAAGACTTGGAATAAAAGCAGATTAATCCCCAAATAGAAAGTTGAAAGTCTGATCTGGACTTGTACTCTAGTCACACACACATACATCATACATTTTATTCATTTCCTTTAGTACTCTGTTGCTCAGCATTTACCTGTGCATGTTAATATCGGTCACAAATGATAAAATTTCTTTTTGCTAAACGCAGCTGTTCTCTTACAGCTTTGTTTTGGTGGAACAGTATTTAACGGAAAAAATAAAATTAAAAGCACATATCCATTGGCTGGAAAATGTTAACTCCATAAGGGCAGGAATTTTCGTCTTTTTTAATTTGGTAGTTTTATCCACAATGCCTAGAAGAGTGCCCGGCAAATGGTGAATACTCAATAAATATTTGCTGGTTGAATCTGTTTTTACCATCCAATGTAATATTCTACTAGAGTGGAGATGAACATCTACAAATAGTTCCCTAATGTAAAATGTAAAAAGCAAGTTGTAGCAGATGATAACGTTCAAAAACAAGCCAAATTAATATATTGCTTAAGGATACATAAATATTTGATGATTTTTTTAAAAGAAGAAATGATAAATATAGAATAAAATCAGTAGTTACATCTAGGTAGGAAGCCAGAGAAGGAATTCACAAGGCACATGCAATACAGGTAGTGTTTTAGTTCAGCACTGTCTCATATATCTTTCTGCAGCAGTGGAAATGTTCTATGTCGTCGTCCCACACTTGAAAAGTAGCTATTGAAGGAACTGGAATTTTATTTTATTTAAACTTTAATAGCCATATATGACTAGTGACTACCATATTGGAAAGTACAAATCTATTTCTTCAAGTTGTAGATTCGTGTTTTTGTTTTATTTTGTTAGGTATCAAAACTTATACATATATTAAAAAATATCTTATTATATTTCAGATGTAACCTAATTTTTAAAAGCCATTTAAAACAAAGCAAGCTTCAGAGCTTTTGTTGGCAGCTACAGTTCTGCTGCTTCAGTAGGATCACAGTGTAGCAGTCTACAAACCACCTATATAGCTAGTGATCATAAATAGTCCTTTACATTTAACTTTTTTTTTTTTTAAGATCTACTTATTTATTCATGAGCTTCCTGCAGGGAGCCCAATGTGGGACTCAATCCCAGAACTCTGGGATCACGCCCTGGGCCGAAGGCAGACACTAAAACCACTGAGCCACCCAGGCATCCCTACATTCAACTTTGGAATATACAATGCAATTATTTTTTTAGCTTTGACAAATTTACTTTCTTAAATATATATATATTTTGGCCCATATTAAAATTCAGTTTCATTTTCTGATTACACATCAGCTAGTCTTCATTTCATTAAGGTAACTTGGAATATGCTGCCTGATATGAAAGAACCAGCCGTCATATTTTAAAAATTCTTACAAATAGTTATCAAGGAACTTAATAAATGTAATGATTGAAGACTTCTCCAGAAAGAAGGTAGTGTGAGTTTATCTGGCAGCTTTAAGATGTGTTTGGCTCAAATGTGAAAGAGCTTTGTTTTTATATGAAACCTTGATGAGCCTTGGTGGAGAATGCTGGAGTCTGGATGTATCTATTAAAGCCTGGGTGGTAGATTCAGCTATGGTTGGGATGATTGTTGAGTAATGCTTTAGAACATTGATAATTTGCTGTGGATATAGAGATAAGTAAGTTTGGGATATAAAAGTGAATTATCATTATGAAGATACTGATGTTCAATACCTTATGTAAAAACTAAAAATTTAGTCCCAAATATCTGACCTGCACTATTGCTACTACTTCATGCGACTCTAGGAAGCTCTCCAGGAGTCAGCAGGGCTGTAAGATCATAAATCTTTCTTGCTACATAGCAAGGCTCTCTCTTTCTGTGCTGTGTATCTGTCAGTGGTTCAGAGCTCTAGCCCAGGAGGCGGCGGCGGTGGGGGAGAAGAGGAGGACAGTCAGCAGGAATCTGAAACTCCTGATCCAAGCGGAGGCTTCCGAGGAACAATGGAAGCAGACCGAGGAATGGAAGGTTTAGTCAGTCCCACGGAGGCCATGGGGATCAGTAGTGGGGCCAGCAGCTCCTGCCCTGGCTGGCTTCGAAAGGTAATTCCTTTGGTAGAGGTATCTGGAAAACATCAGGCCCTTTGCAGCAATAGAGAGGCGTTGTCAGCATCTCTCCGTGCCCCATGCCCTGTTCAAGTGTGTGTGTTGCAGCAGGAATCAAGGTTTCTGATTTCTACCTGGGACAAAATTACCAAATCTCTAATCCTTTTTTCTTCCTGACATGAAGAGACCCAAAATGTTCTCATACCTTTATTACTTACAATGTAAATTAAGAAAACCTTCCTTGAAGGCAGTTTTTGTAATGCATGTGTGCAAAAATTGAGCTTAGAGATTTTGTACTGTGATTTGTAGAAGTGGAACATTGGGTCAGCCAGAATGTTTTACAGCAGAGAGATGGGTTATGAGAGTTGAAGTGCAGACAGTAAAAATGTTGGAGTATATTTATTTGGATGGAAAGTTGGTTACAACATGTGGCTGGGTAGATAAAGATGGAATACCTTTGCAGCAGGACCCCATTCTCTTAGAGTGTATGTAATGCATAGAAGAATGTCTGCTGTGAAGACTAAATACAGTGTTGCTCATTTTAACAGTGCTTATCTCAGGGATCCCTGGGTGGCTCAGCGGTTTGGTGCCTGCCTTCAGCCCAGGGCGTGATCCTGGAGTTCTGGGATCGAGTCCTGCGTCGGGCTTCCTGCATGGAGCCTGCTTCTCCTCTGTGTCTCTGCCTCTCTCTCTATGTGTCTCATGAATAAATAAATAAATAAAATCTTTTTTTTAATAATAAATTTATTTTTTATTGGTGTTCAATTTACCAACATACAGAATAAAATAAAATCTTTAAAAAAAATTAACAGTGCTTATCTATGAGTAATGGAATTGCTGGTCCTTTTTTATCTGTTATTTTCTCATTTTCTACAGTGAGCATTTGCAGATTGTGAAATTTTAAATTTTTACCAAAAGAAAAAGAATCTGAGATTTATTATTTTTTTTAAAGATTTTTAATTTTATTTATTCATGAGAGACACACAGAGAGACAGAGAAAGAGGCAGAGACACAGGCAGAGGGAGAAGCAGGCTCCATGCAGGGAGCCTGACATGGGACTCGATCCCTGGTCTCCAGGACCAGGCCCTGGGCTGAAGGCAGGCACTAAACCGCTGAGCCACCTGGGTTGCCCAAATCTAAGAGATTTAAAGCTGCCCTTTTAAGACAACTAAACTCGGTAGCCAGTTCGGAGAATGAGTGGAGGATGCAGCACACTTTTGTTTCAGCCTCAGCCTTGAGCAGCCTGGTCAGTGACCTCACTGTCATCACCTTTGAGCTTCCCAGCTCACTGAATAGCCCATGTAGAATAAGTGTGTCAGGGAGACGTGCCACGTGCCCCAAACTGTGTTCTTGAATTTGAGTTCGAATTCGCATCTCTTTTACTCTTTTGAGGAAGCGATGGCTTGCTCTTTACAGGTACAGTGAGCTGTGTGGAACCCACAACTGTCATGCCCCACTAGAGGGTGCTGATGTCACAATAGAGTGAAAGCTGTAGCAAGAATTGGGGAGAAAGAAAACAAACAGCTCAAACAGAACTGATGAGATTTTTTTCTCTTAGGAGCTGGAAAATGCAGAATTCATCCCCATGCCTGACAGCCCATCTCCCCTAAGTGAAGCTTTTCCAGAATCTGAGAAAGATACCCTGCCATATGAAGAGCTACAAGGACTCAAAGTGGCCTCTGAAGCTCCTTCGGAACACAAGCCCCCAGTAGGAGCCTGGGTAACCGAACTCTTTGCCTTTGAATCACAACTAAGTAAACAGAGAGCTTTCCCCACTTCTGGCTGCACCATCTCCTCTAGCCTTCTCGGTCTCCCAAGGCCTTGTATCAACTCATTATATTGTTTGGTAGTGCTTAAAGCCTCTGCCCTAGGCTTAACTGAATTGCCTTGGAAAAGTATTGACCCTTTCCCATTCCTGATGGGCTAACAGCTTTCTACACCAGAGGACCATCTTTCTTTTCTCTCTTCCTCAGAAATACCAAAATTAAATTTCCAAAATTCAGATCTAGTTTTTTTGACACTACTAGTGTGGTGGGTTGGAGGCTCTGAATATGAGTAAGAAATAATGCTTATAGTCTAGTGAGGGAGCCACACATATGTGCCTGACCTTGGCAGATATCAAATTGTGGTAAATTCCTTAATCAAATGTAAGCCCCAGGGGTCATCAAGTTTTTTCTATAAAGGGCTACATAGTCATTATTTTAGGTTTTATGGACCATACAGTCTCTTCTGCAACACCGCTGACATTGTAGCACAAAAGCAGCCATAGATAGTACATAATGAATGAGCATGATTATGTTCCAATAAAACTTCATTTACAAAAATAGGCAGTAGGCCGGATTTGGCCCATGGGCTATCATTTGCTGACCCTTCCTATAAATAAAGTAGAGTAGAAGAAGGGAGAAAAATCCAGACTAGAAAAGATGTAATAAAACCTTTGAAACTTCAAGGTAAATGTTTAATTCCTCTAATTAGCTTTCTTGAATTATGTTGGCAGTCCTGTTTACTGAACACCTTCCAAATGTCTTCTAAAGTGTGACCTACTACATTTCATGAACTGTGATCAGAAAGACTCATTCCAAACCATATCGTGCCTTCCCCTACTTCAGCATTTTCAGTGGGATGATATTAATGCACTTTAAATTTGTTTGCCAAGTTCTCCAAAACAGGATTGTTCTTTTGCATTAGCATAACAGAGACGGAGGCACTAAGAGTTGTCTTGTCTTGTGAAGTTGGAGCCAGGTGCTACTGTATACCCAGCATTTTCTGCTTTTACATTTCCTTTATGTGTCCCTATGTTACTTTAAAAGTAAAATCTAAAAAAAAAATAAATAAATAAAAAATAAAAATAAAAAAAGTAAAATCATCTAAATACCATTTAGAGAAAGGTTAAATGGGGCAGCTGTGGTGTCCAGGTAGAATGCCTATGACCTCTCTCTGCTCTCCTTAGCCACCTCGGCTGAATCCTGCAGAGACATGTGCTGGGAAGGCAACGCCATTAACTCCTACCTGTGCGTGCAGCACTCTGCAGGGAGAGGTTGAGAGATTGCAGGGGCTGGTGTTAAAGTGTCTGGCTGAACAACAGAAGCTACAGCAAGAAAACCTCCAGATTTTTACCCAACTACAAAAGCTGGACAAGAAATTAGAAGGAGGGCAGCAGGTGAGAGCATTAAAAGAATAATTCAATTTCTAATTCTGTTTTGAAGAATTAAAGAAACAAAACACCAAGAACTGAAATAGACTTATTCCTTTGCAAGTACTTATCTTTTGATGATGTAACTTTTGTAATTAATCCCAGCAGCCCTGGGCCTTGTTTCAGGTGCCTGGGTTAAATCATTTTCATCATCTGACTTCCATTGTTTTTTGCTACTCTGTTTTTTTCTTTTACTTTTTATTATGAAAAACTTTAAGCATCACAATTCAGTGAACAGTCATCTATCCACCATCTAGATTCAACAATTATTAACATGTTGCTTCTTTTAAATGTCTGCATATGTATTTAAAATATATGGGGGTATATATATATCTGTATTTAAAATATCTGTGGGTGTATGTGTGTGTATATTATTTTGCTAAACCATTTTCAAATAAATTATAAAAGTTATGACATAGGCCCCCTAAATACTTTCTTATACATACCCAAAAATAAAGACATTCATTCTCCCAGATAACTGGCAAACTATTATCACACATAAAACAGTTTACACTAATCTAGTACCCAGTTGATAGCCCAATTTTCCCACAAAAATGTCCTTTATAACTTTTTATCAGACCAGAATCCAGTCAAGATCCCTACATTACATTGTTATGTATGTCTCGTTTATTTTTATCTGGAACACTTTGTTTAGTATCCCCCTTCCCTTTTTAAAAAATTTTCATGCCATTGACTTAAAGAAACAGGGTCATTGTTTAACAAAATGAGCCACATTCTGGATTTGTCCTCTATTTTCTTGGGACATTATCTAACTTGTTCTTTTGTCACCCTGTCATTTATTTTATTTTTTTTTATTTTTTTATTTTATTTATTCATGAGAGACACAGAAAGAGAGAGAGGCAGAGACACAGGCAGAGGGAGAAGCAGGCTCCATGCAGGGAGCCCGGTGTGGGACTAGATCCAGGACCACAGGATCACAACCTGGGATGAAGGCAAGCACTAAATCGCTGAGCCACCCAGGGATCCCCACCCTGTCATTTCTGTAAACTGTCATTTCTATAAACTTAAGGCCTGATTAGATTTAAATTAAACATTTTTCGTAAAAACATTTCACAGGTGTTGCTGTTTGCATTGTTGTTTTAGAATGCAAGTGGAGTGGGGGGAGGGCCTGGGGGGCAGAGAGACAGAATCTCAAGCGGACTCCCCATTGAGTGCAGAGTCTGACACGGGGCTCAATCCCATGACTGAGATCATGACCTGATCAAGAGTCACAAGCTTAACCGACTGAGCCACCAGGTGCCCCATTTGCATTGTTTTTAAAAAGCCATTGTATTCCTCTATTTAGAGTGAACCAGGAAAGGGAAATAAGGTTCAACCTTTGGCTTTGCCATTTACCAGTTTTATGTGTCTGGACCAAATTACTTGGTTTCTGTGAGTCCTAGTTTCTCACCTAAAAGAGGAAAAGAATACCATCTACCTTGCATGGTTGTTTTGATGAATGAGAACGAAATCATGTCTATGAAAGTACTTTGGAAAGTAACATACTCACTTGAGGTAAGCATGGGGTGATTGGCAGCTATAGCAGGCAGGAAGATTATTTGGCTTAGGACTGTCTCAGTTTAAAATTGAGTGTTCTACATTCCAGAAAATCCTACAGTCCTAGGCAAACAGTCATCCTACCCGCAACGAGTGTAAAGGTGTGGACTTTATTTAAGGTAGCATTGTTAAAGTATCATCTAAGGTAGTATTATGAGCTTGTCACAAAACTGTAGCTACAGGTCCTTGGAGGTCAACATTAGAAACCTAGTCCTGAACTGCTATGACTGGTGGTGGTATTGTTAATATGGAACTGTGTTTTGTTTGGACAGGTGGGGATGCATTCCAAAGGAACTCAGACAGCAAAAGAAGAGATGGAAATGGATCCAAAGCCTGACTTAGATTCAGATTCCTGGTGCCTCCTGGGAACAGACTCCTGTCGACCCAGCCTCTAGTCTCCTGAGCCTGTATGGCCTCCAGGAAACTGGGATCCAAAGAACTTCACAGCACACTTACTGAATGCAGAGAGCGCTTTCCTGGCTTTGTTCACTTGCAGACAAGGAGTGCAAGGCGGAGGCTCTGAAGCACTTTCCGTGTACACTTGGGGAGTGGCATGGCCTGTTAGATAGGATCTAGGAGTGGTTTTGTTTCGGAGAATGGAAGGGCCCCATGGCCCTGGCTTTGTCCTCAGTGACTGCCATAGCAGCAGCAGCTCTGTACCTCATCTGGTGATCCCACCTTTGAAGAGGAGACAAAATGCTCACCTTAATTTTGTTGGTAGCAGCTTATGTCCCGTTTATCATTTCACCATTACTTGGAAGCTGCCTTGGGAATTCAGCACCAGGCATTGCACCTCTGGGTGGAGGAGGGAAAAGTGTAAAACTCGAGTGGGCTGGAACCAGGTGGGGCCCATCCAGAGTCATCTGGAGAGTGCTGAAGTGGTAAAGCCCTCTCAGGAGCCCTGAGTCTGGGAAACTACGTCTGGTGGAGTCAATCTAGGACTTGTTTTCAGAAAGTTCAGTTACTTTGCGTTAGCCAAATGCTTTAGGAGGAAAAGTGGGTTTAGACTGCTTTTCCTCTGAAGGTCGATTAAAATGTCTTTAGTGAGGAGGAAACAAAGAAGGCTAGGTCCCTCCTCATCACACAGCTGGGGTTGCTGTCTGTGGCCATTGCAGGTTGGATTTCCTAACTTTGGAAGGTACCTCTAAAAGGTGAGGTATCCCATAGAGAATTGAGTCAGTGGGGCAATAGGAATGACCTTAAGAGAAAACCATAAGGGAGAGAGGTCCTCCTTTAGCTGCCTCTACTTGGTATCTTTGGGAAGGTCTAGAGTACCTCTGCCTTCATGGCTCTTAGGGTTCTAACCTCAACTTCAGCAGCCCCAACCACTCCCTTTCTGTATGTCTAGTCAGTATTTGTCCCCTTTTGGTGTTTTATGAAGCCATATCAGTGAATCTGTATCATCTTTCCTACTTGAGTGGCCCAAAGCCAGCACCAAACCTGGTAGTCCCTGAAGCCTAACAGGACAGGTAGGAGCTACCAAGTGAAAGGAATTTGGCTGATCCCACAGTCATTGTGTCCTTATAGACAAGAAGCAAGCCAGCTTTCCCGAAGAGAGAGTGTCCTCAAAGCTTTTGATAGTTTTACTTAAGGATGTCAACTTTGTGTTTTCACCTCGCCTTATAAAATGTTCCTTTAGTATTTTGGGTCATAGGAGTTGCCTTGATGAGTCTCACATGCCCCCTCCTTAGAAGCCACTAAATTACTTTTTGTTTCATTTTCCCCAAATCAAAAAATGAATGTTTAATATCTCTTTAACATTTTGGAAGGACCTGTGCGATGGAAATTTTGCCATTTCCCTGAAACTGGTGGTGTAAAGGCTGATGCTTGGGGGAAACCCCATGGCTGGGGACGGGCAACTCTGTTCAATGGGATGTCTTTGGTTTGATGTTCCCATTGTTTTCTCAATTCTGGGAAGCCTAGTACAATGGTACTAATGTAATCTCTAAAGCCTTTTCTTAAAATAAGGGAAGGGGCCAACCCTGGATTAAAGTTACAAGTTCTGGGGACTTGGGGGTTTGCTGTAAACCCTAACAGTGGGTTTTGGTTCATCATGTAAATGCACCTTTGTTTTTTTTTTAAGGACTGACTGGCTCTTCATGTTCCTGTATCCCTCATACTCACCATCTCAGCAGGACTGAGAGGCAGGCTCAGTTTGGGTGTTAATCCTGAGTATTGCTTCTGCTGTGGAACTGAGGAACAGGGTCACGTTGCTGAGACAGGGGTGGGAGTGAGCATTGAAGGGAGGGGTGAGCCCTGCTCTTGTTCCAGAGGGGAGCCATTCTCTAGCAGGGGAACACTGCTCATTTTCTCTAGCATGTTCCCATGGGAAGTCTAGTTTGCTGTTAATCTGGCTGAGAATCTGAGTTCTGTGCCTTAGAGACAATTTGCACTTTACCAAATTGTGCCTGGGACAGCCGTATGATTTTTCCCACCAAATAGCTATGCAAACAGAAACCAATTCAAAGGTGGCAGCCATGCATTAGATAAAAAGTGAAAGGTTAGGCAGCAGCAATGCCTTTGAATAGTTTTCTGTAGCTAATTCTCTTGGAGTTTGTCCTGCTTTTCTTCTTTCTGCAGTGCTAGGTGTTTTCAGTTTCCCAGTAGTATTGCTTTTGAGTTATAGTATAACCTGAGTTATTCCTCTGCTCTGACATTGTTGCTGAAGAACTAGCTCATTGTTAGCCAGATGTTTGAAAGGTTGAGGGTGGAGTGGTTTGGCATTTCTGTTTTAAATAAACATTTAAACTCTCAATCAGTGCTATGCCTGCGCATGGACCTTAGTCACTGGGATGAAACACCCAGATCCTAGGCCTTCATGAATCTTTGATTCAATGAGTCTTTATCTAAATAAATAAAAGACCTTGTAACAGAAACAACACAAGGAACATTTGCACAAATAATCTTTGCTTTCTTCCAGTTTCTTTTTCTTGCTCACAGTATCATTTCTGCTGCTACAACTTTTTCTCCCCAGACTTCTCAAATATAGTGCTTTAAATGCAGAGTGAAGGAAAAAAATGAGCCACTGAAAGAGGAAGGAAGGATCATTTCTTGTACTTACCTCCTGAATCACAGTGGACTTTTTCAAGTGATAATGTGTGTCTACGTTTACAAAATTGTTTTCCCTCAAAGAAGGTGAACTGTATTTGGTCTCCCTGGCATTGCACAGCCAAGTTATCACTTCTCTTGGCTGAGCATTTCACTAAAGTTTAAAGCAAAAGTGGCCTTAAACTCACATTTCATTTGATTTGCCATATATTTGGAAACCTTCATAATAGAAAGAACAGCTCTGGAGTGAGGATGTATTACAAATAAATTCTTTCAAATGAGTATCCCTGGGCCTCCAAAGAAGTATTCTTCATTAGTGTCAGGCCAGACTGGGCTGTAGTCAGGACTACAAAACATGTTCCTTCCTGCCACAAAGCCAAAAATCATTTATTACTTCAATGATTAACTATGGAAATAAACATGCTGATCACTAAACCTCTAAGAATTGGGAACATTAGAGAGAAAAAAACATATCACATCTCTGCTATCTCCTTTGTAGTCATGAAGAATGATAAATTGACCAAAAGCAAATGTTGGCCAAAAGGTACCATGCTGCATTAAATACACTGCTGTTAAGGAGTATCTCAGCACGTCTGCACAGTCTGCATACACTTTTATGTGAAGTGAGTTTCACTATGAGATTTTTCCCCCATTGCTTAACCTTTTGAACTTTAAAACTTATAACATTTGTTTGTACTGAAGGCTCTTGGATAAAGTCGTATAACACACAGACAGTACCAAGTAGCATTATCTATCCACTGTCATCCAGGAAGGGACTTAGGTAGCAAAAGGGTTCTGACCTCTTCCCAAAAATCAGATCGAGCTAAATGTAAAAGACTCATAGATAGCCCTAACCTAATCAAAGCCTACACATGTTGAAATCAGAGGGAACACTGAGGCATTGACTATTGCGTTATTGTCCAGCAATATAAGAATGAGTAACTGCTTCCTGTCTACAGAAAGCACTCCCCACACATACATGTGTTCTCCCCAGAGGGTCCTGATCTGTGAACTTAATCACATCATCCAGGGATCCCAAACTCAAGCGCCTGTGGGGCTAGGCAGAGAAGGCAAATAAGTGCAGCATGCCAGGTGGGACTTGTGATCTGCAAGGTCAGACCATCTGAAGGACCACGTGGCTGGGGCTATGCAGGATTGCTGGCCTGGTATTTCCAGAACTTCTGGCTTTTCAAGAGATTCTCCATATCCCAGTTTTTATTTTTTTTAATTTTTATTTATTTTATGATAGTCACAGAGAGAGAGAGAGAGAAAGAGGCAGAGACATAGGCAGAGGGGGAAGCAGGCCCCATGCACCGGGAGCCCGACGTGGGATTCGATCCGGGGGTCTCCAGGATCGCGCCCTGGGCCAAAGGCAGGCGCCAAACCGCTGCGCCACCCAGGGATCCCATATCCCAGTTTTTAAATGTTAGACTATATTTTTAATTCTGCACCAGCCAAATAAAGCATATCTGTAGGACAAAGCAGTCCATAGGCTACCACTTTGCCCCCTTGGCCATAGCTCATTCTTGCCATCTTTTGTTTTTAAGTATGAAACTTAGTTTGTATTTCATTGCCAGGGGAATGTATATATTGGGTTAAATACCCAGTGTGTATGTAAGGTTCCTTTAAGTGGCCAGCCTAAAGCCCTGCTATGTGATTCCTCTTCTTTGCAACAATTAAGAAGAGCATTAAAGCAATTCAATATGTACTGTTTTTTAAGTATATACATTTTTCTCCACCTAGGGTCCTGCAGCTTCGCAGCTAAAGCCTTAATCACATTTCAAGTCGGTCTGGTCTATTAGCCCAGCCATTCAGCAGGTGCTGCAGAGGAAATGGAACATGAGTGGCCATTTGTTAGTAGGATATGGTTTTTTTGTCTGCTCAGTCACCTTGGCCCAGGTCAAGTTGGGTGTTTTTTCTCCAGTATTTTAAACTAACAATTTGAGTGATGTTCTCAGGACAATAATCCTACTGTTATTTCATATCTGTTGTTCTATTTTCATCCTATTTAAACTGATACTACCCCTGATGGGCATTACCTTATCAATTCTCCCATCTGACCAAACTAGGACTTACTCATTTTATTATTTAATTTTAAATCCCAAAAACCCTTTTTGAAGGTCTAATTATGAAGAGTACCTGCAGTATGCACAATTCTGCACAGAGAAAATTTTAAAAATCCAGTATCTTTTTTCATTTTTCATCAAAGTTTACTCTCTAAAATAGAAGTTCACTGTGATATAATGGACAGCGACATGTGACACTGCAATGTCCCAGCTTGCTTTGATGGTAGATTTTGCTGCCTTATTTCAAAAGCCATACAACCAATCTGATTTCAAAGCAGAATGCCAGCAATCGCTAAAACTGAAGTTCCTTCTTTTTTTTTTTTGACATATGAAATCCATTAGCAAAGAACAACTACTGAGGCATACAGTAGTGCTCTCCCCATCACTAGCCTGTAAAGCACATCAAGATGAGGTTCTCTTTATGACACAGTATAACACAAGCGGGGCCTAGGATAGACTGGCACCCGAACTTTGCATACTGGTGTTGGCTTTTGGCCAGGACCATGCGTCACAAAGGTCAAGCATAAACTTCCATTTGCCTTACAGCAAAATTGTATTATCTTTTATAAGAGATACCACCTAGGTGATCATGATCTTCTGACACCAACTTAATCTAATGAACCAACTTCCTGCAAGAGCAAGAAGCATGAACAGGAACCACAGACATACATGCAGAGGCAGTGGCAAGAAGGCACAGCAAATGCAGGCACTTAACTAGCACAGACCACAAGTCAGGCTTGCAAGAAGAGAGATTTAATATAGCCCACTCGCTACTCTCGAGTGTCTTCACCCACCAGTTCTGAGGGCAATAGAAAGGCACACCAGCCCAACATGGTAATTTAGTGGGAAGCCGAGGCTTCCTTTTGCTTCCTGCTGCTTAGCAATGAGTCTCTCTTCACTGATTTAAGTTCTGCAGGCAGATGTGGGAGATGTAAAGGTTTTAGTTCTGGTTTGTATCAAATTATTCTCCCATTTACTGCTGAAAAGAAGCAGAGCCTTCTGAGACTTCCACTGTTGTCTGTTCAACTGTAATGCTTCCTTGGAGGTGGGGGCCGATTCTTAATGGTCTTACACTTGGGAATGTGGCGCTCAGCCACCTTGGGAGCAAAGTGGCGGCTGCAGTGTGGACACTGAATATAATCTGGATTTTCTGCAGGTAGGATGGGTGGCAAGTCTGAGGGGTTTCCACCTTTGGCAATTACCTGCTGAACCTCTCGGGCCTGACGGAGAGTACGGATGAAAGACTCATGCTTCTGTCTCCAGTTGCTCTTCTGAGGAGGTTCAGCCTGTAAGTAGGAGGAAGACTGATTATTTGACTTGGCATTTACCACATCTCCTTCTGAGTCTTCATCAGAATGACAGTAAGGAAATGTAAAGGATGCTCTCCCTAAGGTCAGAGAGAACAGGACAGGAGCAACAGAGCTGACTTGCCAGAGTGGAGGCACTAAGCTAAGGGCCTGCCAGGGGGGATGGTACTGGGAGGCTTGGTGTTTACAGGCAGAGGGAGGGGAGAGGTGTGGGGCTGAGAATAAATTGTATCCCTGGGGCCCCGTCCCATCTTGCACATCCAAGAGTCTGTCACTTCCAGCAGTCTCACAGGAGAACAGGGGTCTATTCTCTGTAGAAACTGAACCAGACAGGTTTCACACTCAGGAAGTCCAGGCATAATAGAGAACAAGGTTAATACTGAAGCTGAAAATTGGGATTAAGTGCAAGTATACATGATAAATTATGGAACTGTTTGATATCCTGGGAGCCGAGGATATCAACTCAGCTCCCAGGATATCAAACACATCGGCACCCTCACAGGAGACAAGAGTTCTCTGGTTGCACCAAGCAGTCAAGAGAAAAGCCATTAGATGCTGGCCCTGCATGACCCCAGTGAAAAGGTTCACTATTTGAGGCCTTTAATCAACAAGCCTCACTTAAGCTTAACTATGAATGGACAGCCTGGGGTCACCAAATATTTGAGTAAAGCTCTAACAAGAGAAAAACCAAAACAGGTACATGAATTCTCTCTCTCTCTCTCTCTCTCTCTCTCTCTCTCACTCACTCACTCTCAGGAAGCAGCAACAAGGCAGGTAGAAGAAAACTTAAAACCAGAAAGCCAGAAAGAACTATTATAAATTAAAACTGTGATAACTAAGGGGAGCCTAGGTGGCTCAGTTGGTTGAGCATCTGACTCAGGTCATGATCTTGGGGTCATGGGATTGAGCCCCACATCAGGCTCCACGCTCAGCACAGTCAACTTGTTCCTCTCCTTCTGCTTCTCCTGATTATGTGCTTATACTCTGTCTCATAAATAAATGAACAAATAAATATTTTTAAAAAGACCACTTAAAAAAAAACATGATAGCTAAAAATAAAAATAGCAGTGTTTAAAATGTCAAGAAAATTAGAATGGGAAAAAAAGATCAAGATGGGAAGTAGAAAAGATTAGGAAATTAGAAAGTCAATCCAGGAAGTCTAACACCTGACAAAAAGGAGTTCCAAAAAGAACAGAAAAAGCAAAGGAGGAAATTATTAAATAAATAATACAATAAACATTCCTAAAATTAAGGTCACTGTCTTGAAATTGAATAGCCTACCAAGATTCCAACACAATAATTGAAAAATTTTGGAATTTCAGAATAAAGAGTGAATCCTGTAAGCTTTCAGAAAAAGAAACACCAAGAGAAGCTTCATATAGTGGCGCAGGAAGCAAAATGGCATCAGATTTCTCAACGGTAACACGATGCTAAAAGCTAGTGGGAAATGCCTTAAAAATTCTAACAGAGGGCGGCCCAGGTGGCTCAGCAGTTTAGCCCAGGGTGTGATCCTGGAGCCCTGGGATTGAGTCCCACATCAGGCTCCCTGCATGGAGCCTGCTTCTCCCTCTGCCTGTGTCTCTACCTCTCTCTCTGTCTCTCTGTCTCTCATGAATAAATAAATAAAATCTTTAAAAAAAAAGTTCTAATAGAAAATCATTTTTTCTTTTTAAAAAGATTTTATTTATTCATGAGAGAGAGGCAGAGACACAGATAGAGGGAGAAGCAGACTCCATGTAGGGAGCCCGATGCAGGACGTGATCGTGGGACTGGATCGTGGGACTCCATCCTGGGACTCCAGGATCACACCCTGGGTCGAAGGCAGGCGCTGAGCCACCCAGGGATCCCCTGAAAATCATTATTCTACCTAGAATTCTATACCTAGTCAAATCAACTATAAGGCTATTGTATGGATATTTTCATTCATTTTGAGACAAAAAATATGCCTCCCATGCACGTTTCTTGAAAGCTTCAGCAAATCAAGGAATAAAGCAAGAAAAAGGAAAACATAAGAAGCTGGAAATGGGACCCAATACAGAAAAGAAGTAAAAAAAAGAAGTCCCAACACAACAAGTCTACATTAGACCTAGAGAATAAACAGTCCAGACTGGTGCAGGAGGAAAAAGAGTAGTGGGAGGAAAGTTTCCAGAATAAAAAAAAAAAAAATCAAACTGATGGATTAAGTGTTTGTGCACTTATAAAAACACTACTAGGTATCTGACATCAGATGAATCATTTAGGGGAAAAAATTAGAGACAGGTATGTAGGGAACCAAGCAAATAAAAACCTGAGTCAACTATTAATTCCAGGTACATGTGGGCAGAGGCAGAATTTGTTCACTCATCGGTGAACAAAATTTACATGGTTATTATAAGTAAAAGCTGACTGCTGCTTTAATCCAAAGTTGTGATTCCATTACAATGGAAGAAGAGAAGGAGAAAAGTAAAAGGAAAGGAGATGTGAAAGAGAGCTTAACCCACAGCATTCATAGAAGGAAATCAACAGATAATGTGCAAAACTGGTTAATCAAGAAAATAAGCATATTATTGAGAAATATGGAAATGCATACCAGAAGAGTAATCGATCAGGAACTGAATGAAGGCTGCCACTGGGGGCCAGATGAGGATGGAGAAGGGTGAAGCAGGATCCTGCTTATTGCCTTATAGGTCACTTAGTACATGATTTTTTAAATGTATTCAAATATTATTTAGATTAATATAAAATTAACTTTAAGATTATTTACTTATCTGAGAAAGAGAGAGGAGAGAGAGCACGCATAGGGTGAGGGGCCGAGAGAGAAGCAGACTTGGGAGCCAGATGTGGGGCTCAATCCTGGGACTCGGGGAAGACAGACATATAACCAACTGAGCCACCCAGGTGCCCCTAAAATTAATTTTTCAAAAAAGAAAAAAGGAGTTAAGTAGCTGCTTGGTGATCTGATATCATTAATGATAAATGACAGGAAAAGAGATATTATCAAAGGAAAAGGATCCTTTAGGAGAGTCTTACTGAAACAGACAGGAAGGCAAGAAAATCTGTGTGTTGGAGACAGGACCCAGGAACATTTAAAAGTTAGGAGAAAGTTCCTTGACTATATGATGGTTACTTCATATTCATAATTCATATTGAAATTTTATTCAATTAACACCTATTAATCACAAAGCACAAAGATGTAGTCCCTGTACTCAAATGCTTCCTTCCTTCCTTCCTTTTTTTTTTTAAGCTTTTATTTATTTGACAGAGAGATAGAGTCAGAGAGCACAAATGAGGGGAAGGGCAGAGGGAGAAACAGGCTTTCCACTGAGCAGGGAGCCTGATGTGGGGCTCCATCCCCGGATTCTGGAATCATGACCTAAGCTGAAGGCAGATGCTTAACTGACTGAGCCATCCAGGTGCCCCTATCCAGATCCTTTCTGCTTTAGTGTCCTCAATGCAACATATTCCCCGCAAAACTAGTTTCCACAAAGCTAGGGTATCTGATCTCAGAAACCCAATTCTTTTGCTTCACTGCTACTGTATTTAGGAATTTAAGAAACACAAGAGTCTTTTAGATGCCTGCCAGAAACAACCACTATAGTGGGATAGAGAAGACCCCAGTGGATTACTGGGTTGACCAGAAAGAAAACAGGAAAGAACCGGAACTGGTGATCATATCATTATCTGCAAAAGCAAAATGTTGACTTCTTGTCGGAAACTAGACTTTGGGCAGATTATCTCTGAACCCAGAAGGGGCTTTTCTGTGGTGATCTTCCAAACTATACTGAAAGGAGTAACTGCAATTGACTTCTTGTAACAGCCACCACATAAATTTGAGTTTTTAAAGGCCCCAGTAAATGCATGCATAAACTGTAACGTGCATAGCGGACAACAAGTACTAGCACAGCATAGGGAGGGAAATGAAAACAGAATATGCTCTCCTATTTTGTTAGAAAATTAGAGTCGAATGGGGCTTTGAGATCCTGAGGTCTAGGCTTTTCCAAACTTTGATCATTTGCATATCACTTTCACTTTATCCCCCTTAAGATAAATTACTTAATATTTTTAAGTTCATGATTTTTAAAACTACAGGCTTCATATGTTGTTATATTTTTCTAATACACAGTAAAACTACTAAAATAAAAAATGTTTGCCGGTATGCCACACTTTGAAAAACACTCATTTACAAACCAAGAGGCATAACCTTGACAGGGTGGTAGACTTATTCATGAGACAATCTCCAGATCCGACTGTCCAAATATGCCTGTGAAATACCCCTAAACTTACCATGTAAGTGTCTCACAGCCTTTTTACAACTTAGTTTTTCTGCAGCTGGAATGTTAACCAAAAATCAAGTCCTTTACCTTTTAAGGTGTTTACACTCTGAGTGGGGAGAACAAGGATTGCAAACTTGAGTTTCACATATTTACTAAGAAGATATATCAGAACTGAGCTACTCTTGAAAAAGTAGATCAGGCTATAGGAGTTGTAACAAATCTTAATCTTGGGAGGTGGCAGTGTATATTGCAGAGAGCAAGGAACTCTCTCCCAGGGGTGAAATGCTGCATCATTTTTTTCTTTGTATTTTTCAAATCTTTTTAATTTTCTACAGTAACCATTTATTACTTTTGCTTTTATTTGTTTAAAGATTTTATTTGAGAGAGAGCAAACACGAGTGGGGAGGAGCAGCAGGCAGAGGGAGCAGACTCCCCGCTGAGCAGGGAGCCCCTATGTGGGACTCGATCCCAGGATCCTGGGATCATGACCTGAGCTGAAGGCAGATGCTTAACCAACTAAGCCACCCAGGTGCCCCAACATTTATTACTTTTATAATCAATAGGACATATATTTTTAAGCCTGGATTTTTTGCAGTGCTTCTAACCCAGATTTATATGCTGACTCTTGTTTGAGAGAGCACATGGGCAAGTGGTGTGAGGGGCAGAAGAAGAGGAAGAGAGAGAATCTTCAAAGAAATTCCCCAAGGAGAGCAGAGCCTGATATGGGGCTGGAGCCTGATGCAGGAGCCCAACGTGGGGCTTAATCCCAGGACCCTGAGATCATGACCTGAGCCCAAATCAAGAGTTGGATGCTGGGGAATCCCTGGGTGGCTCAGCGGTTTAGCGCCTGCCTTTGGCCCAGGGCGTGATCCTGGAGTCCCGGGATCGAGTCCCACATGGGGCTCCCTGCGTGAAGCCTGCTTCTCCCTCTGCCTGTGTCTCTGCCTCTCTCTGTGTGTCTTTCATGAACGAATAAATAAATAAATAAAATCTTTAAAAAAAAAAAAGAGTTGGATGCTTAACTGACGCTTAACCGCCACCGAGGCACCCCATATATGCTGACTCTGCCACTCAAAGCTGTTTGTGATTTCAAGCAAATTAAACTCTCTGAGATTTGATCTTTGAATTGTTAAGAGACAATGACACCCTCACAGGGTTGTGCTGAGGATCTTATGATAAACTCCCATTACAGTGACTGGCACACAGTAATCAATAAATGTTCTTTCTCCCTGTATGACACATGAGTTTTTTCCTAAAGAAAACTGATTTAGCATCCTTTTATAATGATCCCCAAAGTCAAATCCGTAAGGCCCTGGCCTTTTTACCTTGACTGGGGCTGGCCCCTTCCAGTTCAGGTACTGCTCTAGTTCTGTGCCCTTGGCCCGGGCCCTGGAGGAGTCAAACACTTTCCTCTTGGAACCCTGCATCCTGCTGCAGACGTTGGAGTGTCTCTCCAGTCTGAGCAAGAGAAACTTGCGTCCACAGTGGCTACATTCGCCAAGTTTGGGCTCTTCAGTGGAACAGCTGGAAACCGAAGAGTCTGGTCCCCTAGACAAACTAGAATTGCTGGTGGATCCCCACAAAACACTGCCAGGCCCTTCTGAAGACTGAGAAAACTCCTTTGATGACTCTCGGATTCTGTTATTGCTTGCCACCAATCTTTCCCTTTTGAGCTTCTGTATTCCGTAATCAGAGAACTGGAATGGACTGGAATTTTCTTGAGACTGTCCCCAAAGTTCATCTTCTCCCCTGTCTCTACTGAAGACCTCCTCAGACCCGAATTCTGGGGAGAAGGTAGGTTTGTATGTGGTGTTGCTATTACCTTTAATTCTCCTCCTGGGGAGTGTCATTCTCTGTAGCTCTCTTTTTTCATTTTCCTTAGCCTGTTCCTTTTCTTTCTGGATCCTTCGGAGTTCCTCCTCTGTCTTCTTCAGCTTTTCCCTTAGGAGGGTTTCTTTTCTCCGGATTTTCTCTTGTAAGCTCTCCCCTGCAGCTTCTAGTCTTTGGATCTGCATCCATTCGGTCCTGTTGGGGTTTGCCATGGCTCTCTCCTCCTGTGTGGCAGCAACGGCATGGAGCACAGATGCATTCACCCAGTTCCTTGAACCAAAGCTGCTGTATGGAAACTCTCTTGGTTCAGGGGGTCTCGGAGAGACATCCTGGTCCCCATCAATGCCAGCTTCACTTGTACTGTGAGACTTCCTATGGAACACGGGTTTCAGCGGGTATGCCCGGTCTACCCCAACTCGCTTCTTCGTAAAGGGGATGAATTCCTGATTATTTGCTTTGGGATGCCAGGACTGAGAATTTGCTGAGTAAAACGAACCCTTTGCTTGGCCTTGGGAATCGCTTCTTGAATCTTGCCGGCTGATTCCAACACAGTGGGGATAGGAGCAGCTCCCGGCTTTTGTGCAGGCGTTCCATTTGGAGTGAGTGTAGAGATTATCCAGCGTCAGCTCTTTGTTGCTCAAAAGCTTCTGCTGGAAATTGTTCCTCAGGTGCCCCATGGAGGGCCGCTGAGAAGAGTCACCTTTTTCATAGGGCTCCTGCTTAGCTGAGAGGAGCCCTGGAGCTTCCCTTTCATTATATGGAAGCATAACGCCCACAGGCAGAGGGGGTGCCAACTGGAGGCCAGCCATTCAGGGACTGGACTGAAGCCTAGGGGAGATTTAAACCAGATATATTGTGAGGAGGTTTTCTGAGGTTACCCCCGGCTACTAAAGTAAACAGTTTATACATTTGTCCTACCTATTCTCTTGAACTTTTTAGGGACAGTGGTGCTGGGTCTGCCAGAACTTTCCTTCAATAAGGATTTGGTGAATGCTTATTATTTCCTGTGGGTGCCTATTAGATCCTGAGGACAGAAAAACGAATGTGACACGGGTGTTCCCGCCACCTCGCTTTATTCCGGTAGCAGCCTCTGCCATACACAGCGATGCTCCTGCCATACACAGGAGACTCCTTAGGTGGTGGAAAGATTTACTGGAAAGGGCTGTCGGACTCAAAGTCAGGCTTTAGACCTGTGACACAGGACCAGCAACTTTCCCTTGCTGGCTCGCTTCTTCACCTATCCACTGAAGTTTCGCTCAGAGTTACAGGACCTTAGGACTCGGAGTCCGGGCCTACGGTTTCACAGGTGAGCAAACTGCGCCTCGGAGCTAGGTGGCCCGCACAAGGCGCTCTCAGGGCTTCCCCGCTGCTGGACTCCAGAGGACACTCGAGCCGCCCGGGCGGGCCGCAGGTGCCCGGCGGTCAAACCCGCACCCAGAGGGTCCCCACGGCGCGGATCGTAACCTGAGAGGTGGAGGCCACCTGACCCGGCCGCCGCGCCGCCGCACGGGTGCTGAGCTCACGCACCGCCCCAGAGTCCGCAGCAGGGGCGCCCCCGCCGGGGCCTCCGCTTGGGGAACACAGCCCTCGCTCTTCGGCCCATGCGGCCGCCCTTGGGAGGTCGAGGCGCTGACCCTACGTCCGCTCCCCACGCCTGCTTACGCCTACCTGAGGCTCTGGCGGACCGTTTCTGCTCGGGGGGAAAAGAAAAGAAAAAAAAACAAAAACAACCCAAGACTTAGCTTTCCACCCCAGACCGCCCCCGGGCCGAACCGCCACCGCCCGCCGCGCAGGCGCTCTGCGCGGGCCTTTGTTATTCCCGTTGCCTGGAGACGCGAGCGCATGCGCACCCAGCCCCGCGCACGGCCCGGAGACGCCCGCGACGGGGTGTGGCCAGGGCGAGTGTCCCTTGACCCGGTGTCCCGCGGGCTCCGTGGCTCCGTCCCGCCCTGCCCTTGGGGAACGGGAGAGGGGGCGGGAGAGGCGTTTCTGGGGCTCCATCAAAGAACGTGTATTTTTCTGAGAACGATGCTCCCAGCCCCTGGGGCGTGCCCCTCTCTGGCAAGAGTCGGAGCCCCTGGAAGGGCCCGGGCGTCGCGGTGCAGGCCTGCGGCGTCCGCCCGCCCCGCGGCAGTGGGCCTGCTGGTCGCCTTGCTTAGCGCGCTCGGCTGCCGCGTGCGGGCCCCGGGTGTGCGGCCCCTCCGCGCCGGTCCCAGCCCGCAGTTGGGAGCTTGCGGGCAGACGTCAGCTGCTCGGCGAAGTTGTGCTGCCCAGGGCCTCTTCCGAGGTAGTTTTCGTAGCCAATCTAATTATTTTGATACGATGTTTTGCTCTCACGTGGTAACTCTGGCCCGTCTCTCCGCGAGGCCCAACGGTGACTCAGCCAAGTGTAACGATAATAGAGTTAACTACCGGATTGAAAATGATCGGTGTAACCCGGTCCTCAACGCTAAACGACATTCTGTGACTTGTTAACATTAGAAAGGGGTTTGTTTGTCTTCATGCTTTAAGTTCGTTTGGGTAAGATGTTTGGAACAGGCGGTTTACTTTTTTCCTGTAACTACTCAGGAAGATTCATGCACTTGGGACATAAAATGGACAGCAGTAGTCGGTGTTAATGCTTCAGCACGTCATTATTACAGCTTTACATGTTACAGAGACATTCCTTGGTGGGCCCTCCCCCGGGCCAGTCCTCTGATTCCTTATTTTCTTTCATAGCTGACTCAACTGCCTTCTCTCTATATGCACTTTCAGACATTTCCCGCTACGCTCCAGGTCCTAATTATGTCAGCATCTGGCCTGCCTGTCATCAACTCCTGCAGCTCCCCTCCAGTCTGGCTGAATTGCCCAGAGTGCCTCCCTCCATCCTGAATTCCTTCCCTCTGGTGTCTGAGGAAAAAGAAAATCTTTCTCTTTCCTTGTGGTCTGTTGAATCAGTCCCTTTCTGTACCCTCCTGGACTTGACTCCATCACGTTACCCCTCCATCTTCTTCACTTCGAGTTGTATCTATCCACATACTCCTTCTCTTTGGTTTTAAAATATGTCTGACTTTGCCCTGCAGAGCAAACCTCATCTCCCATGGCCTGCTGCCTCTCATCTTAGGGTCTCATGGATTTCTCCTCTTCTCCTCAAGCCTTCTTAATAGACAGCTGTACGTTTGTGGTCCTCATTCTTTCATCTGCCCTTCAGTGTCCAGTCCACTGTTGTCCGGCTTCCACACTTTCCATTTTATTTAACTGCTGGGCTGTTGGTGACTTCCCAATGGCCAAAGACAAAAGCTCCTATTTCTTTAGCCTACTTATTTGCCATCATTGATTTTTCACTCCATTGGAACTCTCTTCTCACTTGCTCCTCCGCCTTCTTGGTTTCTTCTTTCACATTTTTGCTACCTCCTATTCCAGATCTCGGGCATTTATGTCCCTTCTTTGCCTGCCCACCAAATTTAGGTGTTCTCCAAAACCCTCTTATTTCTCATATACACACAGTTCCAGGCATTCTCTTCTTTAATGATTTCAACCAAATGCTGAAATGTCAGGTCTCTCTTGTGTTTAAATGATATTCAGCCTAGGGCTCTCTCCTTCATTACAGACTCAAATTTCTAGCTGCCCATTTAGCACCTCCACCATGAATATTCCCCAGGAAACTCAAATTCAATATGACAGAAAGCAAACTCATGATCATCTCCCCATGTCCCCATCTACTTTTTGTCCAGGGTTCTCATGTGTGCTGAAAGCATCAGTTATTTTGCACCACTCCCTCTTTTCTTTTAAAGATTTATTTATTTATTTGAGAGAGAGACCGCACAGAGAGAGAGAGAGAGCAGACACAGAGAGAGCGCGCGCACACACACACACAGCACAGAGAAAGAGGGAGAAGGAGAAGCAGACTTCCCACCAAGCAGGGAGCCCAATGCGGGATTCCATCCCAGGACTCCGGGATCATGACCCAGGCCAAAGGCAGATGCCCAACCAACTGAGCCACCCAGGCGCCCCGCACCACTCCCTCTTTGTCACCCCTTCTGTCTAATTAGTCAGCAGACTCTGCTTAATTTACTTTGCAATGTCCCAAATATGATTGTTCCTTTGCATTTCTACTGCCCTTGGTGAGTTCTTCCTCACTTTTCTTTGGGACAGCGTCACTCTTGCTATTTTTGCCTTCAACATCTGCTCCTCAACCTCATTTTTTATGTTGCTGCCAGAGTAATTAATCTTAAATATCTCTGACCCCCATGGTTCTCCTACAGTGGCTTCTCCTTTACCTATACCTTCTTTACTTTTACTTTCAAGTTGAAACACATAATTTAACATGGTATTTCAATCTGCCAGATTAGGTCCAGCCTACCTTTCCAGCCCTGCCTCCCCAGAGTCTAGCCCAGTGTATGGCAACCCTAGCTAAGGTTTAGGACTCCCTGGAAAGCAATTTCTGGTGGTGAGACCTGGGTATTGGTATTTTTAAAAGCTTCCGCTGTTGCAGTTATGTGCAGCCAGGGTTAACCCTTGGTCTGGTCACACCTGACTACCCACACTTACTCTTCTCCTCTTCTCTTTCTTTTCTTTTCTTTTTTTTAAATTTATTTATGATAGTCACACAGAGAGAGAGAGAGAGGCAGAGACACAGGCAGAGGGAGAAGCAGGCTCTGTGCACCGGGAGCCCAACGTGGGATTCGATCCCGGGTCTCCAGGATCGCGCCCTGGGCCAAAGGCAGGCGCCAAACCGCTGTGCCACCCAGGGATCCCTTCTTTTCTTTTCTTTTCTTTTCTTTTCTTTTCTTTTCTTTTCTTTTCTTTTCTTTTCTTTTCTTTTCTTCTTTTCTTTTCTTATTTTTCTTCCACTTTTGTATATCAGTGGAATTACCTTGACCCAAGTTCCATGCACTGGGAGGTAGTAGAGCATAGCATTTATGGAAGGGGGCTCCGTACTCAGACTGTTTGGAAATAATCCCAGCTCCATCACTTACTTACTGGTTGTGGTTGTGTAACCTTGGACATTGTGCTACTTCCTCCAAGAACACTTGCCCAATCTTCCCAGTCAGAATAAATCTTTTTGCTTTTTTGTGCTCTCAAGTATTTTCTGTTCTTGTTGTAGGACAGGGCTGACTCATGAGGAGCTCTCAGTGGATGTTCATGGAATTGACTAGCATGTTGTGCATTTTACTGTCATTATTTGCATGCATATTTGTCCCTTATACTAAAGAAAAACTCTTGGAGGACAAAGATTACATATCATTCATCTTTGTATATCCTACAGTGTCCCATATTAGTAGACAATAGTTTTTTAAAATCTTTTGAGAAGCTAGGTTTTTTAAAATGAATTTTAGGGGCAACTGGGTGGCGCATTTGGGTGGGTGTCTAACTCTTGGTTTCAGCTCAGGTCATGATCCCAGTAATGGTCATGAGATCAAGCCTGTTTGAGATTCTCCATCCCTCTCCCCCTCCCACTCATGTTCTCTCTCTAAAATAAATAAATCTTTAAAAAATAAAATACAAATAAAAATGAGTTTTAGAGAAAGAAACATCAACCGGACACTCTGTTTAGCATTATTTTCAAATATTGCCAAGCATAACATTCAATCCAGCTCCCCACCCCATCCCCACTCCAGCACTAAGGTTATATGATTCTTCAGGATCTGGATCCTCACTTTTCAGTGGGGGGACAAGTGAAGTGATGAATGTTTATGGCTTCCATTGCAAATCCATCTCACCTCACCAAGTCTGCCCACCTGGAATATTCACACATGGAGTCTTATATTCTGAAGGGACATAATGCATACAAAGCAATCCACAGAGGAACAGTAAACACCACAGTTTTCCTTCATATATTCTTAATCATCAGAGTAGCTGGATTCAAATGCTTGCAAGATGATTACTTTTTTTTTAAATTTTTATTTATTTATGATAGTCACAGAGAGAGAGAGAGAGAGAGAGAGAGAGAGAGGCAGAGACATAGGCAGAGGGAGAAGCAGGCTCCATGCACCGGGAACCCGATGTGGGATTCGATCCCGGGTCTCCAGTATCGCGCCCTGGGCCAAAGGCAGGCGCCAAACCTCTGCGCCACCCAGGGATCCCAGATGACTGTACTTTTAACAATCATCAGCCACAACTCTGTCAACAATTCTCTTTTCTCAAAAGAAATTCATGGATTTTGGTCATTTGGCTTAGACTGATTGATTCAATTTTTTTTTTTAAGATTCTATTTATTTATTCATGAGAGAGACACACAGAGGCAGAGGGAGAAGCAGGCTCCCTATGGGGACCCTGATGCGGGACTCGATCCCTATACCAGACCCTGGGATCATGCCCTGAGCCCAAGGCAGACGCTCAACTATTGAGCCACCAGGTGTCCCTGATTGATTCAATTGTGATTCTGGAGCCATGGGTTATTTTGCTTGTGCTTGTGATCAATCGATTTAGGTAAGCATTATTTGGAATTTTCTTAGTAAGGTAGAATCTGGTGGGTAGCTTCCATAAGCACAAAAGGAGGAATAATGTCCTCTGGGACCTCCCATTCACTTACCTCCCTTGCTACCAATTCCAGACTGGGGCATGACCCCAAAATTGAGGAGAAGTGAAAGAAAAAGGGCAGAAAGGTACAGGCATACTTCAGAGACATTGTGGGCTCTATTCCAATCACTGCAATAAAGTGAGTCAAATAGAAATATAACTTAAATATGCTGGTTTCCCAGTGCACTCTACTGTAGTCTGTTAAGTATGCATTTGCATTATGTCTTTAAAAATGTACATACCTTTTTATATATAATAATGGTGAAATATATATAATATATTATAAAAATATAATAAGGATGAAAAAGTTTGGGGCACCTGTGTGGCTTACGCGGTTAAGCATCTGCCTTTGGCTCAGGTCATGGTCCCAGGGTCCTGGGATTGAGCCTCACATCCCCTCCTCCCTGTTCATGCTCTCTCTCAAAATATTTTAGAAAAGAAAAAAAGTTTGAAATATTGTGAGAATTACCAAAGTGTGACTCAGAGGGATGTCTGGGTGGCTCAGCAGTTGAGCATCTGCCTTCGGCTCAGGTCATGATTCCGGGGTCCTGGGATCAAATTCCACATCAGGCTCTGGGCAGGGAGGCTTCTTTCTCTACCTATGTCTCCGCCTCTCTCTCTGTCTCTCTCATGAATAAGTAAATACAATCTTAAAAAAAAAAAGTGCAACTCAGAGGCACAAAGTGAGCAAAGCTGTTGGAAAAAATGGTACTGTTGGACTTCACCAATGCAGGGTTGCCACAAACCTTCAATTGTAAAAAACATATTTGTGAAGTGCAGTGAGACCAGGTATGCCTGTATGTGTCCTATTCAATTTATGTGTTTGTGTATTCAATGTTTATTGTCTATCTCCCATCATATATATATATATATATATTTTTTTTTTTTTTTTTTTATGATAGTCACACAGAATGAGAGAGAGAGGCAGAGACACAGGCATAGGGAGAAGCAGGCTCCACACCGGGAACCTGACATGGGACTCGATTCCGGGTCTCCAGGATCGTGCCCTGGGCCAAAGGCAGGCGCTAAACCGCTGAGCCACCCAGGGATTCCCCCCATCCCCAGATTTTAAGTTTATCCAGGCCAGTGATCCTTTTTGTCCACTAATGTAGGTCAACCACCTAAAAGTGTGCCTGGCACACAGAAGCCTTTCAGTAAATAGTTGTTGAGTGGTTGAATTTATTTCAGGTGCTTCTTCATCTACGCCTTTTTCCAGAAAAAGAGAAAAGGGTTGCGCTTAGTGACCGAGGTGAGGTGAGGCCTGGGCCTGTGGAATCAGCGCCTCGACTCTGGACAGATCCCCAACCTTAGGCTTACCAGTGCTCCCAGACAACCGTATTTGGAAACCCCACCCCCTGGGCGGGCTCTGGCTGAGCTTTTCCACTTCTGATTGGTCGGCGGAGATGATGGGCATGAGAGACAGCGAAGGAGGGGCCGCTCTCTAGGCTTCCGGGCGCCGAGGCTACCCTGCAGTGGGAACCGTTGGCGTGCTGGTCGGCCGTGCTGTCCTGAACGCCCGAGAGGAGGACGAGGAGGGTGAGCCTAGGAAGGGGACCCGTAGCGCGTCCATAATTCGATACCCCTAAAATGTTAGTAGAAGGGGGTTCTGGTGGCCAATGGAAGCTGGGTCCGTGGGAAGAGAAAGGGATGGAGAGGGAGCCGGACGGGGATAGGTATAGGGAGGCAAATGAATAAGCAGGTAACTGCCCCAAAGGGGACTCTTGGGCACTTGCGACCCCAAGCTTCTCACTTCTCAGCCCAGGTGTCTTCCTGTTACTTAGCACGCCCGTGCTGGCACGTATCCGCTTACGCGCTCTGAAGTTCGAGGACCACAATGTCAGGGAAAGGTCGCAGTGGTTACAGATGGAGAAGTGTGGGTCTGACCCTTTCTTCCTTGGGATTTGAGGTCCTGGAATAGGATAACGAGTCCTTTGCTTTTCTGCTTTTCTGGTCTCTGACAGGTGTGGGCATGAACATGGCAGAAGGGGACACCCTGATATCAGTGGATTATGAAATTTTTGGGAAGGTCCAAGGGGTGTTTTTCCGCAAGTACACTCAGGTATGTGTCCTACAGGCTTTGGGGACATACCTACGTTACCTGCATGGGAACAAGATACAGTGTTCCTGACAAATGTGCATTGGGGGGAACTGGCTATCTAGTAGCTGCATGGTGGTTTGTAGAGCAGTGGGAATGAAAAGGCTTTGGAGTGGACGAAAGACAATGTAAATGGCAGAATCACGTGCTGTTGTCATCGTTCGTTTCTGATGGGGGTACCAGAGTACCAGACACACATTAATGAGCTTCTCTCTTCCCAAGGGGAATTGAGGGCATCCCCAGTTCTCCCTGTTGTGGTCTTATCAAACCAGATTACGATTTTTGTAGGAAAGACAACATTGATCAGATGGCATTTAAAGATTTTATTTACTTGAAAGAGAGAGCACGAGGGAGGAAAAGAGGCAGAGGGAGAGGGAGAAGCAGGCTCCCCACTGAACGGGGAGCCCAATGCAGGACTCGATCCCAGGTCCTGGGGACCATGACCTGAGCCGAAGGCAGACACTTAACTGACCGAGCCACTCAGGCGCCTGGATCAGGGGGCGTTTAGATGAACTCATGATGTTTATGAAATATATGTAATTTCTTCCTCTGTAGGAAGCTGCTGGATTTTCTTCAGACCTCTTTCACTTCGTCAACCTTGCCCATTCCCCCACTCGATTTCTTTCTGCTTATTATGGCTCTGAAAGAAGAGTTACCTTTCCGGGCTAAAGCTTTTCTAATGAAAATACTCTATCTATTCCAGGGTAGGTAATGGTGACACTGGACGTGGGTCTAGTGTTCCTAGTAGAATGTTGTGGAGTAATTGTGCGGATGAACACACATGTTCATGTCACAACATGCGCACATAATTGCAATCTCAATATCCCCTCTGTCTCTGTCAAAGGGATATCTGGCTTTTGCCTTCTTCATGTATGGCCAACCCCAAAGATAATGAGTCAAGACTGCAGAGCTTTCCAAGTGTCCCGTTCCTGGTACTGTGGCACATAAAATTCAACCCTGCAATCTTTGAAATATGAATATTACATGTCATTACCTCTTTTTTCCAATCACTTGCAAATCATTTCCTCCTGTTTCATAAGCATATATGAAGTGCTTGTTGAAAGAGAATTGCTGGGGGCACCTGGGTGGCTCAGTCAGTTAAGCATCTGCCTTTGGCTTGGGTCATGATCCCAGGGTCCTGGGATTGAGCCCTACGTCAGGCTTCCTGCTCAGTGGGGTGCCTGCTTCTCCCTCTCCTTCCTGCTCATGCTGTCTCTTACTATCTCTTTCATTCTCAAATAAATAAATATTTTTAAAAAGAAAGAATTCTTGAAAAGTCATAGCAAAAGTTATGTTGCAGTTAGCTTTGGTACCAATTATGCAGGGTAAATTAGTAAATGGGGATGACAGCTTCAAAGATTAATTGAAGTTTTTGAGGGAAAAAAAGGTTTTGAGGGAAAAGGACAAGACAGTAAGATAGCCCATCTTTCTCTACTGTCTCCACACCCCCCAGGTCAGAGAGACAATAAAAGAATGCAGGCAACAAATATTGATTTGGAAAACTGCAAGGAAAATACCATCTCTTTTTCTTTTTCATTAGACTTGGAGCTTATTCCTTATTACTTACAGTCATTTAACCATGTGTTCATTTCAACAGTTGTTTTCTTTCATGACAGTCTCTTTGTATGTTGATATCTGGCCTCTTAATTCAATATCATCAATCACTCATTCCTAGAATGAATGATGAGAATACTCAAAGGGACTTTTTAAAAAGTTGAAATATAATTGACATCCCATAAAATTCACCCCTTTTTTCTGTATCATTAACACTTTTTAAAATTTTTGTTTAAATTCAATTAACATATAATGTATTATTGGTTTCAGGGATAGAGATCAGTGGTTCATCAGTCTTATATAATACCCAGTCTTATATAACACCCAGTGCTCATTATGTCACGTGTCCTCCTTAATGGTGCCCAGTCACCCCATACCCCCATTCCCCCTCCCCTCAGCAACCCTCAATTTGTTTCCTATGATTAAGAGTCTCTTATGGTTTGTCTTCATCTCTGATTTTGTCTTGTTTTATTTTTTCCTCTCTTGCCCCATGATCCTCTGTTTTGTTTTTTTTTAATTCCACATATGAGTGAGATCATATGATAATTGTCTTTCTCTTATTAACTTATTTCACTTAGCATAATATCCTCTAGCTCCATCAACATCATTGCAAATGGCAAGATTTCATTTTTCCTTGATGGCTGAATAGTAGTCCGTGGTATATTTATATCACACCATCTTTTTTTTTTTTAATTTATTTATTTATTCATGAGGGAGAGGCAGGCTCCTCACAGGGAGCCCTATGCGAGACTCGATCCCAGATCCTGGGATCACACCCTGAGCCAAAGGCAAACGCTTAATGGTTGAGCCATCCAGGTATCCCTATACCACATCTTCTTTATCCATTCATCTGTTGATGGGCATCTGGGCTCTTCCCATAGTTTGGCTATTGTGGACATTGCTGCTATAAACATTGGGGTGCAGGTGCCCCTTCGTATCACTACCTTTGTATCTTTGGGGTAAATATCCAGTAGTGCAATTGCTAGGTCATAGGGTAGCTCTATTTATTCAACCCTTTGAGGAACCTCCATACTGTTTTCCAGAGTGGCTGCACCAACTTGCATTTTCACCAAAAGTGAAAGAGGGTTCCCCTTTCTCCACATCCTCGCTAACATCTGTCATTTCATGCCATTCTGACTGGTGTGAGGTGGTATCTCATTGTGGTTTTGATATGTATTTCCCGGATACCAAGTGATGTTGAGCATTTTTTTCATGTGTCTGTTGGCCATTTGTATGTCTTCTTTGGAGAAATGTCTGTTCATGGCTTCTGCCCATTTCTTGATTGGAAAATTCACCCTTTTAAATAAAAGTGTATGATTTAGTGGTTTTTAGTGTAGTCACAAAGTTGTGCATTAATTCCAGAATGTGGGATCCCTGGGTGGCGCAGCGGTTTGGCGCCTGCCTTTGGCTCAGGGCGCGATCCTGGAGACCCGGGATCGAGTCCCATATCGGGCTCCTGGTGCATGGAGCCTGCTTCTCCCTCTGCCTGTGTCTCTGCCTCTCTCTCTCTCTCTCTGTGACTATCATAAATAAATAAATTAAAAAAAAAATTCCAGAATGTTTCATTATCCCAAAAAGAAATCCCATTCCTCTGCAGCCCCTGGCAATCATTAACTTCATCTCTGTCTCTATGGACTTGCCTATTCTGGACATTTAATATAAATGGGATTATGCAATATGTGGTCTTTTGTGTTTGCCGTATTTAACATAATGTTTTCGAGGTTTATCCATATCATAGCATGTATCAGTATACTAGCCCCCCTTATCTGCAGGTGATACATTCCAAGACCCCCAGTGATTACCTGAAACCGTGGTTAGTACCAAACCCTATATATACTATGTTTTTTCCTATACAGACCTACTAATGATAAAATTTAATTTATAAATTAGATATATAATATCTAATTATTCACAGCATAATGATGCTTTGAACCTTTATATATTTGTTTTTATGTAACATTTTCAATTCCCTTGGGTATATATACCTAAGAGTAGATTGCTGGGTCACCTAGTAAGTCTATGTATGACTTTTTACAGAACTGCCAAACTATTTTCCAGAGCAGCTGTACCATGTATATCCTCTCTAAAAATGTGTGAGAATTTCAATTTCTCTAGATTCTTGTCAACAACTGTTATTGTCTTTTTTATTAGGGCCATTCTAGTGAGTATGAAATGGTATCTTATTGTGTTTTTTTGTTGTTTTCATTTTTAAAGTATTAATGAATTTTAAAAGATTGAGGTCATGCAAAGTGTGTTCTCCGAATGCCATTTATTTCTTTTTCCCTGACCTGGCTAGAACCTCCCATATAATATTGAATAAATGTGGCAAGAGCCACTTGTCTTGTTCCTCCTGATCATAGGGAGAAACTGTTCAGTCTTTCACCATTAGGTATGATGTGAGCTGTGGGTTTTTCACAGATGCTTTCTATATCAGGGTGAGTATGTTCCTTTTTATTCCTAGTTTGAGTGTTGGATTTTGTCAATTTTTTTCCATCTAATGAGTTGATCATCTGTTTTGTTTCATTTATTAATATGGTATTTTATTTTATTTATTAATATTGTGTTTTAAGTAATATGAATTTTAGGGGCACCTGGATGGCTCAGTCCATTAAGTGTCTGCCTTCTGCTCAGATCATGGTCTCAGGGTCCTGGGATTGAGCCCCACATCAGGTTCTCTGGGAGCCTGCTTCTCCCTTGCCTTCTGCCACTCATTTCCCCTGCTTGTGCTCGCTTGCTCTGTCAAATAAATAAATAAAATCTTTTTTAAAAAATGTGATTTTTAAACTATGGTGTATTGATTTTTCTGTTTAACTGACCATTCATTCCTGGGATGAATCATGGTGTGACATCCCTTTTATATGTTGCTGGATTTGATTTGCTCATATTTTGTGGGAGAGTTTTGTGTCTATATTCATAAGTGATATTAGTTTATAGTTTTCTTTTCTTGTGATGTCTTTGCCTAAGTTTGATATGAGGGCAATACTGGCTTAACGGAATGATTTGGGAATTTTCTTCTGTTTTTTGGAAGAGTTTCTGAAGGATTGGTGAAAGAGTCTTCTTTAAACATGTGGTATACCTGTGAAGCCATCTAGTTCTGGGCTTTTCTTTGTGGGAAGTTTTAAATTACTAATTCAATCTCTTTACTTGTTATAGGTCTATTCAGATTTCCTATTTCTTTTTGAGTCAGTTTTAGTAGTTTGAGTCTTTTTAGGAATCTTCCTTTTTCATCTAAGTTATCTAATTTGTTGGTACACAATTGTTTATGGTGTTCCCTTATAATCCTTTTCATTTTTGTAAGGTTAGTGGTACTGTCCCCTCTTTAATTACTTATTTTAGTAATTTGAGCCTTCTCTCTCTTTTTTTATCAGTCTAGCTAAAAACTTGGCAATTTGGTTGATCTTTTTTAAAGAACCAACTTATGGTTTCATTGATTTTTCTCTTTTTTTCTATGCTTTATTTTATTAACTCCTAGTCTAATCTTTATTATTTTTATCTTTCTGCTTGTTTGGAATTTGGCTTGATCTTCTTTTTCTAGCTTCCTAAGTTGGAAGTCTAGGTTATTGATCTGAAGGGACTTTCTTTTTAGATTGAAACTGGAATTGGTGATTATGTTCCTTAAAATAATGTTTCCAGAATATGATTATGAGGAAGAATTAGCCTTTTTGGATTTTTCTTAGGAACAAACACTACTTGCTTATTTAGATATTCAAAATGGAACACGACTCAGCAACATACTATCATTTCAAAATAAGAACAGAATCAGGGCAGCCCCGGTGGTCCAGCGGTTTAGCGCAGCCTTCAGCCCGGAGTGTGATTCTGGAGACCCTGGATCGAGTCCCACGTCGGGCTTCCCTGCATGGAGCCTGCTTCTCCCTCTGCCTCTCTCTCTCTCTCTCTGTCTGTCTCTCATGAATAAATAAATAAAATCTAGTTTTTCGTTTTAACTATTTTTTTGTTCCTGGCCCCGAAAGATTTTATTTATTTATTCATGAGAGACAGAGAGAGAGAGAGGCAGAGACATAGGCAGAGGGAGAAACAGGTTCCATGCAGGAAGCCCGATGTGGGACCCGATCCTGGGATTCCAGGATCACGCCCTGGGCCAAAGGCAGGTACTAAACCACTGAGCCGCCCAGGGATCCCAAGTAAATAAAATCTTAAAAAAAAAAAAAAAAAAAAAAGAACAGAATCAAATGCACAATTAAAACCTACCGGAGGGGGATTCCTGGGTGGTTCAGTGGTTTAGCGCCTGCCTTTGGCCTGGAGTGTGATCTTGGAGTCCCGGGATCGAGTCCCACGTCGGGCTCCATGCATGGAGCCTGCTATTCCGGCTGCCTGTATCTCTGCCTCTCTCTCTGTGTGTGTCTCTCATGAATAAATAAATACAATCTTTAAGAAAAAAACAAAAACAAAATACAAAACAATCTACCGGAAATTCCCATCCTCAATACCAGTCACATCTGGGGGTATTTTTTTCACTCTTAAGAGTTCAGATAAATCACATTGCAATTTAAAGATTTACTTGAGGGGCACCTGGGAGGGGCAGTTAGTTAAGTGTCTGCCTTCAGCTCAGGGTCATGGGATTGAGCCCCATGTCCTTGGCTCCCCACTCAGTGGGGAGCCCGCTTCTCCCTTTCCCTCTGCTCTTCCCCCTGCTCATGCTTTCTCTCTCTCTTTCTCTCTCTCTCTATCAAATAAACAAAATCTTTAAAAAGTATATCTATTTGACTTTATAAACTACTGCTCAAAATTCAATATAATCGTTATTATAGCTAGTTACCATGTGAGTTAACTTGAAAGAGCTGGGGATAGCCAGTTCTCCTAGGTTAATTTGAAGCAGAAGAGTGCAATTCTTACACAAAGTCAATTGGATGTAGTCTTCCTTAAAATCTATTCTCTGCATCCTTTTTTTATGACCCCCATCTTTGGCACTTAATATGTGCTGTAGGTATCTTCTATTTTTTTTCCTTCCTTAATTTCCCCTGTATCCCTTAAATTGTTATTTGACTGCAGTCTCTTTTTGTTCATTATACAAACATGTCTTTGCTTTGAACATAACTGATTTGATAGATACTTTAGTTTCTCATCAAACATGGTTTTGCTGTGCATAACATTTTCTTTGGCCAACTGCAGCAATTTCCCATATTTGCTAGGTCACTCCTCTGGCATTTGGGCATGCAGTCATGGTAACTCCCATTTTCTTTTGTAATCCGATTCTTTCCATTTAGATAAGTTACTTTAATGATAACTTTTCTAATATTTCTGCTTGCAAGTTTTACCAAAAAAAAAATTATCTCTAAACATTGCTACCTCTCCCAGTTTTTCAGTCATTCCACAGTTTCATGACTTAGAGGAAAAAATGTTGGAAAGACTAAGAGAAAAGCAACTACAATGATTAGATGGTCTTGATAGACTTATTCTACTTTAAAGGTGTGATTATTTAGACAGAAGAGAAGAAAGTCAAGTGAAAACCTAATAGTTATGTAGTCTCATGAAACTTTGATGTTCAGAGACTAATCACTACATGCTTTTTCCTTCTCTAGGAGGAGGACAGAAAGTGGACTTTGGATATAACATAAATACCTTGGATTAGACAATTTTTCTAAAGTGAGAACAAATGAATGTGTTGCCCAGGAAATAATGATCTCTAAAGATACAATGAACACTCATTCATCTGGATTTGTTTAGGTGTGGTCTTGGCTGAAGACAAAGAGAAGGATCAGATAACTTCATGCTTTTTCTATTTAATATACCCACTAGATTCTTGATTAAGAGAAGGAAAAATGAGCAAGATACAGCCCAGTATCCTAACAACAATTAGCCTTAGGGAATGGTTTTGAAAGCATCTGATTTGCGTTAGTACTTAAGTCTTTAGTACTTAACCAAATTGACTATATAGTGAAAATTTCTAGTGCCTAGGTTTTATAGGGTAGAAGAAGGAAGTGGAGTCAAATGGCCAACACTTCATGTTAAGGTCAATGAGATTCTCCTTGCTGTAGTTCTGTTTTGACTGTTCTGGACAACATCAAATTAGTTTCAGTGGCTTGATTCTAGGCCAAGATTCTGGCAACAGATTGTAGTCTCACTGTTTTGTCCAATCTCACTGGATTTTACTCTCTCTTGTATTTTTCTTTCCCTTAGGCTGAGGGTAAAAAGCTGGGATTGTTTGGCTGGGTCCAGAACACTGACCAGGGCACAGTGCAAGGACAATTGCAAGGTCCTGTCTCCAAAGTACGTCTTATGCAGGAATGGCTTGAGACAAAAGGAAGTCCCAAATCACACATCGACAGAGCAAACTTCAGGAATGAGAAAGTCATCTTAAAGTTGGATTACTCAGATTTCCAAATTGTGAAATAATGGCCTGAATTTAAATTTTCTAAAATAAACTCGCTGGCTTTGTTTTTATTGTTATTATAGAATTAGTCTGTGTTCAGTATTAGAATGGATCAGTAAATTAAGTTATGTTAGTATAGGTATTTGAATATTACTGTATAATATATGTATGATATAGAAAGATGACAACTCTACACAGTTCTAAATAAATAAAGCTACGCTAGAACCTTCTGCATAGGGTCCTGTCTTTATTTTTGATGAACTTCATTTTGAGCAATATAAGAGGTATTTACTCAGTAAACATCTGTGGGAAGAGAATTTTAATGTAATTTAAAGAGAGCTGAAAGAAAAAGCAGTTAACTCTGAATCACTTTTTAAAATGGTTTCCATGCAGTTTTCTTCAGGAAATTCCATACCTAATAACAACAAATACCACAATTTCAATTTGTTAGTTGTTCAAATGACATCTTAGACATATTACTTTTACTTTTCTGGAGTATCTGCTGTCATTCCTTTCCTCTGGGCAAGGATTTCATATAAAGCAATGCTACGGACTAAATTGTATCACACATACCCTGCTTACCCCCAAATTCATGTGTTTAAGTCTTAACAGTACCTCAGAATGTGACTATCTGGAGATAGCACCTTTGGAGAGGTAATTAAGGTTAAATGAGGTCATTAGAGTAGGCCTCAATCCAATGTGCCCCAGTGTCCTTAAAAAAAAGAGGAAATTGGACACAGGCATGTACCTGCATAGAGGAAAGAACATGTGAAGACACAGAAGACAGCCATCTACAAGCCAAGAAGAGAAGCCTCAGAAGAAATCAACTTGTCAACATCTTGACCTCAGATTTATAGCCTCCAAAACTGTGACAAAATAAATTTCTATTGTTTAAGCCAGTCTGGTATTTTGTTACAGCAGCCCTACAAGCAATAATCAGGATTTTGCTTCATCAGCCCCTCACGTTTCCCAATTTGGCTTGGTCAGCCATTAAACAGGTATATAGCAAATGCTCACTGGACTTAAGTTTGTCATAAATTACAATTTTTGAAAATGATAGGTTTCAATGAAAATGAGACAGCAAAAACAGGATTGGTTAATAATTTCCCAAACACCTATTCTCACAGGGTTCTTACAGTTCTCATCAGTTAGGAAAGGAGCTGCGGGGGCATTAGGAACATCAATAAAAGTCAATGAAAGGAGTCTTGGTGTCCTTGCCTGTAAATTAAGAGGGTTGAGCTAGTTTCTCAGTCTCTTCCACCTCTGAAATGCTGTAACTACAGAAGATGGGAGGCTGTGGGTTTATTTACCCATTGAGTACCTTAACAGGACAGGCACTGTAAACAAAATAGATAAAATCCCCACCTTCAAATAGTTTACCTTCTAGTGAAAGACCTACGAAACGCAAATTGAATTAAATGGTAGGCAGTACGCGCGAAGGAAGAAAGAGGAAAGGAAAACGAGAAAAGCTAAAGTGAAAACTGCTGGGAACAGCTTTTCACATCATGCTAACGAGGTATAAGGATGGAGAATTCGGGGTGCCAGCGGTTAGAGACCCCCCACCTAGCCTCCCAATCAGAGAACAGCCGGTGCGCATGCGCATTTGCGTGTCGCCGACGAACGCTCGTTCCTAGCGAGTCGCCTCCGCGGCGCAGGCTCGTGGCGCGTGCATGAGCCTCGCGAGCCGACGTGCGCGCGCCCGGCGTCCGAGGCGGTTGGTGGCCAGGAGTTGGTGAGGCGCTCTTCAAGGGGACTCGGGGGAAGGCACGCGTGCAGAGGACGGTCCCGGGAGCCTTGTCACGGCGGAGAGGCCGTGACGACCTCCGCGGGCGTGCTTGGGACCCCGCTGCGCAGGAGGCGGCCGGGCTCGGCCTGCGAGTTGGGGGAGGGGTCGGGGTGGAGCGGGAGCCTGGGGGCCTGCAGCGGCGGGCCTGCCCCCGGGAGTCCCCGCCCCTGGGGACCTGCACCAGATCGTCCCCTTTGACCGTGGCCCACGGAAGACTGCGATGTCCTCAAGAAATCGTTAGGTTGGTTGGGTAACAGCATACCCATTAGACGTTCCCCGGGTCATTTGCTGCCGGCTGCAAAGTTACTTATCTTAAAAAACAAAAAACAAAACAAAACAAAACAGGAAAAAACATCAAATCTGCGATTTAGCTCTGGTGTTCCTGGCTTTGGAGAACTCCTCCTCCCCCCTGCGAGAGGTCCAGTCACGCTGCCCTCTCACCTATGAAGAAGGAAGGAGACCTTGAATGGCACTCCAACCTTAATTTATACGCGACAGGAAAACGTAGGATCACGTTCAGACAACCCCAGGACATCTCTCTTGTTGTTAAGGTAGTGTGTAGCCATCTGTCAAATAACCAAAATGCTGTCAGCTTCCGAAAACTGTTTCTCAGAGTAAAGTGTGAACAAGATTCAAAAATCAAATGCTACAGAAAGGTTGATCGTGAAAAGGAAGTTCCTGCCCTACCCATTCCCATTCCCAGTCTCTTTCCTCTGAGGCAACATTTAACCAATTAGTGATGAATGATAACCTCTTAATGCCCATCTCTTCTTGAGACAACAGTTTGAGTTTTTACGTTTCCTCCGTCTTTTAACCCTTCATTATGAGTTTTTACTAAAAGTCATGGTTATTATTGTGTAATGTATAAATATTATGAAACTAGCTTGGGTTGTGTGTGTGTGTGTGTGTGTGTGTGTGAATTTCTAGCTGAATTTAATTTGAACATCTGTTTTTGGTGAAGTGATTAGAATTTTGAACACTGTCTTACGGGTCAGCTTCAAGTGTGATTATGATTTCACTTTAGGGCATGTGGGATTTAGAAAGAAGCAGTGAAAATTACGAAATTGTGAATGCCGCTTTGGATATTAAATCCATCGCACCAAACATGAGCTGTGTGATCTGCCTAGAGATCAAAGCAGTAATTTGTGTTGTTTTGTTTTTTACAACGTGGTTTAATAAGAGATTTACTTTACCTCAAATGGTATTTCTCTGTAATGCTTGAGAGAGATGGATAATGCTGTGTGACTCTGAGGCTTTGATTGTGTGTGTGTGTTTTGTTTTGTTTTTTCCCATAGGCAATTATTTCCAGTGAAAGAAGGAAACCAGTGCCTGGCGTTCTTACCAGCTTTCTACCTTGCCATGATCAAGTGCTTGTCAGTTGAAGTACAGGCCAGATTGCGCTCCGGTTTGGCAATATGCTCCTTAGGCCAGTGTGTTGAGGAGCTTGTCCTCAACAGTATTGATGCTGAAGCAAAATGTGTGGCCGTCAGGGTGAACATGGAAACCTTCCAAGTTCAAGTGATAGACAATGGATTCGGGATGGGGAGTGATGATATAGACAAGGTGGGAAATCGTTATTTCACTAGTAAATGCAACTCTATACAGGACTTGGAGAATCCCAGGTTTTATGGTTTCCGAGGGGAGGCCTTGGCAAGTATAGCTGACATGGCCAGCGCTGTGGAAATTTCATCCAAGAAAAACAGGACAATGAAAACTTTTGTGAAACTGTTTCAGAATGGAAAAGCCCTGAAAGCTTGTGAAGCTGACTTGACTAGACCAAGTGCTGGGACAACAGTAACAGTATATAACCTATTTTATCAGTTACCTGTAAGAAGGAAATGCATGGACCCTAGACTGGAGTTTGAGAAGGTTAGGCAGAGGATAGAAGCTCTCTCACTCATGCACCCATCCATTTCTTTCTCTTTGAGAAATGATGTTTCTGGTTCCATGGTTCTTCAGGTCCCTAAAACCAAAGACGTATGTTCCCGATTTTGTCAAATTTATGGACTGGGTAAATCCCAAAAATTAAGAGAAATAAAATTTAAATATAAGGAATTTGAGCTTAGTGGCTATATCAGCTCTGAGGCACATTACAACAAGAACATGCAGTTTTTGTTTGTGAACAAAAGACTAGTTTTAAGGACAAAGCTGCATAAATTCATTGATTTTTTATTGAGGAGAGAAAGTATTATATGCAAACCAAAGAATGGCTCATCCAGTAGACAAGTGAATTCAAGTCCTAGGCATCGGGCTAATCCAGAACTCCATGGGATATATGTAATCAATATGCAGTGCCAATTCTGTGAATATGATGTGTGCATGGAGCCAGCAAAAACGCTGATTGAATTTCAAGACTGGGATACTGTTTTGGTTTGCATTCAGGAAGCAGTGAAAATGTTTTTAAAGAAAGAAAAATTATTTATGGAATTATCAGGTGAGGACATTAAAGAATTTAGTGAAGATAATGATTTTAGTTTATTTAGTGCTACTCTTCAGAAGCATGTGCCCTCTGATGAGAAAGGTGACCAGGTCAATTTCCAAGAAGCATGTAATAGTATTTCGGATTCCTATGAAATGTTTAATATTCAATCAAAAGCTGTGAAAAGAAGAGCTACTATAGAAAACAGAAGAAACACCGAGAATTCTAGAGATTTGGAAGGTATCAGAAAAAAGACAAATGATTCATTTTTGTATAATTATGAATCAGTTGACCCAAGCCATAGTAAAGTGATGGAGTCATCTTTACAAACCAAAGATAGCTCTTGCTCAGAATCAGGGATCTTGGAACAACAGACAGCTGAAGTATCAGAATCAGGAGAAAATGAAAAACATAAAAAACTTTGCTTAGAACTTAACTCTTCAGAAAATCTCAGTAGAATCCATTCAGAAATGTTTGCAAGACCTTTTCAGACATCATACTGCTTTGAGAAGAGTGGAGATGATCTAGAAATACAAAATACAAATACTATTTTTAATGGCATGGCTGCCAGTATCCTGAAAAATAATGGAATTCAGAATCAACTAGAGAGATTTAAAGATGCTACCGAAATGGGATGCCAATCTCTGCCTTTTGCAGCAACACTATTGAGACTACATGGTGCTCAGAGAGAGGAAGAGAAAAAAAAACAGCCTAGTAATTGTGGAAGAACAAACGTTTTTAGTTATGGACAAGTTAAATTATGTTCCACTGGCTTTATAACTCATGTGGTACAAAATGAGCAAACTAAATCAACTGAAAGAGAACATTTACTTAAAAATTGTATTCAACCTGGTCCCATGAGTGCCAGAGAAACGTTTCTAAATAGAGTGTGCCATTCACTTCAGACTCCAGAAATCAAAGATAGAACCAGCACTTTAAATAAGAAATTTGCTCAACTGTCTAACAAAAAATTATGCAGAACAAATATAAGGTATGGGGTAGAGAACAAACCTATAGCAACTTATAAAAATGTTTCTATTTCTCAGGAAAGTAGTAAAAACTCACAAATAGATTGCTTATTACCTGACACATCCTCTTCCCCTTGGTGTACACATATTTCAAATGGTAGTAAGAAAATAGATAAATTGATTTGTTCCTCTAAACCCATAACCCATAAAAAGCTAAGCTTAGGTTCACAACTAGGATCGTTAGAGAAGTTTAAGAGGCAATATGGGAAGGTTAAAAATCCTCTGAATATAGAAGTGGTAGAAAATAATAATTTTGAAATCTCTACCAGTCTCAGTCCTCAAGTTGAACCTGGCATTCCATGGAAAGACCAGAATCACTTAGACAACTCAGACATTTATAAAGTCGCTACGATGAAACATGACTCAAATAATAGTTGTCAACCAGTAAGTCACATGCTTTACCCAAAGAAGTTTCCTTTCTCCAATGAAGAAGATTGTTTGGAACAACAGATGCCTTGCTTAAGAGAAAGTCCTATAACTCTAGAGGAATTATCTCATTTTAGCAGAAAACCTTTGGATGTCAAGCAGTCTCCTAAATCTTTAGCCTCTAAATTATCCAGAATGAAAGGTTCCGAAGGAGAGACTCAAGCAGTGGAAATGATGAGTCATTTTGATGAACTTCCACAATCAGATTCCAGTAGGAAAGACCATGACTTGTGCAGTGGGTTAACCCTAGATTCTTGTGAGTTAACTAAAAACAAGTATGAGAAAACAGAGAGTGACATCATTCCAGTGTTGGACTCTGTCACACAGGATAATTCCTTCAATAAAGATAGTGAAACATCCTCTAACAAGAGTACAACAGAGAATTCTGTGATACCAGAAACTCCTTTGGTGTTACCCTGTGATCATTCTAAAGATGTCAGTAAAGATTCAGATGTTCTTATAGCTTCAGAACCACAGATAGGAAGTCCTGATTCTCCCAATAGAATGTCAGTGAGTCATGTAGAAGTTTCCACTGCTGACCAGAATGGAACTTGTTTTCAGAGTGAAGAATCTATAGCAAGAACTTGTTCTGTAGATGAAGAGTCAAGTACATGTTCTTTGGATTGGCAGCAGCATTTTGATGTAGCCCTAGGGAGAATGGTTTACATCAACAAAATAACTGGACTTAGCACATTCACTGCTCCTACTGAGGATGTTCAGGCTACTTGTACTAAAGACCTGACAACTCTAGCTGTGGATGTCCTACATGAGAATGGTAAGTATGTAGTATTCACTAGCATGAAATGCTTTTTTTTTTTTTTTTTTAGATTTTATTTATTTATTTCATGAGAGACACAGAAAGAGAGGCAGAGCCATAAGCAGAGGGAGAAGCAGGGTCCCTGCGGGGAACCTAATGGGGGACTTGACCCCAGGACCCCGGGATCACAACCTGAGCCAAAGGCAGATGCTCAACCACTGAGCCAACCAGGTGCCCCATGAAATGCTTTTAAAGGTGGAAATAATGGCCAAAACATGAGGCAATCCTTGCCCAAAGAGATTATCTCAGCTGATGGAACATTTTGAAGTTTAATTATAAACTTTATGATATATGAAGATTCTCTGGGTTCAATACAATTTATATCTAGAAATACAATGAAAGACAGAATAGAATAGAATTGTATGTGTATATATCTGTGGGTGTGTGGTTGGGATAGTAGAGTGAGGCCATTGTAATGAAAATGATACTATTAATAGTTGAGAAATCCACTGTGCTTCACTACCCTACCTTTTCTTCTCTCTCCCAAACATACAACTCCTAGAAATTTGTCATTAAGGATACCTGCAAAGCCAGTGTGATATTTTTCTGGAAGTTGCTCTCTGCAGCTCCCAAGTAAAGGGCCAGAATGATCCTGTAATCATCCTAGGTTTCCCAGATAATCTATGGTACAGTACTATATATGTATGAACTTTTTTTATGTTTTTAGAAAAAAGGACCTTAAAGTTTTTGGAATGTAGGTAAAGTATACTTTTCAAATGGAGTTTGTTATAATACATATGTTAATCCATTTGCTGTGTTTATGCTATAAGTAGCTGTTATTCAGGAAGATAGTGTGGCTTTTAAATCATACCACAAGGCTACATCAGAGCCTACATTGGAACTGTTGAGTTTGAAGGTCCAGTCAACATTAAAAGTGACATTGTTTTGGCAGTGTGTTGACAGCCAGGTGTTGGGAGATGGTAAAGCTGATTTCCATCTGGCTATAATCTTGGTTTTGCATCAGGAGGATAAACATTAAATGTACATCCATATTAAAAATCTTGAATCTTGCAAAAGAATGTAAATTGTATGAATGTAATTGCAAATTAATTCATAATCCTCCTTAGAATGAAGATCTCTAGCAGAAGCCTCAGACTTATCTAAGGTTAAATAAGACTTTTATTTTTCAATGGCTTCCAGTGTTTTCCTTGTGAAAAAATAATTACTGTAATAACATAAAAAGTATTAAATAGGAGAAAACTCTGGTCTTTCAGTATTGCTCCTGAGACTCTCAGGTTGCTCTTAAAGACGTGTTTTTCAATCTATGTAACTTAATGCCCTGATTTATACTGAGTGTTTATCAGAGGTAAGCCTAAGGCACTGGCACCTCATCTTTCTGAAATTCAACTGCTTCTAAAATGGTGACAAAAAAGAACTTGATGACATTAAACTGAGGTGTTTGTTGCTAAAACAAAGGGGGAATCTCAGCTGCCACACTCAACATAAACATCTGCTCCTATTAAATCAATCTAGATGTTTAAAACACTTCGATCTACTTAACTTTCAGGATTAGCAAGTTTTGTAGTGAACTTTGAAGGGTCAGGTTAACTCAGTTTCATAAGGAAAAATAAAGTATGTTGGATATAGAAACAAGGTCCATGGAAAGATGGCTCCTAAGCACCCTCCATTCACATGGAATGTTACCTGTCTGGAAAGGACTGATGTATGTAAGACATTGGGACACCACTGTTGAACCATACATAAAAACGTTACCTAAGGTGAATTGTTAAAAGGTAGATTAAATTGTAGACAAGAGAAGATCTTTAAAGGTAATTTTAAGGAGTAGTGTCAAATCTCCAAGTTCTGGCAGTTTTTTTTTTCTTTAAAATGCCTTTAACTCTATTGTTTCTATTATGGTAACCCTACCTTATTTCACCTTACCCTTTAATTTTATCATTCTGAATGAATCTCTCCCAATTCTTGCCCAACAGATTTATCTTTTTCAAATAATAGTTTCATGTTTTGCTGGTATTCAAAAACTGTCAAATTCAGGCATTATTTCTAAAAAAATCAGACCATCATTCAGAGAGGAGGGCAGTTTTTGGACCAGATCTTACTGGACTTTGGAGTTTAAATTGAGGACTTTTCATTCATTTATTCATGTATTCATTCATTTATTGATTGTTCATACTGTGCTAGGTTGCAGATTCACTCACTTGGCTTTCAGGAGTTTACAATCTATTGGCGAAGACAACTATCTAAATATAATATGGTGAGATAAATGTTGTAATAGAAACATATTTTGGGACGCCTGTGTGACTCAGTGGTTGAGTGTCTGCCTTTGGCTCAGGGCGTGATCCGGGAGTCCCGGGATCGAGTCCCACTTCGGGCTCCCTTCAGGGAGCCTACTTCTCCCTATGCCTGTGTCTCTGCCTCTCTCTGTGTCTCTCATGAATAAATAAATAACATCTTAAAAAAAAAAAGAAACATATTTTGGGTATAAGAGACATATAAGTTGTGACCATTGAGAATCAGTGATCTATTTTTGGTGCTCATTCTGTATGGTGTAGATGGATAATGGCACTAAGCATTAATGTAGTAGGTTCCTAAGTTAGTATAACTTCATTAAAGAACTCTGACTCTCAATCTAGTGTTTAGTAGTCTGCCTTATTTTTTTATTTGGTTTATTCAGAAATATTTTATGTAACTTGATTTTTTAAATAATTTATATTTTGAGTTCAAATGTGTAGGTTTTTCTTTTTTTACATTTAGGAACTCAGTATAGGTGTCATCCTTTTAGAAGCGACCTCATTCTTCCTTTCCTTCCAAGAGCTCGGGAAGAGAGGACTATGATGAGACAGAACAGAGGTAGGGGCAAATAACAGAGATTGCTGAGACACCTAGTATGTACTGTATCACCTAACTAAAAAAAAAAAAAAATTTTTTTAAAGTAGGGTTGTATTATTAAGCTTGATCAGTGCCAGCTGTGCCTTACTGGAACCAGGAATTCCCCCACGGTCCTATTTAACAACAGAACTAAGTAATTCAGTGCATGCATTTAGATCAGAAATTACTTTTCCAGACTTGAAGTCAATACTGGGTGATTATGCACAGTCTGTGGTGTCTTGTGATTGAACAAATATCTCTTAAAGATTGGCATTGCACTACAATTGTAGTAGTTTTATGTAAGCAAAATTCTTATTTTCAAAAAAAACTACATAGTGTTTGTTCTTTGTTTCTAAAAATAGGTAAGGTACATTTTAATCTAAAGGAAGTGAGACTACTAATTTGAACCAGTTTCTTCTCGACTTGTATTCTGAAATATCTTTTGAAAATAGTTTGGAGAAAAAGCTATAATGCCAGAAGATACAGTCATCAACTCTAGTAGTTTAAAAAGTAACAGATCAAAACAATTTAGAGATCCAGCAAACACTGAACATTTGTAGAATATTGGAACAATATGTCTGATCTTTGGTCTTGAGGCTGCACCACACCAAATACAAGATGCCATTCATCTTTTTTTCTGATGCTCTTGATACCAACTTTACCAACTTTACCTGTCTCCTTTTGCCTTAGATACTGTGGATGTCACTGTTGGTAAAGAATCACTTCAGTCTTTGTTCTCAGAATGGGAAAATCCAGTATTTGCCCGTTATCCAGAGGTGGGTCTGTAGCAATTTTTCTTTGCTTGTTATTTTAAAATTTGTATTTCATTTAAGTTAGGTATGGGCATGAATGACTATACTAATTTTTAATTACAAATGGAAAGTGGGCATGTTTCCAAATAGTTTATTTGGAAATACTGTTTAATATAGAGAGAAGGAATCAGAATCCATCGCATTTTGGGAGCTCCCACATTTTGTATTAAACATGTGTGATCAGTGTGTGAATAGTGAATGTGTTTACCACTCTTAAAAACCCTGACTTACAGCCTTGGCAAAGTATTTATGGGGAGGTGATAATTAAAAAAAAAAAAACGTGTTAAATCATTATATAAAGTAGTGAGTTTTCTACTGGAGGGACAGTCCATCCTTGGACATGAGTGTACATTCTCTCCTCAATGGGTTATCACAGAATGTACTTTGTGTGTTGTAATGAAGGTGTAGAATAAATGAACATTTGATTACAGATTTTTCAGTTAAGATGTGTTTAAGGAGTTGATCATAGGGCATAAACAAATTGTTAATCTGAAACAATATTGGTTTTGTTAGTAATTCTGTTTGTAACCAAAAATTATTAAGACTAGTAATTCACACAGTTTTTTGAATTTCTGTAAGTTTCTTGAATTCAACACACCTCTAATAGGTTCTGTGAAAATGAATGTTTTAAAGCACTTTGAGACCTTTGGCAAACAGTTCTGCAGATATAAAGAATTAAAATTTAAATGATGCTTATGCTGGATCTTTCTAGGTTGCTGTTGATGTAAGCAGTGGCCAGGCCAAAAGTCTAGTGGTTAAAATTCACAATGTCTTGTATCCTTATCGTTTCACCAAAGAAATGATTCATTCGATGCAGGTAAAAAATTGACTTTGAAATCTTGTAAAAATATAGATAAGATCTAAACTGGGCTAACTCTTGTGAAATTGTATTTATTTAATGATCTAGACCACCGTGGTCAAGGCACATGTGTTTTTTAAAATCTTACTGGAACTTTTATTATCCAGAGAAAAAGCAAAGGACTAATTTTAATTACAAAGAAAAAATGTCTTTAGTAATGTGAGCAGGTTTGGAGAGATGAATTATGGCTTGAGGCTCACAGTTTCAAAGATTATATATTGACTTTATATTTTGACAATAATTAATTAATCAACAAAATACTGTGGAGACCTTGTCCTTAAATGCCCCGTTGTAAATGACTGCCTATTGTGTGAGGCTACAAATGACATGGTTTAGGAGACTCCAGATTGAGGAGCTCTATTAACAAAAGGGACCCCTTGTCTCCTCTGCTTTGCTAGTTTGCCTTCTCCCTATGCCACTCAGGCCATCTTCATCTCCTTATTTTTAGTATGGAAACAAATTAGGAGGTTAGACAGATACCGGTAAACTCCTCACCTGGCCTTGATGTGGTGCTAGAGCAAAGCAAGCTCAGATATAGGGGAGTGGGGTAGGAAAGTATGAGGAGAACCTTTCTGTACCCGGACAGAGAAGAGCCACCGAGGTTAAAGCCCCTGGTGACTTTTAACTTACAGCTCTAAGGGACTACCTCTTCTGAAATTATTTTCCTTGCTCTTGCATACATTTTCAAAATTTATTTCATCCCCATTTGGTAGCAGTCTCTGGTCACATTACATACTCAATAAGAGTCATTCTGTTGGGAACATTTCAAGTCTACTCTAAAGTCTTAGATTTTCTTAGCATGTCCCTTTTAGAATCCTTAGCTTGTAATCTCCTTCCTTTTTGTGTTCTGATCATTCTACTTGCCCATTTTTCAATCCTTCCTAATGACTCCTTCAGGTTCATCAGCACCTTACCATAGTCTTAGATATGAATGTTATAATGCAATGACTCTTAACTAAGTATAGTTTTATCTCTTAATATGCAGATAAGGCTTTGTTAATTTTTATTTAGTGTTGTACCGCTTATTTGAATGTATGACAGGTTCTCCAGCAAGTGGATAACAAGTTTATTGCCTGTTTAATGAGCACCAAAACTGAAGAGAATGGTGAGGCAGGTAAGATTGGAGTTTAGCCTTTATTAATATGGAGCTAGTCTTCTGATAGCCTCTTTTCAAGGTATTTTTTACATACAATACAGTTGCAGTGATTTGGACAGGTTAAAACCCAATTGGGAAAACCAATCTAAATTAATATTATGAAAGAACAGGTTTTTTTAAAAAAATATTTTATTTATTTATTTGAGAGAGAAAGTGAGCAAGTGCACTCATGAGAGAGAGCACAAGTGGGGTGGAGAGGGAGAGGGAGAAAGAAGCAGATTCCGCACTGAGTAGGAAGCCCGACATGGGGCTCGATCCCAGGACCCCGGGATTATAAACTGAGCCGAAGGCAGACGCTTAACTAACTAAGCCACTCAGGCACCCTTGGAATAACAGTTTTAATGTACAGTAGTTTTATATTACATATACAGAGACATACATATGTAAGATACATGTTAAATTATTAATACTAGTTACCTTGGGAGTGACAATAAAGGGGAAATTTCATCTTTTACTCTTTAAAATATTTTACATTGTTTGACTTTTTGATAATGTGTTCATGTATTCCCTTTATAATAATAGAAAGTCTATATAATAAACTCTGCTAGGTTTATCAAGAGTTACATACAGTATATTGGTGACTTGCTTTAATAAAACAATACTAGTTTGTAAACAATAATATTAACTCATTCAACAAATATTGATTGTCTGTTGCATGCCAGGAACTGTACTAGGCCCTAGAGCTACAATGGTGGGAAAAAAATACACATCTAAGAGAAACAAATAAGTATATAAACATTAACATTTTAATTCTAGCTAGTGTTATGGAAGAGAGAAACAGTATGCTGTAAGAAAATATACTGAGAGATTTGATTTAGTCAGGGGGGCCTGGGAAGGTTTTCTTGATAAAGTGAGATCTGAAGTATGCATGTGAGCTAACTAGGTAAAAGAAGGGAGGGAATAATATTGTGGGCTGAGGGAATGACAATATGCAATTCGTGATTTCCTCTCCTCTAGTGAGATGAAGCAGGACAAATGCAGCTGGAGTGAAAGCATAGAGATGAGGCCAGAGAAGTAGCTTCCCACCAGTTAGAAGTGCCAGTTAGAAGCTTTGTATTTGTCCCAACACCAGTTGGAAACAATGGAAAGCTTTTTATTTTCTTTTTTCAGTGTTTGTTTTTGTAGTGGCACATGTCATATCACATTTGTACTTTGGAAATATTGCTCTGGTTGCAGTATGGAGAATGGAGTGAGGGTGGGGTGGAATCCCAGTAACTGCAGAGAGACGGGTAGGAGGATTTTGCAATATCTAAAAACGATTGTTGGCTAAGACCAGAGTGGACTAGAGAGAACTGAGTGCATTGGAAAGATACATAGGAGATAAAGTCAGCAGGGTTCGGTGATGCATTGGATAGATGAAAGGAAATCAAAGATGACTCCTAGTTTTCTGACCTCCGTAACTGAGTGGCTGATGTTGCAGGACCAGGTGACAGACATCCCAAGGAGAGACTCAGATATCTGTGACATGGTAGAGAGGGACTGAAGGAGGGTGATGGGAAAAGACGGTTTGTTTATTGGTTTGGGTTTTTTTTTTTTTTTAACTGGAAGACACTTGAGCACATTTATGAGGAATGCTTGATAGTGTACATGGCTGAGAGCCCTGAGCACCAGTGAAGGACTTGGGTCCAGACAGGTAGACCCACAGGCGAGTGCTTCTGAAGTTTGAAAGCAGTTCATTCTCTTTGTATTTCAAAGTATTCCCTTTTACCTTGCTTACATGGTAGATTTACTTAGTAAATGTCATAAGAGATCGAAGACAGATTAAAAGATCCGTCACAATTGTCATAAATATGGAATCGGTGAAAGTCAAATTCTGGTAGTTTTACTGATCTGGGAAAATTAATAGATTTCTCCGAAGGTTTTGATTACCTGGGATTCTTTGTTGTTTAAAGATCTTATTTATTTTAGAGAGAGAAAGAGAGCGACTGTGAATGGGGGAGGAGAGAGGGCATCCCAAGCAGAATCTCAAGCAGACGCCACATGCACCGAGTTCAGAGCCCGATGCAGGGCTCAATTGCAAGACTCTGAGATCATGACCTGAGCTGAAATCCTGAGTCGGATGCTTAATTGACTGAGTCACCCGGGCGCCCCTCTTTGTTGTTAAATACCAAAATCTTTATTAATGGCACCTGAGATGGGTATAGCCACAAAATCTGAGATATTCAGAGAAGCAGAAGGGACCTATTTAAATTCTCTTGAGATTCTGTATGGTCATTGGATTATAGGTGACCTTTGAACAATGCAGAGATACCCCAAACCCCCACATAGTCAAAATCCATTTACAACTTCTGTCTCCCCCAAAACTTACTCCTACTATAATAGCCTTGACCATTGGTCAGGGTTTGTTGACCAAAACCTTACCAGTGACACAAACACATATTTTGTGTGTTCTATATATTACATGCTGTGTTCTTGTAATAAAGTAAGCTATAGAAAATGATACTAACAAAATCATAAAGAAGAGAAAATACATTTACAGTACTGTATTTATTGAAAAAAAAAATCTGCACATAGGTGGACCTGTGCAGTTCAAATCCATGTTGTTCAGTGGTCTACTTTAGTTAGTTACCACCAAAGAGTACTCTTAGATAAATACATTTTTAAAATCAAAGTGTATTTTTACTGTCACTCGTGAATACTAAAAGCAACATATTCCAGTAATTGACTTACTTTAATATTTGCACATATTTTTGTAATCGACAAATACATTATTACTTTAAAATATTAGTGAAATGGGATGCCTGGGTGGCTCAGCAGTTGAGTGTCTGCCTTCGGCTCAGGATGTGATCCCAGAGTTCCGGGACTGAGTCCTACATTGGGCTCCTGCATGGAGCCTGCTTCTCCTCCCTCTGCCCGTGTCTCTGCCTCTGTCTCTGTGTCTCTCATGAATTAATTAATAAAATCTTAAAAAAATAAAATAATAAAAAATAATAAAATTATACTGAAATTAATACCATATACTCATAAATTGGCATTTTGTATTACATATTTCCACCTATGATAAAATATAGTTGTTCAGTTATGATACCCCAAAGAATAAGGATTCATTCATTTATTCCATAAATACTTATTGTCTATTATGTGCCTGGTGCTAAGAGTATAACAGATAAAATCCTTGACCTTATGAAACTGCCATTCTGTTGTGTTAGAATATCGAATTACAGCTTCTGACATGATTACATTATCTTCATGTATTCTGCTTCATTCAAGACATACAAAATGTTGTGAACCTTATGTAGATTGTGAATCATTCTGCTACCATCAGGTACAAGATTGATTTCTGAGGGTCCCTGACTCTTGATAATCCACACCAAAGCCAGTTTCAAGTTTAAGGTTACTCCCTCATAATTTTTTATTTATTCCATTGTTTTGCCCAATACAGGATGTTCTGTATTCATCACAACCAGCTGCAACTCCTCTTATTCTCAAAGGAATTTAAAATTTAACGTTTTGGGGCCTAATCCTGTGATTGAGCGTCAGAAAAATTATTTCCTTTTTTCCCTTAAGTCTTAAGCTCTCATGCCATGAATTTGATGGTGTTTTAGAAATAGTAGATTCTTTAGTAGAAATGGGAAAAACAGGAATTATCTATTTTTGATCAAATTCAAGAGGAGAACTTTGATTTCAATATAACCAATAGCAATAAACCTCAACCCTTTGGCCCCAAGTAATAAAATTACGAGATAAAAAGATGTACTAAGGTAATGGAGAGTCAGTCCTCCTGTCAATGAGAAGGAGATTTCCCTGTAGGTTTGGCTTTTTGGGTCGGGACACTCTGCCTTCTCTCTTGCACTTGAGAGTCAAAACCCTTGCTACTCAAAAGCTTGGTCTATAAATAGCATCACTTGGGAGTTTGTTAGAATTGTAGCATCTTGTGTCTTATCTCTACTGGATCAGAATCTGCATTTTGATAAGATCCACAGGTGATATGTATGACCATCAAAGTTTGAGAAACCTGAGTCTAAAACAAGGCAAGCTATGGCTGTGAGCCAAATCCAACCATGACCTGCTTTTGTGCACCCAGGAAGTAAGAATGGTTTTTAAATTTTTAAGTGGTTGAAAAGAGCAAAAGAATAATATTTCTTGACACATTAAAATTCTATGAAATTATGGGAAGCCTGGGTGGCTCAGTGGTTGAGTGTCTGCCTTCCGCTCATGGCGTGATCCTGTGTTGGGGGATCGAGTCCCACATCGAGCTCCCCACCTGGAGCCTGCTTCTCCCTCTGCCTATGTCTCTGCCTCTCTCTCTCTCTCTCTCTCTTGCTCGCTTTCTCTGTGTCTCTCATGAATAAATAAAATCAACTATATGAAATTAATATTTCAGTATCTATAAATAAAGTTTTATTGGAACACAGCTACAGTGTTCATATATTGTCTGTGACTGCTTTGGTTCAAAAGGAATAGTTGAGTAGTGGTGACAGAAACCATATGTCCTAAAAAGCCTAAAATATTTACTATCTGGCCCTTCACAGAAAAAATTTGCTGACCTCTGATCTAAAGTATACTAGATGAGGCAGCCCGGGTGGCTCAGTGGTTTAGCGCTGCCTTCAGCCCAGGGTGTGATCCTGGGGACCCGGGATCGAGTCCCACGTCAGGCTCCCTGTGTGGAGCCTGCTTCTCCCGCTGCCTGTGTCTCTGCCTCTCTCTCTGTCTCTGTCTCTCATGAATAAATAAATAAAATCTTAAAAAAAAATTTTTTTTTTAAAGTATACTAGATCTGGCAGGCCACCTTTTTAATATGTAAAGGGTTTGTGAGAAAAGTTTAAATTGGCTAGAAGAAGCCTGTTTTTTAAAATAATTCTAATTACACTTAAATTTAAAATACTTATTATTATATACTGTAAATCAACAAATTGAATGTATATGTTTGGTTATAATGTTTCTTAAAGTGAATCACATCTGTCATTTGTTATAAGTGTACTCCCTGGAGAAAAAAAAGTATACTAGAATTACATTCTTCCTGGGGTTCAGAGTAGCTTGCAAATCAAAGTCAGGTGATTATAATAATGTGTTTAAGGTCCTTCATTGTATCAGTCTGAATTAATAAAACAAAATCAGTATTTAAACATTTAAAAAATTTATTTATTTGAGAGAAAAAGAGAGAGTGAGAAGCTGACTCCCAGCTGAGCAGGGAGCCTGATTCAGGACCCGATCCTCAATCCCAGGACTCTGGGATCATGACCTCAACCGACTGAGCCACCCCAGGCACCCTGCAAAATCAGTATTTAAACATTAGGAATGTAGGGCTTTCCCCTTGTTTTATTAATGAAATACCAATGAACTAAAAAAAGTTTTTCATCAGGGATAAATTTGTAGTTTTCTCCATATTTCAATTTTTAAGAAATGAAAGATACAACTGTTATTACTAAGTATGTGTGTTTCCCTTATGCTTATGTTATTAAATAGTTTGAATTAATCTTTTTTCCCTTCCACACAACATGATGATTTTAATCTTGATCTGTGAATTTGAAGCTTTAGTAACCCTTACTAATCTTCCAGGTGGAAACCTACTAGTCTTAGTGGATCAGCATGCTGCCCATGAGCGTGTCCGTTTAGAGCAGCTGATAACCGGTAAGGATCTGTTTGGGACTAGAAAAGATTTGAGACTCCCCTGCAGAACTTGTATACTTAAGGAGTTTTTCTAACTGTGACTGTTGTGAGGAAGGATGAACTGTATGTTCAAAAAATTAAGCTGAAATCTTCTGGTTTGGCTTCTATAACCGAAAGAATGTAGTGATTCACTTTACTGATTCAGACTTGGTGGTCTTACATGGTCAAAGATATATAGTGTCATTCATTTATTATTGACCTTAAGGGTTGGGTACATAAGAATTAGGCTACTTTCTTATGACATCCAACACAAAGATATGCCGCTGTGTATGGCCATATGCTTTTGGTATACATATCTTCTTCACAGCTCATCAGGCAGAGACTACCAACCAGAGGGCCCAATATATTGTTTTTATTTTAAAATTGTTTTTGAATGCATGGTATAATCAAATAAGTTCAAATCTGAAAGGTACAAAATGGAATATAATAAAGTCTCCTTTTTACCCTTGTTCCTCATCTCTCCTAGTTTCTCCACCCAGAGACAGCCAGTATCACTAATTTGTTACATGTTTTTCCAGAGTCAGTATGTGGTTTTTAATCTTTGCTACCCTCTTTTCTCGTCATGAGGTAGTATGTTCTCCAAATGGTAAAATCCCAGGAAAATCTTTACTCCTATGGTCAAGTAATGGAAAATTCATGTCAAAGAGTTAGGAGAGGACCTAGGAAGACTAGAATGGCAATACACTTCCATATTCACTTTTCCTTATGAAATGAAGACATAATTGTTGAGAAAGATACAGTAAAACTTATGTTAGGAAAATTTGCTACAGTCTCGGAACCATTTGAGAACAGTACTGATCAGTTCTCTTCAGAGACTGGGAAACCCTTCTGAAGGAATGGGGAAGCCTTCTTGAGCCATAGGATTTTATAGTAAACCAATTTATTTCCTCAGTAATCAACATTACTCCCCCCACCACATTATTAAAACCACATTTATTGACTATCTCCAGGAACATTGCATTGTTCATTTCAATGTAAGATTTCTGTTTTACATTTCTTGTTTTGGAAAATACTGGTGAAATGAATAAATGGAGTGGATATTGACTAGCTTGACGTTAATAATGGAAATTCAAAGCCTAAAACTGAACATTGAACACATCGCTAAGCACAATAATAATTAACATGGCTGTGCCTTATCATGCCCTACTTTTATCTGATTCTAGAAGACTTCACTTCCTACGCCTAACCCATTCATCTTTTTCCCAATAGATTCCTATGAGAAGCAACAGCCACAGGGCTCTGGTCGGAAAAAACTACTGTCTTCCACTGTAAGTCCTCCACTAAAGATAAGAGTGACAGAGGAACAAAGGAGACTCTTACGGTTAGTACCACCATGAGGATGTGATATTTATGGTATAAGCTCCGACAGTAATTCTATGAGGAAATATTGTTCCTTTTTTCAGATGAGGCACCTGAGACCAAAGGGAGGTTACATGACTTGTTCAAGGTCATAACTCTTGAGTGGCTTTCAGATGCGGGTCTTCTGACTCCAAATGCTGTTCTTTCCACTATATCACAGCTGTTGAGTATAGGATAGAGTTTCCTTGATAATTTTTTCCAGCAGTTGGCTTAGAATACTCTTACCATTTCTTGGAAAAGTCCATGTTTATGCTGTGCTGTTTCTAAAAGCAAAGTTGCTGCAGTAATTGCTTCCATTCTGCTTTGCCTCGGTGCATTCTAGATTCTTAGTTTTCATTACCATAATCATACTGAGGAGAAAGTAAAACACTGGGCCGCAAGGAAGGGGTAAATCATATGGTGAGTCACAAGATAGGACATCTTCCCACTTTGGGGCTGCACAAGTTATTGGAAATAAAAAAAGGATCATCTCTGAATTTATGTCAGGATTGGGAATATGCTACTGCCAATAAATCTTTTTCCCTGAGCCATAATTTATAATAGAGACAGATCCATTTATTTACATCCCATTAATCAGGACTTCTCAGTTCCTAGGCTGTTAATTACCTCCTGCTTTAATGTTGATTCAAAACATTCTCAGCCCTTTTATTTGTGCCAAACTCCTTGAAATGCCAGCAATGAGGAGAAGTTAGTAATCCCTCAGTGAAGAATAAAACTTAGGAACAAGATTTAGAAACAAATGGATTCTCTCAATGGAAAAAAAAAAAAAAAGAAAGTTACTATAATTCAAAAAGGAAATTTGATAGTAAAATCCTAAACAAATGACCATAAGTATGAGAAAAACAATACAACTTTTAAAACTTGTGGCAGCTTTTGAGAAATTATCCAGCATTTGGAACTAGTACTGAAATGCAAATGAAGTAATACTTTTGTAATTGAAGTTATCTCTTTAGGTGTTACCACAAAAATCTGGAAGATCTGGGCCTTGAAATTCTATTTCCAGACACCAATGATTCTCTGGTCCTTGTAGGGAAAGTACCACTCTGTTTTATAGAAAGAGAAGCCAATGAACTTCGAAGAGGAAGATCTCCTGTGACCAGGAATATTGTAGAGGTAAGACAGAGCTTCACATGTTGAGGAAATTGCTAAGTGAAGGGTAACCTCCTGTTTTCTTTAGAAATTCTCTATATTCGTCTTTTATCCAACAAGCATGTATGAGATACCTTCTATGTGCCAGGTGCTAGAGATTCAAAGATGAATTAGCTCAAGGTGGAGAAGGATGTTTACATAATTACAAATACAATGCAGTTTGGCCAGAAGAGGTATGTTCAAAAGTGCTGTTACAGAGTAATCCGAGCTTCTTCCAGACATGCCTTTCTCCGGGTTTCGTGGAGTTTCCTCACAGCATGGCCCCCAAGTGCCAGTCCTCACTCGCACCTCAAATGAAGAAACCGAAGAAACCAAAGAAACCGAAGCTGCCTCCTGCCCCCAAGCGTGAGGAGACGTCGACCTCTCAGCACTTGCCGAAGGGAGAAAAAAAACAGCAAGAAGCAATTGAACATACGGATGAAGTACAAAATGAAATAGACAGACTTAATGAGCAAGCCAGTGAGGAGATTTTAAAAGTAGAACAGAAATATAACAAACTCCTCCAACCATTTTTTCAGAAGAGGTCGGAACTGTTCGCCAAAATCCCCAATTTTTGGGTAACAACAATTTGTTAACCATCCACAAGTGTCTGCACTGCTTGGGGAGGAGGATGAAGAGGCGCTGCATTATTTGACAAGAGTTGAAGTGACAGAATTTGAAGATATTAAATCAGGTTACAGAATAGATTTTTATTTTGATGAAAACCTTTACTTCGAAAATAAAGTTCTCTCCAAAGAATTTCATCTGAATGAGAGTGGTGATGCATCTTCAAAGTCCACTGAAATAAAATGGAAATCTGGAAAGGATTTGATGAAACGTTTAAGTCAAACACAGAATAAAGCCAGCAGGAAGAGACAGCGCAAGGAAACAGAGAGCTTCTTCACCTGGTTTACTGACCATTCTGATGCAGGTGTAGATGAGTTAGGAGAGGTCATCAAAGATGATATTTGGCCAAATCCATTACAGTACTACTTGGTTCCTGATATGCATGATGATGAAGAAGATGATGGTGATGATGATGAAGAAGAATGAGGATTGGAAGATACTGATGAAGAAGGAGATGAGGAAAAAAAAAAGGAGATGAGGATGAAGGTGAAGAAGATGAAGATGATGATGAGGGGGAGGAAGGAGAGGAGGATGAAGGAGAGATGACTAATGGAACACTGATGGATTCCAACCTTCCTTTTTTAATTTTCTCCAGTCACTGGGAACAAGTTGTGGCGCTTTTTTTTTCCCCCCTCCTCTTGTGCTCATTTGCCCTGTTTTTTTTTCTCTCCCTTTATACCATGGTTCTCAACTTATTTGGGGGGAAATACCTTGAGCAGAATACAGCAGGAAAAGAATCTCTACCCCTTTCTGTTCCAAATTCATTTTTATTCCTTCCTGTCTCAACAAAAACTTTATGGAATCAACACCACCATGCTCTGTGGGAAAAAAAGAAAAACCTGCTCCCTTAGCTTGCTGGAAGCTGGAGGGTGCTAGGCCCCTGTGTAGTAGTGCATAGAATTCTAGCTTTTTTCCTCCTTTCTCTGTATACTGGGCTCAGAGTTTATACTGTGCCTCTAAGTGAATACGGACAGTTAGCGTTTACCAACATGTACCTGTTCTACTTTCTCTTGTTTAAAAAAAGAAAAAAAAAACTTAAAAAAATGGGGTTATAGAAGATCAGCAATGGGTGGGTTTAAGATGTTTGGGTGGGTTAAGTGGGCATTTTGACAACAATGGCTTCTCCTTTGGCGTGTTTAATTGTGGTGTTTAACGGACATCCTTGCAGTTTAAGATGACGCTTTTTAAATAAAGCTCTCCGGGATCTCTGGGTGGCCCTGCCTTTGGCCCAGGGCGTAACCCCCGGGGAGTCCCGGGATGGAGTCCCACATCAGGCTCCCTGCATGGAGCCTGCTTCTCCCTCTGCCTTTGTCTCTGCCTCTCTCTCTCGGTGTCTCTCATGAATAAATAAATAAATCTAAAAAATAAATAAATGAATAAAATAAAATAAAACTCTCCTAATGATGACCTGAGCCCTGCCACTCGATAGGAGAATCAGCAGAACCAGTAGGATCTTATTTGCAATTGGCATTCTCTATTGTAATTTTGATCCTGTTTATGTTTAAATTTTCTTTTTGTTTCACTGGAAAGGAAAGATGCTCAGTTTTAAACATTAAAAGTGTACAAGTTGCTTTGTTACAATAAAACGAAATGTGTACACACACACACACACACACACACACACACAAAAGTGCTGTTTTGGAAATACAGAATGATTACTTTGCCCAGGGGATGGAGGTCAAGGAAACTGTCACAGAAAAGCTGTTTTTTTTCCTTAGGAAAAATCTTGTAAAACATTAGGAGCCTGTGAAGTACAGAAGAGAAGAGAAGGGCATTCTCAACAGAACAACCGATATCAGAGACTCAGAGCAGATCCTGTGTTTAGGGAACTACCAGTATATATGGCTTGAATGAAGATATGTATGTAATGGTGGACTAGATGAGGCTAGATAGGTCATAAAGGAATTTAGCATGCTCTGCTAAGTAGTTTGCATTTCATCCTGCTAAGTAGTTTTCATTTCATCCTCCACATATACGCTTTGGGAAAGGTCTGGAAAGCTCCTGCTGGAATGTGGCTTTGGAAGTCTTGAAGATAGCCATTACTTCTACTTTACTTATGTGTTTCATTCTTTTTTTTTTTTTTTCCCAAGCCCACCATGGGGCTTGAACTCACAACCCTGAGATCAAGACCTGAGCTCAGATCAAGTTGACTGCTTAACAGACTGAGCCACACAGGCGCCCCACACCTTTTTTTTTACAACAAACAATTTTTTGTCTTTGCTGCCTTTTCTTTCCTCCTTTCTGGTTTTCTATTAGAGTTTTCTTTATTTCCCCTTTTTTCTCTCTGCTAGTTTAGAAGTTACATATTCCATTTGTATTCCTTTAGATAGCCTTAAACTTCAGCCTTAATAAAGTTTCAGGTAATTTGTTTCTCTGTTCTCTTGCTAAACAGTACAAAAATCTTACATCCCTTTATCTTCCATCACTCCCCTCCCATCTTCCATGTTGTTGCTCAGTATTTTAACTCTACCTTGTTTTTAATCTCCTTAGCAGTCATTAATTTTTAGTCAATGTTTATTTAGATTAAACCAAAACATTTAGCAGAGTCTTTGTTCACTGTTGCTCCTTGAATCCTACTGTTCATTCTGTATTCAGCTCTCTTTTTACCAAAATCTTTTAAAAGTTCTTTTACTAAAAGTCCATAAATAATAAACTGTCTTTGAAAATGTCTTTATTTTGCCCTTACACTTGCATGGTTGTCTAGCTTAAAATAGAATTCCATGTTGTCAGTTATCCCTCAACATTTTTTTTTATTAAACTTTTTTTTTAAATTTTTTTATTTATTTATGATAGTCACACACACACACACACAGAGAGAGAGAGGCAGAGACACAGGCAGAGGGACAAGCAGGCTCCATGCACCAGGAGCCCGACGTGGGATTCGATCCCGGGTCTCCAGGATCATGCCCTGGGCCAAAGGCAGGCGCCAAACCGCTGCGCCACCCAGGGATCCCTGTCCCTCAACATTTTGAGAGGATTCCCTTACTTTGACATTCTGTATGCCATTGGAGTCCACTGTCTGAAGAGGAGGTCCCTTTTCTGAAGAGGAGGAGGAGCAGCAGGAGGAGGAGAAGGACCAACCAGGAGACAAAGAGGAGTCGTCTTGCCAGGAGTCCCAGGAGGAACACGTGGGAAATGACACCAAGGCAGTTATTAAAGACCTGGATGAGAAGATTGCTAAATATCAGAAGTTTCTAAACAAAGCCAAAGCTAAGAAATTTTCAGCAGTCAGAATATCCAAGGGACTAAGTGAAAAGATTTTTGCAAAATCTGAAGAGCAGAGAGCAGCTGAAGAAGTTGTAAAGACACAGCACCTACCAAAAGGGGAAAGAAGAGGAAGGCACAGAGGGAGGAGGACCATTCAAATAAAACTCGCAGGACGCTTACATCTAAGGAATGAGGCGAGCGGCCCGGCAGCAACAGTCCAAGAAAGTTGGTGTACACTACTATGAAACACACAGTGTGAAAAATAGGAACAGGAACAAAAAGAAGACCAATGACTCAGATGGACAGAAACACAAACACAAAAAATTCAAACACAAGCAGTAACATTTTAAAAGTTTATTAAATTATACAAAAATATGCAGTTAAAAGAAAAAGTTATCATTACTTTGTAAGTAATCTGATTTTCCTTCTGGTGAGGGCTTTTCTCTTTGCCTTTAGTGTTCTGCAATTTCACTATAATATATCTTGCTTCCATTTTCTTGAGATTCATCATGCTTCTTCCATTTGGAAAATGTACAGTTATTATCACTTCAAGCACTGCTGCTTCTGCCGCTCTCTCTTGTCTCCTAGAAATCTTACATTTTTAACTTCTCTGTCATATTTCCCATTGTCTTTGTGACACATTCTGGGAAATTTCCTCATTTATCCTCCAGTGAACTAAATTCTCTCTTTACCTACTCTTTAATCAGATATTTAACTGATCTACTAAACTTTTTTTTCTTTAAGTGACTGTTTTTTACTTCCAGAATTACGATTAGGTTCTTTCTCAGATATATCTGTTCTTTTTTCATAGTGTTCTGTTCATTGTGGTTTCTGTTCCTTATGTATCTCTAGCTCTGTTTGGAGCACAGGCAAATCCACATGAACCCAGTCTATCATTTTTCCAGAAATCTGAATTACTTTAGTCATATCTAAAAATAAAAATGAGAAGATTGATTTAGTGGATAAATTGTGTGATAGATTGATACGGGAAAGGTTTGAGGTGTGGAGTACAGTTGAGAGGCTATTGCACTGGCTCAAATAGGAGAGGATGAGGGCCTAAGTCAACAGCATTGGGAATGGAGAGAAGGGATATATTCAAAACATAAGTTGGAAGATAGAATCCATGGAACCCTAACAATAGAAAGTATAAAGGGATAAAGGAGAAAAGGTAAGATAGGATTCTGAAGGTTCTAGTTTGGATGACTAGAAGGATGATGGTGCCATTGACAGAAGAAAGAAGTGGAGGAGGAGGGGTACATCTGCCTAGGGAGTTAGACTATGAGCCTGGGGGCACCTGGGTGGCTCAGTCAGTTAAGCATCTGCCTTCCATTGGGGTCATAATCCCAGGGTCCTGATCAAGCCCCACATCAGGCTCCCTGCTCAGCTTCTCTCTCTCCCTCTGCTGCTTCCTCTGCTTGTTCTCTCTCTCTCTGTCTCTCTGTCAAATAAATAAATAAATAAAATCTTAAAAAAAATAGATTATACTGGGTTTAGATGCCCTGAATGTGCCTTTAAGTGGGGATGTCTAGTGGATAGACAGACTTACAGATCTAGTGCTTGGGAAAGAAGCCTGGGCTATATGTACTATCTGGGAGTTAACTGTATATATTTTGATCATATCAGAAGCTGGAGAAGGAAGTGTGAGTGTCTAGGGAGAATGTGAACAACAAAAAGAGAGGCGAACAAAGGGTGAAGTTGATGGAACACCAGCATTCAGGGTGCATATGTTTTGGCAAAGGTCTGGAAAGCCACTGCTGAAAAGAATAAACTGGAAAGGATGATTGAAAATTTTGGTCAGAGAGAGAGGAAGAAAATCAGGAAAAAAGTAGTATTGCTAAAGCCAGTGGAAGTTTTAAGCAAGAAGGGAATGGTCAATAATAGTCATAAAGCTTAAAAAGTTGTATTTGGCAATCATGAGGACAGTGGTTTCATGGTGGAATCTGTTCCTGGGAGTGGGGGTGCAGAAGACATTGCTATGGGTCAGAGAGGGAGTGGAGGGGGAGGAGGTGGAGCTGAGTAGACTGCTCTTTCAAGATCTCTGCATACAGAAGAAGAGAGAAGGTGGTAGCTAAAGGTTAGGGGTGGTCTGAAGTGTGGGTCAGGACACAGGGTTGAGGAAAGATTTTTGATTGTTTTCAGATGGGAGAGACTTAAGCATGTCTGTAGGTTAAGGATGAGAAGACATTTGAGAGGAAGAGGCAATTAATAATGCCAGCTTTTGGATTACCATGAGTTTAGCCCTTCCAAAATTGCTCTTTGATCAGACAACTTTTGCTTTGCTTTTAGCAGTACTCTTTTTCCCAGCGCAGCCTTGTTCTCCAAGGCTCCTCCTCCAAACTGTCTTAAATCCAAAAGATAGGATCTGTTAGAATCTTTTATTGTAATTCAATCCCTAAGTATTTAACCAGAAAATTATAATAAAAACTTTTCCCAAAATGACTTCAAAGACTACTGGTAAGGAGTTTACTTCAAATTGAAATAAGGCTTATGGCTTCAGAAAATCTTGACTATGTCAAGTCACACTGATCAGGAGAGATTTTGTTGATTCTGGAAGAAGCTGGAACAGTTTTGATATATTGGAAAGGAGGTAGCTACTTGGATCCTAACAGTTGAAAGATCACGAATATTTTCTATAAAGTTCTGTCCTCTAGCCTGATGAATGAACCTTTTTAATATTTAAATTATCTAGAATTAATTGAACCATTGAAATGTGAAATGAACAGAGAATATGGTCTATCCCACCCCCCCACCTCACTAGGCTTAAAAAAAATGGTATTTCTCAAGTCCTAGATGATCAAGCACAGGAGAGAATGGTAAAGAGGTTAAGTTTGATCACTGTTTGCATTGAGCTCTGGGGATCAGGTATAATGAGACATCTTTCTGTGTAGGTTTGTTTGGAAAAGCACATGGCTTTTGAAAAATAAATGGTATCTACCTCCTAGCTTTTGGTAACTGCTTATTTATGAGCTTGGTAGACTAGAGTGTATATGAGGAAAAGAGGAAAATTTTCTGAGTCTGGTTCAAAAAGAAGATCTACCATATTGTACTCTTAAGAACGTGATTTATACATCACCAGTTCTACAGGTAAAAAAAAATCTTGTGTCTTCTTATAAAGAAATGATTAAATGTGCCTTATCTCAAAACACTTTTTTACCTCTAGAGGGTTAAACAGATTGGTAGCATGAAAAATTGCATCTGCTTTAAATTTCTTTGAAGTCCTCTTGTAAATATTAACATCTGCAGGGATAACTATTGAAAAGGCTACCCGAGGGACAGAGATATGCTAGTGAGGAGAAACTTCTCAACAAAATGCCTCAGAAAATAAGCTTTTTGACCTGAAAGGAATTGTCCAAAAAACTCACAAAAACACAAAAAAACACAAAAACCTTGTGGGAACTACAGTAACTACTTATGTTTATGATATATCTAAGCAAGTGTCATACTCATTGCCCAGCTGTGTTGATGATTGTCGTGTATTTGTTCTGTTTGTGTATATTATTACACTTGTTCTGGCTAAGATTATAAATACAAACAGCCTCTTAGAATCCTTCCTGATATTTAGACTCAGTTGAATCATCAGGGCTGCTCTCAGCAGTTACATAACCTCATGAATTATGAGCTATCTCTGGAGGAAGTTTCAGTAGCTAAATATATTCTCTATTCAGTAGGAGTTCTATTAAATTGTCTTGGTATTTTCATATTCAGAGTGCCTCACAACAGATAAATTATTTGCACCTGAGCGCTATATTGCTGGAACTCTCTCCTTCAGGAGGTGTATTTTTAAACCATAAAAGGATATAAAAGGGCAATTATAACAGTAGAGTAATGCCTCTTTTCCTCTGTGCTTTGTAGGAATTTATTCGAGAACAAGTGGAGGTAAGCTTTTCTCTTATTTGGGGGTTTCACACAGAGGCACCACACACAAAAGGCTCTATTGTCCCACTTCTTTTTCCCATTAATGGAGAATTTGTTTATGTATTAGCTACTCCAGACCACAGGAGGCATCCAAAGGACTTTGCCACTGACTGTTCAGAAGGTGTTGGCGTCCCAAGCCTGCCATGGTAAGTCTCAACACACCAGCTCTTGAGTGCTTCTGTATGCTAAGCACTGGCAGGGGTACAGCAGTTATAAAAGGAGTGGAAGGCACATTTACTAGTCACTTCTTGGAGGGTACAATTTGGATCAAACTGAATACACTAAAAGTGAATACTAAAAAATTGCTTTTACAAAGCAAAATACCAACACATACATTTGACCATAATTCCGACTGACACATACAAGTGGTGGAGTAACTCATGGAGGAGAGATGCATTTTGAGTCAAGTTTTGAATGAGCTGGATTCATAGGACAGAAGGGAAAGTTAACCCCAAGAGGTAGAAATAGCCCGTGCACAGACCCAAAGACAGAAACAAATTATTATATGAGGAGCAGCAAAGGATGCCAAGAAATTGGGCTGGTAAGGAAGATTGGAAGCCTACAACAAAAATCTATAATTACTTGTTTAATGTTTGTCTCTCACCTATTAGATTGATAGATCATAAGCTCCGTGAGGGCAGAGACCATCTGTCTCATTCATTGCCTGTCATAGCTCCTGCTACAAAGTATATATTATAAATATTTGTTGACCAGAGAATGTATGCATAAAGGCAGGTTCTGACCACATGAGAGGTTTTTTTGTTTGTTTGTTTGTTTGTTTGTTTGTTTATTCATGGAAGACACAGAGAGGCAGAGACACAGGCAGAGGGAGAAGCAGGCTCCCCAAGAGGAACCCAATGCAGGACTTGATCCCAGGACCCCAGGATCATGCCCTGAGCCAAAGGCAGACACTCAACCAGTGAGCCACTGAGGCATCCCCACATAAGAGTTTAGATCAGGAAGATTATTATTGAAATAGAAAAAAGCAAATAAAATGGGCATTGTAGGGAACAATAAGAGATATTGGTGAAAGATTGGCTAAAAGATGACCTCGATTTCACAACCTGGCAGAAGTAGGAAAATATTGCCCTTGCCTCTTGAGAAAAACTCTGAAAGCCAAATCCTAACAAGTTAAGGAATGCCTTTTATGAGGATTAGAAGGACAATGATTCCATAAGGAAAAGCTGAGAGACATGTTAGTCCTGAAGCCTTAGTTTCATCCAATAAGCGCCAATTTCCAGCAGTGTTAAAGTCACATGAAAGAAGCTGAAGAAACATTTTACTTTTTCCAGATATTTGGCTCTGGCCCAGGGTCAGCACTGGTTTCCCACTATACACACCATAACCTTCTTGTTTCTGTCTTTCGTTTAGGGGCCATTAAGTTTAATGATGGCCTGAGCCGAGAGGAGAGCTGTCGCCTTATTGAAGCTTTGTCTTGGTGCCAGCTGCCATTCCAGTGTGCCCATGGGAGACCTTCCATGCTGCCTTTAGCTGACATAGACCACTTGGGACAGGAAAAACAGGTATGGTAATGACTAACAGGAGAAGAGGGAGCAAAGTGTATCTTCTCTTTCTTGCTCAGCTCCTGTTAGCCAAATGTGATCTGTCTTAATCCTTACCAAAATAACGAGCATTTTGAAAAGTGTGAATTGAGAGTTTATTTACATAAAGTCTCACCATTTCATCTTCTGTCTCAAAGTCAAAATGGAACTTAAGCTGCACTGTCAGATTACACACATGATGCCTTTGTATTTTGTAAGCTTAACACATGTACAGACTGACATATCTTGAACATCTGTTGCCTACTGGCTCTTGGTTTGATAAGATAGAGAAGTTCTGTCTGGGGCTACAGAAAGCTGGTAGAAACACAGCAAATCCACTGCTAGCAAATATAGCCTAAACAGCCATTTGCTTGATGGTACTTGCTGGAAATGGTAGCCATCCCTAAGGATCTCTGGAATTATGATTTGGGGATCATCAGGCAGGAAACCAAGCTTAGGAGATTTTCACATTATGGTTTGGCCTTGATTACTCAACAGCCCAGGAACAATGATGTGGATAATGCAATAAAGACACAGAATGGTTTAAATTAAAGAACATTTTCTGTTCTTGTTATAATCTTAAATGAAACAGAACATGAGAACATAATAGGAATGTCCATGTTGCTGCTTTCCAAAATCTTTTCTTTTGCCTGCCTTTCCTTGTAAGGGCTATAAAATCTTTCCTTGTGTGGAGTTTTCTGGTACTTTTGTTTTCTGATGCATCCAGTAGACTTTAATCCATTAAAAACTTACTGTTTCATGTGACAATGAAAAAAAGTCCTGTTCTTATTCCTAAAGAGATGGGAATCTAGACTTAAAGTTTATAGTCCCACTTATCCTATGGAAATCTCTAATCTTTTCTGAATCCAGAAATTAGAAATCTGAACAGATTGGAATAGCCACAATTAGGAAATTTTTATATGCTACTTGGCTTTTCATGCTGCATATGGAAGTTATTCTCTTTCTTCCCACAGATTAAACCCAATCTTGCTAAACTTCGAAAAATGGCCCAGGCCTGGCGTCTCTTTGGAAAAGCAGAAAGATATAATACAAGGCAAAGCCTGAAGGCATCCATGCCTCCTTGTGAGCCACCATGAGAACAGAATTACTGACCTGTAAGGAACCAAAGGGATGCTAACTATATGCCTCTGAGGAGAGACCATGAGCAGCAGGTACCAGCAGAGTCCTGAGTTGGCCTGTGCCCCCAAGCAACATGATATTGGCCAATCTTGAGCAGATGATCCCTCCAAGCTAAAGAGAGTTCATTCGTCTGCAGCCATGGACACAGGAGGTTGCCCTATAATACCTACTTTTTATAACCTATGTAGAGATAAAATTTAATAATCAATTGGTTCATTTGTGGGTTTTTGTTTTTTGTTGTGTTTTTGTTTTTGTTTTTGTTTTTTTGGTAGGGGGGAAGTGGTTTGGGAGCAGTTTGGTTTTGTTTTTGCAATTTTTTCCAGCCCCTTGTAGTTTGCATTAATGTGATTTGCCTGATGATGAATTGCTCACGATCCAGTCTGCCTTCCTAGACAGTCCATAGCCACACTCCATTGGTCCTTTCCTTACCCACAGTCTTCTTCACTTTCTGCTGCTTTACATCTTAAATTTCAGACTTAAAGAGTTTCTCTACACTCAACAAAAATGTCCCCTGCGGTCTTCCGTCAGGCCTGTAGTTAGATTATTTTAGGGATTAAAAACTATTGATAAAGAGAAACAAGGACAAGAATAGGATAGAATAGACAAAATTTCAAGTTGCTCTGGTTGTCTTATTTCCTCTTTAAAATCTCATTCACAGTCTGATATTGTTCATAACCCAATTAGTAAAAACGGTGAAAGGACTATGAACTTGTTTTATAAATACAAGTTTTTTTGGTACTTTAAAAATATCTCTCTTGATGTGAAAGCAATTTTTCATATCAAAATGCAGCAATTATTCTTTCAACCTGACCAGATATGCCCTCTACATTTTTTCAGGTTCTCTTGGCCCCTTTGAAATCCTTAGTTTTTATTATAGTAGGCCTATCTAATGGCCTCATAATTTCATTTGGAACCAGGACTGATCTTTGTGTAAACGCTTGTTGTGACATCCTTAATCTGTATGTCCTCTGCTTTTTTAGAAGGTTTGATTTCTGGTTAATAAAATTCAGTAGACTAAGGTTTTACAGAAGGACAAAAAGAAAAGCAAAAAAACCAGCTGGTAATGTTTATTGCAACTGGGATACCGTATAATGAGAAAGATGTTGCAGTGAGAATTTCCACTTTTGTATTTGCAGCCTGCTCAAATTGGCCTTTGTATCAATGGAATGATTTTTCTCATTTTTTAATACAGGAAACAAATTTGTGCTCATGGAAGAAAAGTTTGTTTGCCAGCAGCCCTGCAGTGATTCTTACAGGAGCAATGAAGTATTGCATTCATTAGTGTGTGTCTCAGAGAAGGTTCAGGAAAAGCCTTCACTGGTTTTCAAGGGGATCCTTGTAGAATTACGTAATTGGAACCCTGAAGAATAGGCACCACTGTCTAAAAATGGCCTTTATTCTTCTAAATACATATAAACGGTTTCATAGACTGGAAGACATGACCTTTGAAAGGAGGGTGTTTTCAGGGGATTTGCAAAGATGTCAGGGGCTCTGCCTCCAGGCCCAGTGGGGTGCTGTGGCCTCTGGACCTCTGCCTTCACTCTCCAGAGCTATATGGAGGCCAGCTGTCCTGGGAGTTTAAAAATTTTTAGGTTAGACCAATGTGTGAGATTAAAAAAAATATTATGATACCTCTTCTATTAGGATGCTGGAGTGCAGTTTCAAAATGTTTTGCTATAATCCCAAACCATTGTTTCTTTTTTGAGAATAGCAGAGGATTAGAAAAAGTTCTCCATAAATTATGTAACCAGTCTTTCTGGCTAGCCGGCCTCAAGCAATGGAAGAGATAATTATCCTGTTTTAATAATTTATAAACTCAGTTGCCTACATCAGCATAAAATGAACCTATTAGCCAAAAATATCTAACATTACCTTTATTGCCTATTAGGATTTTGTTTTGTTCTGTTTTTTTTTTAACTTACAATAGAGCAGAGATATACTTAATTTTCTAAAACATGATAGTAGTAATCATTAACACTTTCATGGTGCTTTAAGGTTTACAAAATAATTTTTTCATATCTTTTTTGAATTTCTTGGCAACCCATGAGATAAGATGGTATTATGCTCCCCATTTTCCGAAGGCTGAAATATATTAAGTGATTTGTCTAAGATCACACAGGTACTAAGTATTAGTAAAGCTGAGAATGGTAAACAAGTTTTCTGGTTCTGATAACAAGAATAAATATTACCATTTATTAAGGGCCTCCTATATACCCAATGCTTTGTTTACATTACTTCTACTTCTTACAACAGTTCTGTTAGCAGGCTAGTGTCTCTCTTACAGTGAGACTGCTGAGCCTCGGAGCAGTTTCCCCTTTGGCAGAGAGAGCCAGAATTCAGACCCAGGTCTACGTGGCTTCACATAGCACACTCCTTCCCATTGTTAATCCATGCTGCCCATATATTTGCAGTTTGTTAGGGACTTAGCAGTTTGTCAACTTAGTTCAGCTTTATTAGAGTCTGGTTGGTGGACACTTCATTAACTTCAGAATAAAACTTGACAGATGTGATGTGCAAAGAAGCCATCCTCAAGAGTTCCGTTTTTGGGAACATTCATCACAATTTTATTGAGCAGTAAGGGTGCATGCCTGCAAGAACTTAGCTTTAGTCAGGGAGAGAGACAAGGTAACTGCTAATCTAATGTGATAACTTCCTCTAGGTTTAGAAGTCAGTTAGTTACAGCTATGTTGCTTTTACTGGGATAAGAGGAGATAACAATTACGTCAGAAATTAAGGTTATAGAAGGTAATTGGAGCTAGTATCAGAAAAGCTTAAGGCAAAGCTTAGAAAGGAGGGGAGAGACTGGAGAGAGGGCTAGGGAAAAGTCTAGAACCTAGCTGGGGTCTCAAACTCCATGAGCAGCTGAGAATGGAGAGATTCTAGCAATCACACATCAGAGCAAGGCAAAGAAAAGGTCAGACAAAAGATTAACAGATGGGATATGAACCTAGCAGTGGAAAAAAACAAGGCAGCCAAAACAAGTGGAGCCGGATGGGGCCCAAGACCAAGTTGTAGAAATATGTAGGGGGCTGAGGAAGCCATGCCCAGTGAGAAGAACAGATGCAGCCCATCAGTTCCTAGAGAACCTCAACAACCATGCTCAGCTGCAGCTCCAAGCAGGAGCCTGTAGGCGGTGAAGGGGAAAGCGGTTTCTGGCACAATGAGCTGGACTCCTCCAACCTGTTTTCTACCTGAAGTACCACCCCATTCTATGAAAACCTTTACAAAAGCAGGCTAGCAACAAGAACTGACCACTATGTTTGCCATTATCTATCATGCCTATCAAGCTGTGTATCAATGGGGAGGTAGCAACAAGGTGGACTCAGAAGAGAAGGAAGTCTGGGAAACCCAAAATCGATAAAACCCTTCTTTCTTTTTCTCCATTCATTCATCATTCAAGAACTAAATGTATGAGTCCCTTCTGAAGGTACCAGAAGTTATGGGGATATAAAGAAAAAAAGAGGCTCTCCTCTGTCTTAGAATTTTTCAGGCCCCTGGATCATTTTCACCTTCTACCCGTTTGTCATAGAGCACTCTGTGCTCAGAAACATCTGATAAAGTTCAGGCCACCTGACCCCAGTCTGGGGGAGCTGAGTGTCTTACCTATCAAAGTGCGGAGTTCGCAAGCTAGGATGACTCCAGCAGCAGTACAAAGCAGCGAAATTTGGCCTGACTCTACCTTAAAACTGGCTTGACTAAACAACTTAATCTTATTTACTGCAAAAGCAAGGAGTATGCAGTGGTAGTTGCTCACCCACACCCCCTGCAAAAGACAAAAAAAAAAAAAAAAAGTGGTTTGGAGTCGGAGTCAGCTGCTGCTGTTAGCGTTATCATTTATTCAGGGTCCTTCATCATGCCTCTTTTACAGTAAATTGCAGAATTTTGCATATAAATTATGAATTTTAGGAATCTTGTCAAGTTTTCAAGTAGCTTCCTTCTCGAGGCAGGTCTTAATTCTAAATGTAACCTGCCTGAAAAAACAGTCCTGAAAGGCTCCTTCTCTTCAGTTCAGTGTTTAATATAAACATCAGGCAATCAGAGTTGCAAGTGTGGTTAGGCTCAAAGGCGGCCCTCCGTTGAGTGAGTGTCGTGCAGAAGACAGAAAGCTTAGACTCTAAGCTCTTTACTAATAATAATTGCTTAGCCATTGCACAATAACCTGGAACATCTGTTTGGTGAATGAAGGAATAATTCAAAGCAAAGTTAGCCAGATAGAGAACACTTCCAAACCACATTTCAGAATAGCTCTTTTGTATCAACTAGGTGCTCGTTTACAGAGGGAATTTTGCTGAGTTTGGGGAGGACAGGTGGATAGTATGTGGCCTTTACTTTAACATCGCCATCTGGTACTATCTTTATGGCAAAATAGTTCTGATGTACCGAGTTCTACATATGTGGTGTTAGAGAGTCACGTAGCTCGATGATGGGACTGCGGAACTGGCAGCCTTCATTACCCCAAAGACTGATGTGACGGATTGCTTTGAGAAATGATTTGCAAAGCACATCTGTGAAACGTATGATCCTACGGGTACCGGCGTGTATTTCTTTGAGGTATCACTTTCCGCTGAAGTTTTCCTTGGTGGAGGATTTTTCAGAGACTTCTCTTCTGATGCTAAATTAGGAATTTCTGTTCCTTATTTGAGTTCCAAGAATTGTGCCTTTCCTGCCCTCCGCCCAAATTGGAAGACATAAACCGTGGGAACAGTGTCTTTACAAACTGTACTGAGTGATTCTCTGACTTGATTTAGCATATTCAGGAGGCCTCTCACAGGCATGGCATCCTCTTTCTATTAATCCTCTTCAAGTTGGAGCTACAGATTTTTGTCTTTGGTTTCCGGTTCCATCTGTGAGGGCAGCGGCGGTGGCAGGAGGCAGGCAGCAGGCAGGCACGAAGGCAGATAGGTAGGAAGTTCACATGGAACCCCTGCCTCCCCGTTCAGATCAGGCTCTCCCATTTCAATATTTACTCTTCCTCAAACAGGAAAAGGGAGAGGGAAATAGAAAAATGAGGCCTATAAATAGCTTTGTGGGATTCGCTTGAGGTCCTAAAGAGCCTAAAAGAATATGCATTGGTGCAGTTCTTCTGTCCCAGGAACTTTAAGAGTTGACCAAAACGAGACAGAACCTCTACTCTTGTAACCCTCATCCATTGCACTTATGCCTGGGAAGAATGTGGGGGCTAATTTTAGACCTAGAAACTAAGATGCACAAAGGACAAGTATCATAAAGCATTTTTGGGGCCAGAAACAGATTTAAGTTCCTTGACTCACTGCTGCTTTTACTCCAGACCACACGGTTTCACCCAAGTGAATTGCTGTTAGAATTGGTGCCTACAGAGGAGACAATTGCTCATAATTGGTAGCTATAAGCCACTTCACTGAGAAAGTGCCGGGTTTTAGATGCTTTAAGAGATAATTGACAGACTGAAGCCTGAGTCAGGCTCTTCTGAGTCATAGAGTTTTTAGGTTGTCTTTCTGACCCTCTTCAATCTTATTTTTACCCTCTTCAAGGGAAGACAAGAGCCCTAAGGCAAAGATCTACCTCAAGTTGATGTCAAAGGGTAGAGGCCTTTACCTCATAACCTGCCTCTGGCCAGTGTTTACCAAAGTGTGGTTCTCAAATCACCTGTTAAAATCCCTTAGGGTGTTTGTTAAACATGCAGACTCATGCTCCCTTCCACCCCACAGACAGTGCCACAGGAGACAGGAAGCTGGTCTGTGACCAGCATCCCCAAGGGTTCCTCAGCACACTCAAGTCTGCCTTGGACCTCTGTTCTAGACCAGTGGTTCCCAAACATGGAAGATCATCTGAATTACCTGGGCAGGTTTTTTTAAGATTTTATTTATTCAAGAGAGAGAATGAGTGGTAGAGAGGAGCAGAGGGAGAGAGAGAAGGAAGCCCGATGCTGGACTCAATCCCAGGACCCTGGGATCATGACTTGAGCCAAAGGCAGATGCCACTGAGCCACCCTGGTGCCCCTGGGGAGACTTTCTGAAAAAGTAATTACTAAAGTAGTATACAAAAAATAAAGTAGTATACATAAAAAATTGGAAATGATATATAAACATACTAAATAAAATTAGATGTTGTCCTGCTTGCCACTGTTTGATGCTATTCTTCCACTTTTTTTTTTTTTTAAAGATTTATTTGAGAGCAAGTGACTGTGGGCAAGGGGGTGGGGGTGGGGAGCAGGAAGAGGGAGAGGGAGAAACTCCCCACTGAACGTGGGGCCCCACATGGGGCTTGATCTCACGACCTAAGATCATGAGCTGAGCCAAAACCAAGAGTTGGATGCTTCACCGCCTGGGCCACACAGGCGCCCCTTTTCCTAGACTTCTATCCTATTGCGTATACATACTGTTTTGTTTTAATGAAGGTCATACTCTGCATACTGCTCTGCAGCTTGACTTTTTCCTAGCTTGTTTTACTTAAGACTGTTAATTGGACTTTGTTACAAATCTGTCCCATTCTTTTAACACAAGGCTCACAAAGCAAATGACTGTAGGGGTTAGGTAGATAGTAAATGTGTTAAATGGGAGGAACTGCAGACAGGTTTTTCCATTTAATTCAGAAGCTGCCCAGTTACAGTCAGCTGCTGCCATTTGGAAACTTGGGCCCAGAATTGCCAAAGCTTCTGTTTTCAAGAGAAGCAAGAAATATGAATTTGTTTGATGTGCAATCTCCACATTTTTTTCTTTGTATTTTTAAATATTGGTAACTAATTCAAATTAAATACAGGGTGAACCAGCCAAAACATCTTTAATCCAGATACAGCCCTTAAAGCTCCCCTTTTGAAACCTCTACTGCAGCGTATATACATGATGATCCACAGTATGTCAGATTTGCTTTAAGCAAATTCTCAGGTGCCATTCCAGAGATCAAATGATAGAAGTCTGGATAGAGCCCAAAATGGTACATTTTTTAAAGCTCCCAAATGATTCTGATGATCAGAGTTCTTGGAACCACTGTCTTAGATTACTAACAAGTTGTTTGGGACCACTGCCAGTGAATTAGGAAGGAAACTGTAAATCCTTTCATTTGCATTTCTGTTTTAGATGGTTCCCTCTAATTACAGCCCTCTATGAAAACACAAAAAGGGCTCTGCCGCTGCTGTGTCAAGCAGTTCAATCAGAGCAGAACAATAAATAAACCATCTCAGAAATCTTCAAGAAGCTTTTATTGGCACCGGCCAGGAAAAGGTGTGGTAGCCATTTCTGAGCAAAAACCTGTATCCCAGCAAGGTCTTCAGTGTTAAGTTTAACACCCCACTGAACCAGAAAGTTTAAGTTCCTGAAACTTAAGTTCCAGACACCCCACATCACCAAGAGGTTAAGAGGTGTCCCCACTGAAGAATTTTTTAAGTAAACTCTGTGCCCAACATGGGGCTCGAACTTGGGGCTTGACCCCGAGATCAAGAGTCACATAGTCTACTGACTGAGGCAGCCAGGCACCTCCAAGAGACTCCAAAAGCAATAGGTCAAGCCCCGCTGCTCCTATTAAGATCAGAAAGGCAAGCAGCAGTCCTGAATGTGCATCCTTGTTATGGGATGACTAAAAAGCAAGAAACAGTATTATGTTTTTTTCAGGTTGACTCCAGGTCACTCTCCATTGCAAGGACGATGTTTTCAGCAGTCACACTGAAGTCCCTCTCCATTCTGTATTTGGCTAAGCAGCTGCTTAGAACAAGTGGTGGTCATAGGACATGATCATCAGGATGGTAGAGTTCACTCATCAGGCGGTAGATGTAGGAAGGTGCATTACCACCAATGTTGGAGATAAAGAGGGTAATGAGCTCCGGGGGGACGTAGTCAAACACAGGGCAGTGAACGCTGACCTTCTCCAGAATGTCCCCTGAAAGGCAATCACACGTGCTGAAAATAAAGTGGAGGATCCTGCTCTAATAACTAAGCACACAGATTCTAGGCTCAATAATGCAGACATACCTGCAACCTCAAGAAAGGGAAGTTACAGCAAAGTACAAACCAGAAGAGAGGACTTCACATCATGACACCCTGCTTCAAACTCCAATGCCTTTCCATAGCCCGTAGGATAAACTCCCAACTTCAGATAGCAGCCCTCAAGATCTGGCCCCTCCTCACTGTACTACACTAATTATAATTCATCCCACTCTCCTTCATGTCATTACTCTCCAGCCATATGGACCTAATTGAGGCTCTTTGCATCAACGCCTGGAAGACTCTCTCCTTGATCTTTACATGGTGAGCTCTATTCATTCTAGACTCAGCTGGAATGTCCTCTCATTAAGACCCTTGCCCC